TTTACATAGTTTGTTTACAGTGGACTGCAGGGAAAGGGTTTTGCAAAAACCACTCAGCTGCACTATATCACGAGCAATATATGCAACAAATGACCTTCCATTAACATCTGTGGACTTTTTAGACTGTTTTGGTTTTGCGCTGAAGGCCCATGCTGTAAGGATAAGGCAATTGCCAATAAACACCTTGTAAAACCAGCAATGTTATTCAGCATGCCTTACTACGAATGTGCCCCCAGAACGATGAAACTAGTCCAGAGTTAACGTTAATGTATGCAAGCAAACGATGCTGATTTACTAATGGAAAGACCACTATGCCAATAAGCTGAAGCCTTTTCATTTAGATCATGCTAAATACATATTGTTTTTTGGAGGCGTGGATACAAGGTGATTTACTTATTTTATTAACCAGAATGTTCTACTGGAGCATTAGATAAGATGTCCTCCAGTATCTCTAAAGTTGGGTTGCAAGTTAAGTGCCATTGATGTAAGTGCATGACCCAGATTTGCCCTGTGAATGCGGGCTAAACAAACCTGCGGGCAGGTTCACAATGGCCTGCAATTCTAGTAAACAACAGAGCCCAGGTGTAATGTGAGTTGAGTAAATTAATAGTCAAACACGTTCTATAGTGTTTAAATGACAATAGAAGTGCAAGTTATGGCATCACAATACTAACTAAAAGGCCTACAAGGCTCAGGGCTGTGGAATCTAGAATACAAACGTGGGTAGGATCTCAGGAAAGGAGACGGAGTAGGAACGGGACATTAACTTTTAGAGTAAATTCCAGACAACTATAAATTTGCATTGCCACAGATATAATCTTTATGATGACAGGCTGCCCAGATACTCAAACTAAGTTAAAGGGCAGCTGAAAAGAAGTTGATATTATTTTGGGTAACAATTTCACAAAAATGCTTACACAAATGCACATGTTAAAATAAGTAATCACCTGTACTTAAACCAACCACTGGACACTGAACTTTGAAATAAAGTTTGCCCTATTTTCACACTGAGCAGTGAGCAGTGGGATGTGGAACACCAACATCTTACCCCCAACCACACCCACACATATAGTGGTGTCATCTGAGGGTAACCTACGAACAACACGCAACAACCTCAACGCACCACACTGACACACTAATCTATAAGCACAACATAAAATAATCATTCAGCATCATTGTGGGAAATTTAAATTAATAAAATAAATAACACCTCCTTCCCAATATTTGTCTCCCCATTTAAAATATTTAAACTATTTCAACCATTTTTATTTTACCAGGTAAGGCCCACAGAGCTATATAGCTCTTTTTCAGAAGCAACCTGGCCACAAATGAGCGCTCAAGAAAGTGGCTCATCACGTGGAAATTTAGAGCAGCCTAATACTCTAAATGCGTGTCGATTCTAATTGTGGAGGGGAAAACCAAAATACCTGTAGAAAAATCCACACGACCACGGCGAGAACATGCAAACTCAAAATATACGCGTGTCATGGTCGAGAACGAACCCACTATCTCCTTTATACCAGGCGAATTAGTTAACATCTCACCATCCTGGCGTCCTACACTTCACTATGTTTCAAGACTTTGATTAGTTATTTGTTACATAACCAATTGGCAACACTACAAGTAAGCTTACACAAATCTACCTACATACACAAAGAAATGGGTTTAAGTTTCTGCAAATTGCAAAACATTCCGCTAAGTTTCCACAATTGTCTCATTGCTCAACGTTCGCTCAGCAGCAAGTGGCATTGTAAAGATGTTATCTTCACCAATGCAAATTAGGAGCTGCCTGGAATTTCCCTTCCACTTGAGTGCACCTTTATCCTTCCTCCTCCCCTCCCCCATTGCCACAAACCCCCATTCCACATTTCACAACCATACTCGTAAAATACAAGTTCTGCTCAACAAAAGCACAGAGATCAGATTTTCTGCAAAACAATGAGAAAACGTGTGTGGCACGACCAACAGAACATATTTCGTGAAAAAATTTAAGTTTAGACGTAAAATAGTTTAAGTCCATGAAGGCATTATGGGAGAGAAAAAAAACGTGTTCATATATTAACACATCCTTATAACAGCAACATATATAAATACACTGACGTTTCAGTCAATGGTCCTTGTTCAGAGCAGCGATTTAAGAAGTTATGTGGTTCTCTATGTGTTTCAAAGATTTATGTGATCAGGTCGTTCAATAGCAGAACACTCAACTCATAATGAAAAGGCCAAGCGTTTAAATTCTGATCCAAGGCCCACTCAGTCCTTCATTTCTCTGGGGTAGAAAATAGAACCTCTTTCTGGGAGATCAACTATGGTTGTCCTGCCCAATGTTCATTTGAGTGCAGCGACACTCTGACTTGTTTCTTTTACTCACTGCAGAAATGTTTTTTTAGATCAACCACATTTGGTCACGTGACCAGAAAACAAAAACAGACAATATAGGGCATTTGATTTTCAAGACCACAAAGCTTGAAAAGTCATATACAACTGTGCATATAAATCGGTAGCTACATCCTGTGCTCAAATATGTAAGAGACCCCCCCCCCCACCTACTTAGTGCCTTCACAAACACATGCTCCATGTCATTTTACACAATCTTCTTATGCAACCCCTGCAATGTGTAACTCCAATAAAATACAACCCCATGCTGCTGCCAAAACCATGGGCTTTATGAGATATTGCCTCCAAATGAGCACAGTGGCAATGTGACTTCGTAGCGTATAGACGGGTCAGTGCATACATTGCATGTTAGCACATCTTGCTCCCTTCGTATGGAACTGAGTAAATAAAAAACATCATCTATACAAAAAAAATCCTCATTAAATGTGCCTGCGCCCGAGCTTCTGCTGCCACAGAAATTCTCAAACATTGAAAAATGTGATCTCAGAATCAGAAAGCCCGAAGTGTATAAGTAAACGATATTGGCTAGTCGACCTTACATGGCCAAGTGATAGATGTTTATGACAACTCACGAGGAAACCCACAACTCAAACATTAGAACAAAGCCCAGTGGTCATCCTATGCAGTTACTGGCCCCAGATACAGGAATGTGTAATTTCCACCACTGGCTCTGAGTAGGGTCACACATTTAAATCCCGGACATAACACTCTGGCCAATGAGAATGCAAAAATAGCCCACTGCTTCTCTGTTCATTTCGCTAAACTCAGACAGAAACACCGGGAGAGCGACACATATAAACAGAAGACAGAAATTAGTTGAATCTGAAGTCGACTTACATTTCTGCTCCATAAGCAAACCGATTTCCAAGTATAGCTGTGGAGAGGGTGGAGCGTGCACAGGCAGCGGGCTATGTACAGTGAGGTAAAAAAGTATTTGATCCCCTGTTGATTTTGTAAGTTTTCCCACTGACAAAGAAATGATTAGTCTATAATTTTAATGATAAGTTTATTTGAACAGTGAGAGACAGAATAACAACAAAAAAATCCAGAAAAATGCATGTCAAAAATGTTATGAATTGATTTGCATTTTAATGAGGGAAATAAGTATTTGACCCCTCTGCAAAACATGACTTAGTACTTGGTCGCAAAAACCCTTGTTGGCAATCACAGAGGTCAGACGTTCTTGTAGTTGGCCACCAGGTTTGCACACATCTCAGGAGGGATTTTGTCCCACTCCTCTTTGCAGATCTTCTTCAAGTCATTAAGGTTTCGAGGCTGACGTTTGGCAACTCGAACCTTCAGCTCCCTCCACAGATTTTCTATGGGATTAAGGTCTGGAGACTGGCTAGGCCACTCCAGGACCTTAATGTGCTTCTTCTTGAGCCACTCCTTTGTTGCCTTGGCCGTGTGTTTTGGGTCATTGTCATGCTGGAATACCCATCCACGACCCATTTTCAATGCCCTGGCTGAGGGAAGGAGGTTCTCACCCAAGATTTGACGGTACATGGCCCCGTCCATTGTCCCTTTGATGCGGTGAAGTTGCCCTGTCCCCTTAGCAGAAAAACACCCCCAAAGCATGTTTCGACCTCCATGTTTGATGGTGGGGATGGTGTTCTTGGGGTCATAGGCAGCATTCCTCCACCTCCAAACACGGCGAGTTGAGTTGATGCAAAAGAGCTCCATTTTGGTCTCATCTTTCACCCAGTTGTCCTCTGAATCATTCAGATGTTCATTGGAAAACTTCAGACGGGCATGTGTATGTGCTTTCTTGAGCAGGGGGACCTTGCGGGCGCTGCATGATTTCAGTCCTTCACGGCGTAGTGTTACCAATTGTTTTCTTGGTGACTATGGTCCCAGCTGCCTTGAGATCATTGACAAGATCCTCCCGTGTAGTTCTGGGCTGATTCCTCACCGTTCTCGTCATGATCATTGCAACTCTACGAGGTGAGATCTTGCATGGAGCCCCAGGCCGAGGGAGATTGACAGTTCTTTGGTGTTTCTTCAATTTGCGAATAATCGCACCAACTGTTGTCACCTTCTCACCAAGCTGCTTGGCAATGGTCTTGTAGCCCATTCCAGCCTTGTGTAGGTCTACAATCTTGTCCCTGACATCCTTGGAGGGCTCTTGGGTCTTGGCCATGGTGGAGAGTTTGGAATCTGATTGATTGATTTCTTCTGTGGACAGATGCCTTTTATACAGGTAACAAGCTGAGATGAGGAGCACTCCCTTTAAGAGTGTGCTCCTAATCTCGGCTCGTTACCTGTATAAAAGACACCTTGGAGCCAGAAATCTTTCTGATTGAGAGGGGGTCAAATACTTATTTCCCTCATTAAAATGCAAATCAATTTATAACATTTTCTGACATGCGTTTTTCTGGATTTTTTTGTTGTCATTCTGTCTCTCACTGTTTCAAATAAACCTACCATTAAAATTATAGACTGATCATTTCTTTGTCAGTGGGCAAACGTACAAAATCAGCGGGGCATCAAATACTTTTTTCCCCTCACTGTAATAGGAGGGATGGCGCTCCTTCAGCTCTGGCCGAAGCTGATGCCGGCACGACTGCGAGCTGCTTGCCACAAGGAAACGTCAGGACACGCACCTTGCCTGTAGCACTCCTGCAGCTTCTTGGAGACCCACTGCACACCCTTGGCAGCAATCTTGGTGCCGAAGTTCCTGTCAAATGGGGAGGGACAGCCGCCCTGCCAGCACGAGCACAGCAGCAGTGGAAACAACAGGAAGGTATCTTTAATGGCCCTTTAACAAACACCAGCTGGCATGGTGATGCACCCCTGTCGGAAACTTTTGGAGGCTGGGTTGGTGAACCTCACAAATGTCATCCTGTGCTGATAAACTCCCAACCAACTGGGCTATGAGGTTGTTTGGTGATGGCCGTAAAACAAGTGGAGTTATAACCCTTTGGGTGTGGACTTTTGAATTTATTCCCTTTGTATGCATGGATTTCTTTTCCAGGAATGGCAGTTTCGCCCAAAGTTGAAAAAACAGTCATGATAATGGAAATAACCAAACATCCCAAGGAAAGTTTTGAAAACAGTGAGGCTTTTAAATATGAAGTAAATATTTAATGGTAATTTAATTTGGTTGTAACACTATCTCCACTTGTGGACTTAATCATTACAAATGATGTACTGCTTTGTTTCAGGTAATATACCCTACTCTTTATTATTTTAATGTTGGCTGAATTTCAGTGAACAACTTTTATAGGGCAAAGTGCCATCTAGGGCCACCAACGTAGAGGAGCCATGAACACACGTTGACTCTTTGTATGTGATCAAACAAATACCCGAACCCATAAATTAATGTATTTTGTAGTATAATTCACCGGTTAGGTGGCTCAGCAGTATAGCAAATGGCTCGCAATCTGAAAGTTGCGAGTTCTAATCCTGGTATTGCATTGATCCTTCCCATCATCTTTCTGGAGTCGATAAAAAAGTAGCAATTCTTGGAGAAATCAACAGTGGTTGTTCTATGGATAAACTCACCCCCATCATGGGAATGAGGAATTTCCACCATTAGCTCAGGGTTGCCTTCATGCTTATTTTAGCAGAATATAACCAAACAGCTGTGTAGCTCATTTGGGGCGATCCAAAGTTTCTGATATATATATAACACAAAATAATCACTAGCGTCATGGTGGAAAACATAAATAACGTAAAAAATGTGTGCTTTTCATATATCTGTCTCTCCACAAAGAATGTGTTTTTTTTTTACACAAGCCATCGGGTCCCAAAGGTTATCATAATAACTGAAGGGGGAGTGGTTAGAATGAGCAGCATTGTCCACGTGTGTGTGTGTGCTTCACCTGCTGCATGTGCCCCAGCACATTCTTCCGGCAGTCAAACACCCCTTTCCCTTCAGCCGAGTACAGGTGGTAGATGAAATCTGTCGTGTAGTTGGGGTTGCAGTTCTCGTTTCTGGTTGGATATTCAGACAGCAAACGGCACACGGCAATTGCATTGAAAATCTTCAACACTCATTCAGAAGAAGGCGGCGGTAGTGTGTTTTATTGTGTAGGTTCAAGAGCCGGAACTTGACAGGGCAACGAGAGAAGACGTTTGTTTCTGGCCTTTGGGCATAGGTAATATGTGGAGGGGGCGCTAAGGATTTTGTGACAAAACAGAGGAAGCCATTTGAGGTCAGGAATAGAATGCAGATGTACAAATAAGAAACGGTGGCAAAAGTTTGATAACCAGGGAAGTAAAAGGTAACCTTATAATAAAGAAATGTACGTAAATCATGCAACAGTTGAAAGAAGGACTGCAAGGTGTAGCGAGATAAAAAGCAATGGCTACAATGACCTCTTCATTACCGCTACTCGATTCCCTTACAGTGATGATTCCCTAATGTCAATGACAACACTTAAGGCAAAGCGGATCTCACCGAATTACGAGCCCACGGTGAATGTTCCCTTTCATCTTCTCCGTCAGATGCTCCACATTCATCTGCAGACGAAGGCACAGAAAACACCCGGTACTGGGTTTGAAGACATTGTGCACACTTAAGTGAGATTCAACAGCACTCGCAAAACTCCAACATGTGCCATGGAACACGCAGACAGATATTACCCATTGGCCCAATCATACAAAACAAAGACAAAGATTGCTCAGATATCACTCACCACTGATGTTAGCAATGGCCGGGTATCGAAGCCATGTGACCGAGTTCGTCAATCAATCAAGTCTTTGTTTCTATAGCACTATTTCGTGCAAAAGGATGCCATTTAAAGTGCGGTACAGATTTAAAAAAAAAAAACATTGTTCATTGACTAAATCACAAGAATAAAAGCAAATTCCATACAAAACAAAAGAACATTATAATAAATTACTGTTGAAGGAATATAAGAAAATAACACTATCAAAGAATCTTAAGTAAAAGCAAGTTTTAAAAGGTGAGTTTTAGGATTTAACTTAAAACTGCTTAATGATTGTGAAGCCCTCAGATCCCCTGGCAAACTGTTCCACCAGGCGAAGACCATACACACTAAAGGCCGCTTCTCCATGAGTTTTGGTCCTGGCCCTTGGGATGACTAAAAGACCGGAACCGGATAATCTGAGGGATCTTGTTGGTTCATATCTACAAAGCATAGAAGACATGTATGCTGGTGCCAAACCATTCAACGATTTAAAAACCCATAACAGAATTTTACAATTAATCCGATGACTGACTGGCAGCCAGTGCAAGGACCGTAAAATAGGTGTTAGATGGGAGCTCTTCCTGGTTTCTGTGACCACCTGTGCTGCTGCATTCTGAATCAGTTGTAGGTGACACATTGCCTTTTTCGGAAGACCGGAAAAAAGAGCATTGCTGTAGTCAAGTCTGCTGGTAATAAAAGCATGAATCAGTTTCTCAGTAGTTAACCGAAAGAGAAAATGTTTAGCTATATTTTTAACATGATAAAATGCCGTTTTGGTGATATATTTGATGTGAGCTTCAAAGTTAAAATCCTGATCAAACAAAATACCTAAGTTTTTAACCTGCAGTTTGCCATTTTCTGTCAGCGAGCAAACATTTGTGAGCAGTTTATCTCTTTGGGCTTTTGCTCCAATTACCAGGACCTCTGCTTTGTCTTTGTTAAGTGCCAGGAAATTCAGTGCCATCCACATTTTAATATCATCAATGCAATTCATAAGGGTATCGATGCGGCTTACATCAATCGGAGATACCGAAATGTATAGTTGCGTATTGTAGGCATAGCAATGAAAATCAATCTCATGTTTCCTGATGATATCGCCTCGTGGTAGCATATAGAGACTGAATAAAACAGGTCCCAGAATGGAGCCATGTGGAACACGACACATAATTTATGTCTTTTAGGACGACAGATCACCTATGGATACGAATGGATACGAATGGATACGAATTGCTCTCTGCTGGTCAAATAGCTCTAATACCAATTTGCAACTGTACCGGAGAGGCCGACCCATCTCTTGAATCTGTCAAAAATAATATTGTGATCAACCGTGTCAAACGCTGCGCTAAGGTCCGAAAGCACAAGGACGGATATTTTTTTGTCATCAGTGTTCAATCTTAAATCATTAACAACCTTAATAAGTGCGGTTTTCAGTTCACACTGGAGTGTGCTAATCACTGAACCACCATTCCACAAGAACAACAGTCGCCATTTACCACTAAGTGGCAGTGACATCACCACAGTTCTTGTGCCAGGCAAAATGAACTTTGAGGCCATGTGAAGATCTAAGGCTCACTCCACACGACATGCAAGATAAGATAAAGACCCCCTCATAGCCGTAACAGACTTTTGGAGCGAATGCTGTTAGCGATCACCTATGAAGGCCAGCACGGTACGCAAGGGGGTGGGTGGCCAGCAACCACGCCCGACCGCCTTTATCTCCCCAGTGGTGAGCTTTACACACTGCACCAAGTACCCCTTTGAGGCTGAAACGACCTAGGGGAGGCCCCAGGACCGGTTCAGATAATCGTCACTGGTGTTGGATGTGAGCAGCAAAGTGAACTTGGGTCACCGGGTTCATAGCACAGTGTGCTAACCGCTACGGTACCGCTCCCCACTACGCACACACACGCGTCAACCGACTCCCCGCCCTCTGCTCCAGCAACCAAGGCCTCCTGCGAAATCCCCCAGTCAAACTCCTTTCAATGGGAAACCAACACACACACACACATAGCAGCGGAGGCTGCACCGCACACCTGCAGGTCTCGGATGCTGAAGGGCTCCTCGTAGATGTAGGCGGCGTCCGCTCCAGCAGCCAGGCCGCTCATGGTGGCCAGGTACCCGCAGTAGCCACCCATCGTCTCGATGATGAACACGCGGTGCTTCGTGCCGCTCGCCGACTGCTTGATGCGGTCGCACGTCTGCTCCCAGCAGGGCGGTCGCACGCAGGAAACGAGGAACTCAGCGGCCATTTTTTCCCCGCGGGGTGCCCCCCCCCCCTCCCCTCCCATTGAACCTTGCTGTGAATTGAGCTGAAACATCTCAAGCCTAAGCAGCCTCTTATTCGTGCGACCCAAAGGAACTTCTCTCGGATTTGCACTAATGCCTCTGCTAATGTAGACCTTTCTGAAGTTAGGAAGTCACTGGAGTTATGCACTTTTAATTATGCTAATTTCTTTTCACCGATTTTTGTGTTTAGTTTGCTTAACTTCCCCCCCCCCGCAACTTCGATTAGTGTGGTTGGCTACGTACAGTGCAAAAGAAGTTAAACATAATACATACTCCAAGAAATGCAAGTTCCTCTCTTGAGCAAAGCCAATGTGATTATCAAACAGCAACTGCTAAGACTCTTTACACCATTAGACATCCCAGCAATGCAGCGCTACATCCACATTTGGGGTGATGTACCAGTCAACTTTAACACTTTTTGATTGAATCCAATTAAAAAAAAGCTCTTTGCCCTATTCAAGGACTACATGTGTCTACTTTTCTTGGCCCTCCTATCTCACTGCTGCACTGGTGAAGATGCACCACTTAGTGGAAACTCAACAGTGCCCATTCTATTGGGAGACTGTGCTCTAGAACGGCAGCTCGGTGTTTGCAGACGTACGTGCACCTTGTTTAACCATGGGGACACGTTGAGTTCTCTTGAGCCAAACGTGGTGGTGCACTGCTGAGGACAGGAATTGGTAACTCGTGCAGATTTGTCAAACTCCCAGCTTGCTGAGCTATGAGATGGCTAGCAGAAGGCAAAACAAGCAAGTGGACTTGTTGCAGACCTTTAAATATTATAGCCTAGTATGCTTTGGTTCAGTCTCGTTTCCTCGTAATACTTATAAAAAAAGAAATTTGGCAAACATCCAAATTGAAGACTGTCCTAATAAGTAATATTTAAAACAAACTTTTTTTTAACACGCTTTAATCAAATTTACCGTACTAGCAATGTAAGAACTCCACGACTCCAGGAAGTGGCCCCGAAGCTTGCCATAACGTAAGGGGACCGTGGTGATTTACAGCCAACGTCAGTTGAGCGTGGACAATTATTACACCCAAGCCGAAACATAACATATAAAAAATTATGTTTAAAAATATATTTGATTTTTAATGATAGAATATAGTATTGTCATCACTATGACATAAGTATACCAAGTTTGCAGTCGATACCACATTGGGAAATGGGTAAAAATCGAGTTACAAGATTTGAGGATACAACAGACAGAGTGGGTTAATAAAAAGCGTGTAATAAAAATAGTTTGCGACTCGGTGAGGCTCTCCTGGATAGAGCGTTCCACCCCTTCACTCGTTTCCCCGTCTCTCCCCGCAGGCCCCCCACCTCCACGATGGCATTGAGGGCCGTGTCTGTGCCGATGGAGAAGTCCGTGCCGGGCACGTTGTTGCTGATGGTGGCGGGAATGACGCACATGGGGATGCACAGTTCCTCAAACTTGCTCCGCCCGCTCGCCAGCTGCATGGCTCCTTCAAGGGCCTGGAAAGTATGCCATTTAGCACATTAGCTTGAGTCCGTTTATTAAATTCTCCACGTTCAAGCAGCAGCTGAGTTATGTACGGGATTTGGGAGCAGCGTGAAAGCAGATATGTTGTCAGGATGAAGTTACTCAATCGCATTGATTTTCCTCAACGTGAAAATTAATCTGTAAAAGCAAAATAATTTCAAGGTTAGCAAATAGAAAATGTGTTGTCTTATTTCTTGAAAAAAATGTCTGTTCTGCCCCATGGCAGGTATGGGGGTGTTGATTACACACACCTCTGCAAGTAAAGAACTCGACCTGTTGGTGAAATGGTTAGGAAACGAATATGCAGAGTACGCAAAGAGGATCTGGTTGGCAAACATAGACGACCCTGCCTCAAGCCTGCATGCGGTGTGGGAGAGGCTCTCGGAATGCTATGGTAGCCCAGAAACCATTGAAAAAGCTCTCTTCAAAAAGTTGCAGAACTTTCCAAAAAAATCTCTGGTCGAGAGAATAAAAGATTCCGAGAGCTTGGAGATCTTCTGATGGAGCTTGAATCAACCCAGGCTGACCCCTACTTACCATGTCTCATTTTTTTGAATACCTACCATGGAGTGAATCCCATTGTAGAGAAATTGCCATTCGACGTGCAGGAAAAATGGATAACAGAGGGTTCAAGATACAAGTCAGAGCATCAGGTTGCATTCCCCCCATTCTCTTTTTTCTCAAAGTTTATCCGCAACTGGCTAGGACCAGAAATGACCCGAGTTTCATATTTGGCACCACGGGGCTCTCCAGTCCAGATCTCCCAAAAATTGAAAGAGCAACTTCGAGTCGAGGAACAGCGAGAGTGCCAATCTCCGTACACAAGACCGAGGTCTCTCCTACGATATTTGCAAACTTTGTCCAGGCAACCATCACAAAGAAGAAGAAAGAAGATCCAGAAAGGCAATCCCCATTGCATAATAAACCTCACTCCCTCCAATAAATGCTGTGAGTTCAGGAAGAAGCCACTGAAAGAGTGGAAGAATATCCTGAAATAATTTGGAGTGTGCTTAAAATGCTGTGCTTCTACAAACCACCTTGCAAGGGATTGCAAGGCAGATATCAAGTGTGAGGAATGTGGCAGCGACAAACACACAACTGCTCTGCACACATTTTACTCCAAACCTGGTGGCACTAAGGCTTCCGATCCCGAAGCAGAGCACGGCGGGGAGCAAGGTGAGACTTCGTCAGTCACAACCAAATGCACAGACAACTGTGGAGAAGGCTTCAAAGGAAAATCTTGCTCAAAGATATGCCTCGTCCGAGTGTATCACAAAGGACATCCTGAAAGGGCAGTAAGGATGTACGCCATAATGGACGATCAGAGCAACAAGTCTTTGGCAAGGTCAGAGGTTCTTTGATCAGCTAAGCGTAGGTGGGAATTCCTTTCCATACACGCTCAGAACATGCTCAGGACTGATGGAGACAGCAGAAAGAAGAGCGAGTGGCCTCATGGTGGAAACCATGGATAGCACCATGAAGCTGGCCCTTCCTGCGGTGATCGAGTGCAATGAGATACCGGACGACAGGAGCGAGATTCCCACGCTCGAAGTCGCACGTCACCACCCACACCTGAAGCCCATAGCAGAGTTCATCCCGCCATTGGATCACGGGGCAGATTTTACTGCTGCTTGGCAGGGACATGCTGAGAGTGCACAAGGTTCGCGATCATCGCAACGGACCTCACGAGGCTCCCTATATGCCCAGAGACTTGACCTTGGATGGGTCATCGTAGGTGATGTCCGTCTCAATGTAACACACAAACCAGACCGCATTAGCACGTTCAGGGCGAGTGTGCTCAAGAATGGACGCACGTCGCTCTTCAAGACATGCCCCAACCACTTCACGATGAAAGAGAAACAGGAAGAGAGAAGTCAAAGGCTGTACCATGCGGACTTACGAAGAAACCTCCACGCTGGAAACACAAGAAGATGATGTTGGACATACGGCGTTCGTGACAACGAAGGACGACGACAAACCTGCTCCATCGCTAGAGGATAAAGAATTCTTGAAAATAATGGACAGAGGGTTCTTCCAAGATGAGTCAAACAGCTGGATTGCCCTTCTGGCATTTCATAATCCCAGATGCCGGTTACCCAACAATAGAGAGCAAGCCCTCTCACGGCTCAACTCGTTGCGCCGTACCTTGGACAAGAAACCAGAGATGAAAACTAATTTTGTATCCTTCATGAAAAACATATTTCACAGTGGTCATGCTGAAGCAGCCCCTCCTCTAGAAGAAAGAGTGGAATTGCTAGTACTTACCAATCTTTGGTGTTTATCACCCGAAGAAGCCTGATCAGATCAGAGTGGTGTTCGATTCCAGTGCTCAATTTAAGGGCGTTCCCTTGAACAACGTAATGCTCACCGGACCGGACTTGACCAACAGTCTCCTAGGATTACTCATCCGTTTCAGAAAGGAGTCAATCCCTGTAACAGCCGACATTAAACAAATGTTCCACTGCTTCATTGTCTTGAGAAGACAGAAATTCTCAGATTTCTGTGGTACCGCAATAACGTTGATGATCGAATTGTTGAATATAGAATGAAGGTACATGTCTTCGGCAACAGCCAATTCCCAGCGGTAGCCACCTATGGACTTAGGAGGACCGCGCAAGAAGGAGAACGGGAATTTGGGGAAGATGCCAAGGCATTTGTAGAGCTAGATTTCTACGTTGACGATGCACTCAAATCAATGCCCACGGCCTCAGAAGCCATCAATCTGCTCCAAAGGACGCAAGGAATGTTAGCTACTACTAACCTGAGACTTCACAAGATAGCGTCCAGCAACGCAGAAGTGATTAAAGAGTTTCTTTCAGACGATCATTCAAAGGACTTGAAAGACTTGGACCTTAACGTCGACACACCACCAATCCAACGCAGCCTTGGACTGAGTTGGGACTCGAAAGCGGACACATTCACATTCTGAGCAGCAATTGGAGAGAAGCCTAACACTCGACGTATTATCTTTATCGATGGTAAACAGCCTGTATGTTCCACTAGGATTTTTAGCGCTGGTCACCATTCAAGGCCATTGGATACTCAGGGATCTTTGTGCTGATATACAAGACTGGGATATCCCATTGCCTGAGGAAAGGCAACAAGAATGGGAAACTTGGGGAAGTTCCTTAGAGGCACTTGAGCAGCTACAGATTCCGCGTTCCTACACGCCGACATACCTTTCCGTAACCCAACATAAGGAGCTACATGTGTTTGCAGATGCTTCTATGATGGCCGTAGCCGCCGTAGCTTACCTAAAAACCACAAGTGCAGAAGGGATCCAGCACGTTGGGTTCATCTTAGGCAAGGCCAAATTGGCCCCGCAACCAGAAAATACCATCCCAAAGCTTGAGCTGTGTGGAACCGTTCTAGCTAGAGAAGTGACGGAACTGATCTTAGACGAATTAGACATTAAACTGGATGTGGTTAAGTCCTACACGGACAGCAAGGTCGTACTAGGCTACATAAACAACCAAACCAGAAGGTCCTACACCTACATCAGCAACAGGGTGGAACGCATCAGGAGGTCGAAGCAGCCGGAGCAATGGAATTACGTTCCAACTGAACAGAATCCATCAGATCTCGCAACTAGGTCCGTCCCTGCATCTCTGCTGAAGCAAACCATCTGGCCGACGGGTCCAGCGTTCCTCTTACGACGTGACGGTGGCCCATGTACTACCAAAGAGACTTTTGGACTCGTAGAGCCCGAGTCAGACAAGGAGATTCGTCCTCAAGTGACAACTTTTGTCACAAATGTGCCACCAAGAAGTCCACTGAGTCCACACCATTTTGATCATTTCTCTAAATGGACGACGCTCATGCGAGCGATAGCACATCTAATGCATATCGCAGACTGCCTCCATCGCCCGATGAGAGGCACCACTGGTAGCTGCAATGGGTGGCATCACTGCACAGTGCCACGCACCGAAGATGAGCTTTCCAGAACAAGGAAATTAATCTTCCGTTGTGTGCAACATGCAGCTTATGCAAGTGAGATCAAGTCCATCAACGAGGAAAAAGACCTCCCTAGGGTCAGCTCCCTCAGGAAGTTAAACCCCAGGATGGACAAAGACGGCTTGCTCAGGATCGGTGATCGGCTAGGGAATGAAAAATTAGATGAGAATGAACGAAACCCCCTCATAATCCCAAGCCAGAGCCACATCGCAATTTTACTTGTGCGCTACTACCACGAGAAGGTCAAGCACCAAGGTCGGCACTTCACAGAAGGCGCAATCCGATCTGCAGGGCTGTGGATCGTTGGAGCAAAGAGGTGCATCGCCAGCACAATTCCCAAAAGTATGAGGTGTCACAAGCTACGTGGAAAACAGGATGAAAAAAATGACAGAAATCCCAGCTGATCAACTCAGTATAGAACCTCCCTTCACCTCTGTAGGGATCGACGTGTTTGGACCATGAAAAGTCATCTCCTGATGCACCAGAGGAGGGCTCGCGAACAGCAAACGTTGGGCAGTGCTGTTCACCTGTATGAGTACACGAGCAGTACACATCGAAGTAATCGACTCCATGGACTCTTTGAGCTTTATAAACGCACTCCAGAGATTTTCTTTGCCATCAGAGAGCCGGCCAAGCAACTCCATTCTGATTGTGGAACCAATTTCACCGGAGCATGTAAAGAGCTGAAGATCAATACAGAAAATGTTGAAGATGATTCTGTAGGGAAATACCTTAGTGACCAGGGCTGCACATGGATCTTCAATCCTCCTCACTCTTCGCATAAAGGCGGAGCCTGGGAACGCATGATCGGGATTGCTCGACTCCATGCTGTGTGATGTCAGGTCCACACGGCTCTCTCACGAGGTCTTGACCACTCTCATGGCCGAGGTCTCAGCTATAATTAACTCAAGACCCCTGATCCCCGTCTCAACCGACCCGGAGTCACCATTCATTTTGACTCCTGCTACACTCCTTACCCAGAAGACAGACGTGCTCACAGCACCCACCGAGGAGACCAGCATTACAGACATCTACAGACATCAATGGAGATAAGTGCAGAGCTTCGCCAACATGTTCTGGCGTCGCTGGAAAAACTAGTACCTTGCGAGACTTCAAGTGTGCAGCAAGAGGCAGTCGAGCAGACCAGACATCCAAGAAGGTGACCTTGTCCTACTAAAGGACAACCAAGTCAAACGGAATGAGTGGCCAATGGGCCGCATCCTCAAGACGATTCCCAAAGCCGATGGGAAAGTTTGAAAGGTTGAGGTTATGATAGCGAAGCAAGGTGTCGCAAGAACTTTCGTCAGGCCTATAGCTGAGACGGTGTTACTTCTCTCTCGCAAAGATATGGCCAAATAAGTTGACCCGTTGAAGTTTGTTGTACATTTGTTTATGAGATAGGAAAATAAATGGTGGTATCTGGTATCTCCTAGATACCAGACGGGGAGTGTTCTGCCCCATGGCAGGTATGGGGGTGTTACACAGGAACTTCCTGATATGGTGTTGAGTTTGGTCACGTGACCAGGAAGTTACGATTTAAGATTCTCTAAGCCATGAGGCAGGGTGTCAGCCATTACACAGAGTACAACATTGAGGCACAAATAGCGTCTCAGTGAAGACAGGTGCATCTGTTCATTGTGGGACTTTAAGAAGCATTGTCTGTAAGTTTGTTTATGTTCTTATAATACGGGGAATGCTGTTATAATGTTAGGATTGCCGTTATAATGCTGTAAATGCCTTCATAATGCTGTTAAATTGTTATGATAAATATGAGGCCTAGTTAACAACGAAGCCTGCCACTTGCATTATTGTGAATGTTACTTTTAAATGGATAAGTCAAGTCAGACTTGTACCCATGTAACTTTAATGCGATCTTTAGAGCAAGGATGAAGAAGTATCTCATCCACAGTTCAGTGTTATGTGCAGCGCTGTACATTTAGGCTGCAGTATGGTGATTACACGATGTGACCTTATTTAACACAGTAGCTTATTCTCTTGTGTAGATATTCAGTTCTATGTAGGTGCCTGGTCCATTCAGGACCTATTGTTGAGTTTCATGTTATCTAAGACAATGTTATGATGCTCCTTGTGTTCATTCATTGTATCGATATTGCAAGTATTAACAGATGCTGTATTTTGTGCTGTGTGTTTCCATCAGTTTTACTTCATTCTATTAATTAAATACGTTTGGAGTCGGATGTTCACCCTGGCTCTGAAGGTTTATTGAATGCGAGGTTATCTACTCGGATAGTGGTGCAACGCAGCACACAGCGAGGCTGAGAGAATGTCACTTGACCAAGTCCCTCTCTTGAGTGATATTCTATTAAAATACCCCACCCATTGGATTAGAATAATTGAGCTGATTGAACTCAAATCGAAAAACACAAGAGGTGGATTTAAAGTTTGAGAAGGGGACACGTGGTCTAAGAAATAATTGAATGATAATATGAATAATCCACGGTGCAAGCTTTCAAAGCCAATGCTTTAAAATAATTATACCAGTCTTCCATTCAACCCCCACAATGGATAAGACATGAGGGAGAATTCAAGCGCATTGTGCAGCCCTTACCTCAAATCCACCAATGATCAGTAGGGCAGATATGGAGTGTTTTTGGATCTGTTCGACAATTTTGTCCAAAAACTTGTTAGGAAGGGTCCTGTGGAACATACACAAAGCACCCGTGCTCCTTCATCATTCCAGAGTATTCACTTCCCATAAAAGTATCGTGCATGGAATTCCAAACCTGCATTTCATAGCATTCCAACTCCGGGCCACACACGGTTCAGTACATTACGGTAGTTTTGTGTTAATATCTGGCTGGGTGACGGGATGATTGGTACAATTGGCTCAGATTCACAATGTAGTGAGTTCAAATTCTGACCATGAGTAAACACCCCATCATACTCTCAGGGTCAATCAGTGGTTATCATTTGAAGAGACTGGCCTTAACCACGGTAATGTGGAAATATGACCGAGTCTCAGGGCCATGAATGGAGAAGAGTGCCACACCATTGCTAAGTTGAGCATGAAGACGATTGCATTTCACTTTCAATGATATCACCAAGTATATCCCAAATAATACTATTGGATATTTATATTCTTGGTTCTATTGGAGTCAAGTTATGAGGCAAAAAATAAAGTCTTGAAATTTCAAAGACATTAGTATGTATGTAGATCTGGTCCCTTCACCTGATGAAGGCCGCTTGTGTTGTGGCCGAAACGTCGTGATTTTTGTTGTTTTATTTTTTTACCTACGTGACTTTACCGAATAGAACCAAAGAGTATGTATGTAGAACTTATTTTGCACCATACGAAGCCAACCGTGTTAATCGAAGGTAAGGGAGAAGGACAACAAACTAAACACAGTTCTAAAGATATTAGTTTTCAATTTTTTAATTTTTAAAAAATTGCATTGTATCACGTGAATGAACAGTTTCCGAAAGACCACTCTGTGTTTCCCACGTGTCGTTGCAGTAATGGCAGAAAGCCGTGCCATCACTTCGAGTGAGTGTTGGTTTAGCGTGCTGTGGAACTCACCGTTTGGTGCCCAGCGTAGCGCCTCCACGTCCAGTCCATCCACCAACATCACCCCAACCAAACTCCTCCACCTATGTTCACACACAACACTTGATTGTGTTCAAATCGTTGCATTCAAGTCGAATTGTCTTAAGGAGAGAGACACTTTTTGGAAAAAATTCACAACAAAAAGCAGAACCATCACATAGTATCAGAGAACAGCCCGTGGAAGGCTGCAGTAGTCACTTAAACAATGCTCTCTGATCAAACATCAAGCAGTGCACTCTTACAAGCCCTGCAAAGTGAGTTTGTCACATGGAAAACCAGAACTTTAGTCCTCAGAGCTGCAATAAACAACATTTCATATGGTGGGGGATATCCCTGCAGTCCTCAGTTTCCCGGTTTTGACTATCAACTTCCTCCACTTGAGAGCCACTTTTAATTACACGTGGCTGTAACATGGACACAAACCAAGTATCCCATCAACAACGGCTCAATGTTTCATTGTCACATAGCCATAATGAACCCTCTCCGCCAACCGGCTAGTTCTAACACACGTAAGATATTGTGATTATGTATGTTGAACTTCCTTCACACCGTAAATAGCCAACCGTGCTAATAAGAGGTGTGGGAAATCCAGAGGTCCATTCACCATTTGGATACCAGTGGTTATTATTGGGGGGGGGGAGGGGGGGCGTGAAGGCTAATGGTTCCATGGGAAGTCAACCAATGGTCAAGAAGGGTCTTGTGATGGCAGAGGAGATGGCGCGGGGCAGTACCTGTCCCTTGGCGAGGCCCTCAAAGCCATCGTGTACCGCGTACATGCGGTGGCCCTCCGAGATGCCCACCCGGATCGCCGCACGGACTGCCGCATTCATGCCGGCCGCGGGAGCGCCCACGCACAGCACTGCCACGGAGAAGCCGCTCTGCGCACACACGGACCGGCACACAGGGTAGAGCAAGCGACGGGAGGTACCAGAGAAGTGGCAGAGGGAATATCAGAATAAGAATATTTATTTATACTGGAGGAATCCGGTGAGCTCTAAAGCTATTTTTCACAGATGTCCTGTAGGAACGTTACAACAACAAACAGTATAACAACACGTGATAGTAGTGCATAGTACAAGAGGGGTAAACAAATTACCTAAACACATACAAATAAAACTAAACCATTCCCTTCCTACCAGGCAAAGCCCAGTGAGGTATTTTTCAGAAGCGACCTGGCCACAGATGATAGCTCAACAAATTGGCCCATCATTTTGATATTTATAGCACCAAAATAATCTAAATAATGTCAATGCATATAACAAAGTGTATAACAGTTAAATTTCGATTTAAAGCTTTCGTGACTGCAAGGATTCATCTTCTTTGGTTCTTTCGGTAAAGTCACGTAGAATGAGAATAAAATAATAAATTGATAAAATAAAATAACACAAAATTCTCACGACGTTTCGGCCACAACACAAGCGGCCTTCATCAGGTGAAGGGACGAGACTGTCTGGAGGACAGCGCTGGAGCGAACACAGCCAAGCTCATTCTACGTGACTTTACCGAAAGAACCAAAGAAGATGTATAACAGTTATTGGTCTCAGTGCTGCCAAGCAGTACTAAAAAGTACTGTATGATAGGTTCCCACGATATGTTAAAAGCAGGCCAGAGATATGCACACACGAGAACCGTGCCATTCCAAAGCACACAGTCTCATTTCCTTCTTTATTGTTTACACTGTCCATCAGTTGTACCATCCACATAACCTCTCGCTTTCTACAGCCCCGTCAACTTCATCTCCCTACCTCTCTGCGGCTTCGTGACTGACCGTCTTGAAGACAGAAATCTAGGTGAGGTGAGCTCGGTGATGGTGGTCAGAAATCTGCGTTTTCAAATGATCTTGTAAACAAAGTTGAGTGCTACCTTGGATGCAAAGTTAAAGTGCCTTCATGCTCAAAGTGCCTTCATGAGAAATGGGTAGTACACATTTTCATTGGCAGCCCTCAGTTCGTGGTTAAAATTCCACACTTTCACATTCTCTGACGTGGCGCGATGATATACGTTTTCACTTCCCCAAGGGAAATCAGAGCATCTCTAAAAATGCAATGTAAAAACATTGAAACCTTAAAGAACCATGATCAGTGTTGCAAAATAGATATGTTTGATTAAAATCTTTAGTCATGAAAAGAAAACCCACCATGTAAGTAAAATATACTGAGATGTTATTGTCCAAAGGCAAGCAGAACAACAAACCTTCTTGATCTCTGATTTCTTGTGCGCCAACAAGCGGTATATGTTCAGGTTATTCTCAAAGCTCCTAAGGAGACAAAGAGAGAAGATACAGATCATAGCTGGGATGATTAGCCGATTACAGGGACTTCTCTACTTACGAACCAGTGAGTTTCCTGAGGTCTGTTCGTAAGTCGATTTGTTCAAAAGCCCAACTTTACTCCTGTCGATTCCAAACATGTTGTACGGCATGTACATTAAACATGGGGAATGGCTTGAACAGTTGTATAATCTCCTGTAAATGTAGATGCCACTGGTCCTTCATGTTCTGCAGATGGAGATGCAAATTCCCTTTGGTGCTCGTGTTTCCTCTCTACTCTCTTGAACAAAATTACCAAAAGATGTGTGCACAGTTGCTCTCTTCTTCTCATCATACATCAACTTGTAACAGGCAATAGCATCGTGAAAGCTGCCAACACCTCCGTAAACCTCTCAGTGTTTCGGTCCCGAGACTCAAAACAAGCCAGTGCTCGACACCGAACAACCACCGCCATGTATTGCGCGGCGGTTGAATTTACGACTCTATCTTTGTTGCTATCTCTGAAAGCTCGCAAGTTGAATGTTCGTAAGTAGAGGAGTCCCCTCTATATCAATTTGTCGACTAAAAATGATAATTTACTAATTGCAGCTGTCACTACATTCTGTCGCCCGAAGGTGAGAAACTCCTACAAGCCACATAAAGCATGACGTGGGTAATGAAATCGATGAGATCACCATCCTCAGCTCATCACTTTCCGTCCAGCAGCACATTTTTGAAACAGAGGTAAGACTTTTTTCACCCCAAAATTTATTTTGAAAGGTCGATTGATAGATCCAATTATCTGTACAGTAATCGTTCACCAGCCCAAAGACATTGAAGGTGATGAGCACGACAACATTACTTTCTTGAGCAGAGACACACTGTAAATGTCATATTTCTCTCATCTCCTAACAGCAGTTGAATTTTCATCTCATTCTGGGTTATAATGTTACACATTACACCACAGACAGCAATTATACATGAGCATGTTACCATATCCCTGAGTGCTATTGGCTGAAGTGCACAGGTCTTGTGGTGATGCCACGAGAAAATAACACCAATCCTAATTGATTCTGTGTAAGCAACCCTGAAACCTGGTCGTCTGCATGCAGTTCTTCAAACTGCTGATCCATAAAATGTGCTGTGGCCTTTGTGTCTTCCGGGTATCAAGATAACAGATGTGAAGGAACAGCCAGATCGGGGCTATTTTCACTTATTTCCGGAGCACTCCCAAGGACCATTACACCCGATGAGACGTCTCCTGCCGTAAAAGCAGCCACCCATTACGAATTTGATTGGCATCTGCAGAGCGAATGGAAATATAATAAGCTAGACACAACAGCCAATTACACATGATTTCATACAATTCGCTTCACTCGATAGAAATTAACCACTACTTCACATTGTGATGTAAGGAAGTCAGAAACATTGTTTTTTTATCACGTACTCTTATGAGTCCAGTCCATCACAAATGCGTGCAAAATTGTGAATCCATAATAAATGCGAGCGCAATAGAAATTCATTGAGCAGCCAAGCATGCCATATTTTCTCAAATTTTTTTTAAATCAACCTCTCGTGTTTTATGTTGTCTTTCAAAAGGTGATGAATTCAACTCCTGATCAATGGTGAACTCAGTCAAATCATCCCTGCCAAATTGATAAAAGGAGTACACTATAGGAATAGGTTTTACCCTTTTAACTGGCACAAAAACTGACACCTTTATTCAAGGCATCATGTTTGCAATAACCACAACACAAGCAGTCAAAATGCAAACAAAAAAGACAACTCTGATAATAATAATAATATGCACTGTCCTTGAATTTGATTGGTCCACACCCGAGACGGCTTTTCTTAGAGCCTAGTCTCCATTGGTGTTGGACCAGAAGACACCAAAAGGCGTACAACTCAAAAACAGCGCACTACGAGCCCTCAATACTCTGATAGTGCGCTGTTTTTGAGTTGTACGCCTTTTGGCGTCTTCTGGTCCAACACCAATGGAGACTAGGCTCTAAGAAAAGCCGTCTCGGGTATGGACCAATCAAATTCAAGGACAGTGCATATTATTATTATCAGAGTTGTCTTTTTTTTGCATTTTGACTGCTTGTGTTGTGGTTATTGCAAACATGATGCCTTGAATAAAGGTGTCAGTTTTTGTGCCAGTTAAAAGGGTAAAACCTATCCCTATATCTTGTTACTGGCAAAGGAGGTCTCATAAGGAGTACACTACTTTGTGAGAAGGTAATAGTGGGTTGTGCTCGCTCAGGGGCTGCCAATGTAGAGGGGACCATTCCACCATGGAAAGTCCTCAAATAGCAGTGTCCTCATAGCTGAACAGAAAAAAATGTAAGAAAACACACAAGGTGGCCAACAGTCACACTTGCAATGGGTACTACTTTATGAAATGAGCTTGATGGGAAACATGGACACGCACACATACCTGCCACGCAGCTTGACAGCCTCGTCAAACCTGCATTCGTCCATCGCTTTCTGCACATCTTTAGTCTGTGGGGGAGGGGGTGGAGGATGAAAGGGGAGCACTGTAATCATTGCAATCTTTTACATTCAAGAAACCTTCTCCCCCACCCGATAGATCACCAATCAACAAGACTTAGAGCGGAAAAATTGAGTCTCATGTCTCTTCAGCATGTTTAGAATATGCAACATTAGTTAAAAATAGGGTTTTGCATGCTGATAAATGTAATACGTTACAGGTAGTTCACAACATGGGAGACACAGATGTATTTCATCCTCATAAAGGCTCATCAGAATGCCACGGATAGTGCACAATGTCATACCCATAACACGATGGCCATTTTTTATGGGATGAGTTTTTTGTGCAGTCGTCAGTGATGTAAACTTGAGAAATCGGTTTAAATATGTGTAAGAAACCCAGATTCAAACTCAGCATCTCATAAGTGCCAGCTCAGTGCTCTAACAGCCATGATGAGCCCCCTTTAATCATCTGGCCACCTCACTTTTCGAAGCAATTCACGGGCATATCTTCGTAAAAAACCAATGCGTCTCCATGCTGAAATCAATTTAATGTTGAGTGGCGCTCATCTTTGTAGATGGCTCAGAGCCAGTGCTAGAAATTATGTGTTCCTATGGTAGGAACCAGTTACACTATAAGTAAAGCACTGTTGAAATCTTACAAAGTGTTAAATTCCCCATTTATCAACCACGGGATGGGATGTTGGGGACGAATTTGCCACCAATCTGGACTCGCACTTGCAATGTTGCGATTGCGAGCCGAGTGCGCCGATCACGGTGCGACGCCACGCGACCGGATTGCAGCGAGCCCACGTGTCGTACGAGTGCCGCCCAGACGAACGGGCACGTAGCAGGGTCCAGCGCCGTCCCCTACCATCTCAACGCACTCCATGAGGGGCAGTCGCACCGCCTGGTTCCCGGAGAGCGACACCACACAGGCAGGCGTGTCCGCGGCGGCCTCCAACAACGCCAGCACGGCCTCCACGCCCATGCGGCTGCCCTGTAGCCATGGATGCACGCGCGCGCACGCGCGCACATGAACACGCACATGCAAAGGTCGGTATTTTTTTGGCGCTTTAAAACTTTCCACATCGCCATACAGAGAACGGAATCGGGACGCCGCCTCATGTCAGGTCAGCAATCGTACCAGGATGCGGTCGAAGGCGGAAGGCGTCCCCCCACGCTGCACGTGTCCTAGGATGGTCACCCGCGTGTCAAAGCCCAGACACTTTTTAATCAGCTGTAGAGAAGATTACACAGCAAGCAACATCCAGAGTTTATTTCAGAAAAACAGACTCTAACCCATAAATTAGTTATTCTATGTCAAAGAAAACGTTTCCCACTTGTCAGACAAGCCTCTTGAGGGCCCTTTTTTGCAGATGAGCCTGAGCTCATGATACAAATTCCACATTCCCAAGGTAGGGGTCAGTCTCGCTCCTTACAATAACCACTGCTGACTTCCCACAATTAATCACAAAGGGTTTATCGGCTGAATCAAGTTAAAATCACAGCTGGGAACCGAGTTCTGATTATTATAACAACTAAAATTATGTTTGTGATTCTACCCTGAACCACAGCACAACTTTTCAGTTCCGTGAGTGGGAAATGAGAATTAATCAAAAGACTTGGCGACAAAACGTTCAGGCGTACAGCCAAAGTGCCCTCTGGCGACATCACAGCCACTTGCATTCTCAATGTGAAAACCCTGCCTAGATCATCACACAAGATGCATTGTTGGGAGTCTCTCCATCTGGAAATTCACCTCAATGCACTGAGGTGAATTTGAAAGAGGCACACTGTTCTGTGGCTACTTTTGCTATTTTTGTGCCATGTTTTTTTTTTTAAGCACCAAGGGTCTGATGCTTATAATTAACTTCGTACATATATATTCAGCAGTGTTGCTAAAAAAAGTGTTCAGCTTTGCTACAGAGGTGTAATACCATCCATGGAACCACAATGCCCCCTTCCTCGCCTGTCGGATGGAGTCGGAGGTGATGGGCTTGCCGTGCCGGTCAATGGCCCCCTCCGCCACGATGACGATGTTCAGTCGCACTCCGCGGCCCCGCGTCTGCAGCAAAAATTGAGATGTACCAACGTACTGTATGTACAGTGAGGGGAAAAAAAGTATTTGATGACCCTGCTGATTTTGTACGTTTGCCCACTGACAAAGAAACGATCGGTCTATAATTTTAATGGTAGGTTTATTTGAACAGTGAGAGACAGAATGACAACAAAAAAAATCCAGAAAAACGCATGTCAAAAATGTTATACATTGATGTGTCCACAGAGGATACCTTAGACCATAACGATTGGTCTCAAACTTAAAATGAAATGCAATATTAAATGTCCGTGGCAAGGATGCTTTACTCTTTTTTCTGATAACATCCCTTGTCAGCTGGACAAGACTGATAGGGCATGTGCTGTAGTGAGCACCTACTGATGCTGGCATTGCACAGCGATCGTTCAAATTACGATCGGGCATTCCATGCACAGCCCCGCCTAACCCACTCTGTGTTTACGGGCCGGCACTAATCTGCTCTGACGTTCGTGTGGTGCTCACATCAGACAGCGTACTGCACATTTTGTCCTCCCATCCATCCTCAGGAGGGCACTCAGGAATAAAAGTCCAGTCAGCACCACACACCAGCGCTGTCACCAGTGCCAGGTACCTGCGCATACACAAACACAGAAGACAAATGCAATAAAATGCCATTTAGCCCGGAACACTATTATCGTGTTATTAGTGAGCACCAATGAAGGCTGGCACGATACACCAGATAATAGTGTGGCCAGCATCATGCTCAGCAGCCTTGAACTCCTAATTTTTTTATGTTCAAACACCGCACCAGATAAAATTATTTGTGTTTGACTGAACCTAGGAAAGGCCCACATGGTGCTTTCCACATTTCTTATCTACTGCCTGGAAATGAACCCAGATGATTGGATTGTAGCACAGTGCACTACCTACTGCTCCACACATGCACGCACACATGTGCTTACATTGTACACGTACAATTAAACATACCAAAAAACTAAATTGGCCAAACTTCCAAAGAGGAATCCTCTTGGAAAATAATCCTGCAAGACTCGGTGATTAAAAGACTATAATGTAAGTATGTATGTTGAACTTCTTTGGCACCGTACATTAAGAACCGTGCTAATCAGTTCAGTTCATTAATCGGAGGTGCGGGTGAAGGACAACAAACTAAACACAAAAAGCAGTTCTAAAGAAATAAGTTTTCAATCTAGATTCAAAATTGCATAGCTCCAGTGGCTTCTTAATATCGGAAGAGCATTCTAGACGGCCGCAGAAGCATACCTGAAAGCGCACGATGTAGTGATTGTCTTTGTTCGATGGTTCACCAAAAGCTGCTGCGAGGATAACCAAAATTTGCGTGATGGTTTATGCACATAATAAGCACATGCACATGTATCTTGCATGCATGCAGGCACTCATACCTACCCGCAGTGTCTGCCCATCACCTCCAGGACAAAGGAGCGCTGGTGGCTGTAAACAAATAAAAACATTTGTTAGTCACATGGAAAGAAACTTTTTTTCCCAATATGCAGTGCACACCCATTGTGAATCGTTATTAGTATAAAGTAAAAACACGTTTTTTGGGCCAAGCTACAGCAGCGCCTGACTCCAGTTTAAGTCCTGGTCAGAAGTCAACTCTATTTCTTCATCTCTCCAGCGTCCATTAATAAAGGTACCACTTTGTAGGATTTCAAACAGTGGTTGTCCAATAGATAACATCGCTACTTCTATAGGAATATACAGTTTCAACCATTGGTTACAAACGGTTGGCCGTAGGAGATGAGCACTGCCATAAGATTTTCTGATATCCGAGAGAAGGCATAAGACTTGTTGAACGGAGCCTCTCGACCATCTCCTCCACTGCATCTGAAGACACAATTGGATTCAGATGCTCAAAGGAAGACGCAACCAAGAAAACTGCTCTTGATTTTAGATTGATGATATCCGAGCTTCAAACATGAAGGAATTCCCTTCAGGGAGAAAAAAACTGAAATCCGTGATCAATTATGTTATGGCGCCCTCTAGTGGCATAGCTAATGTGTGGAGTGGAAGATGGCGGCCTTCACAAAGCCCTCTGTTGAGCGGGAAATCACGACGAAATGCCGTGAGCGCGGCGGCCGAAAATCGATCATCGATCTCAGAGTCTCCAGAGCAACAAGACAGGCCACGAACACCACTAATGTGTGACTGCCATAAATGTCAATGCAGATGGAGGCTTGGAACACGACGACGCCACGGATGTGCAACGCATGATGGAACCCAGCGATACTAAGCCAAAGTAATTCAGCATCATGCCTATTAAGTTTTAAACCCATGACGGCTGTGCTCATTCTTTGAATGACATAGATGGATTTTCACATGATTTAGCATCGATTTCTGAAGCAGCAAATTTTAACTGACACTTTACCACAGATTGGTCTTATTTTGGTAAAACTAAAACAACCCAAACAACAATTTGATTGTCTGCCCACACAGATCTCAAACTGCATTGTACTGTATCCAGCCTACATGAATATGCATTTTAGTGCACACATGTGATGAACTCAATCTTCATTTGCACTGAGTGCTGTGCTAAGGGTTGGCATCAACATGGTGACGAACTCGTGTGATGGGTTGTGAGCTGTGCTTAGGTCTGAATTTATTCATCCGTGAGTGTGTGAGCGATGCATTAGAACCGGATTGCGTTGGATGCTGCACCCCAATCTCCGTAAACTAGCGCGCGTCCATGCGTACGTTACCTCTGCGCTGTGGTTGTGATAGCGTCCACCACCTCGATGATGCGGTGCAGTGCCGAGTCCGTGCCGATCGTCATGTCGGTGCCGCAGAAGTCATTGTCGATGGAGCCGACCATTCCCACGATGTTGAGGTGCGTGAACTTCTGTGCCATCTCCCCCGTTATCTGGTCTGCCCATGGGGAAAGCAGCAGCAGCAATATGACCTCCTTTCTGCCACAACTTACGGGACCCCCACTGCGATTCAGTTCTATTGCCCAGACTTCGCAGTCTGCGGCTGGGCAGATTGTTGCTAAACTAAGACAAACATCAAGGTGTTTCCATGATCAAATGAGTGAGGAACAGTACGCATCCCCATTGGCAGCCCACAGCTAGCCATAGAAATGTCAAGACTCTTTTGGCAGGGATGAGAACAATCTTCAAGCGGTATTAAACGAGGACCTATATTATACTCTGAGCTCTACTTGATAGTCTGTTGTTTTAATTAAAAATGTGCTCAATATATTACCAAATTACTAAAAAATACAAGATCTGGCATTTAGTTTATTTGAACATAAAATGCAAGTGTTATTAGAAAACACTTATTAAAGCCAACGTTCGATACAGAGGCGTGGTGTAACCAGAACTAACACCCAGCTACCTTGGCCTTTCCAGTGTGAATATTTCCCACCACACCAGGCACACATTTAAGACAGTCCACTGGGGGGAGACACAGAACAGCCTGAGATACAACGTACCAATGATGCCACTGATGTTATCCATGGCCAGGAAGTTAACCAAATGTTTAGGCAATTTGCTAAACAATAAACCACCACACCTTACATACATGTAGTGTCATTTATGTGGGTACCATTGTGTAGCGACAGTACCGTGTGGGTGGTACTGTATGGGCAGAGCCTCTCCCTGGCACCAGATGGGCATACCAGGGGAGAGGCTGGGTAAACAGGAAGGGGCACGTGACGGGATGAGGTGCGAACGAGGTCCAGGGTTGAGGATGAGAGGAACACATGAGGTGGGCCCTGAACCCTCACGAAGGATCTGGAAGAGAGGCGTGGCCAAGGGCGAGGCCTGGCCACACCGTAAGGATAAAGGCTGAGCCCCGGCGGGGACTGGGGCTCGTCCTGGCTGAGATTAAACCTTCGTCGTCATGGTCTTCGGTCTCCGGGCGTCGCACATGTGGACCAGGCAGCGTGTTGGCTGACCTGGTCCGATTTAGTAGTTGCCCCGTCCAGAATGTAAATAGCCATCTACTCCAAGTGTACATAGCTAAGTGTAGGAACGGTGGGTTACCACCTTATGTCGTTATCCCGTTAAGAGTTATGTGATGTTAGTTAATAAACGTGTTGCCTCCCAATTTCTGGTGTACGCCCTGATTGAACCCATTACACATATACTGTATACACACACATATGAGTATACATACAAAGATTTGTAATACAGGAAAGTGCTGTTAGCAAGCACCTGCATGCGATACCCAGCCATAAAGATTATAAGTGGGCCGTTTCATCTTAACATACATTGGGACTCCCCTACAGTATCTCGTTCATAAAATGAGTATCAGCCAGGTACGTGCTTAGATCCGTGGTATTTTTGAGACGTGCTATAGCACGCTACAGATAGTCATACCAGGCAGAGAAAGCTAGCCAAAAGCAAGGCTAGTTCTGGCCATACTTCCCCTAAGAGAGCAACGCTGACCTTAGCATACACTCACTGATGCAAACTTCCGCACACGCACGCACGCACAACACGCTTGCTCGCGCTCTCCCACCGTTGTTGACCAGCTCCTCGAGCAGGCCGCTCCACTCCTCGCGGAAGAGGTTGGCCCCCGTGAGGCTGCCATCGCCGCCGATCACACAGAGGTTTGAGATGCCGCGCTGTACCAGGTTCAATGCCGCCTTCAGCCGCCCCTCGCGCTCGCGGAAGTCCTTGCAGCGAGCGCTGCCGATCACCGTGCCACCCTGCAGTCCGCACACATGCGCGCGCGCCCATACGTACGCAAAACAAAGACAACGTTCCCCCCCCCCCCCCATAGAGCCTTAACAAGACTGTGGGGGCAAGTGATGTTAGCGACCACCTATGAAGGCCGGCATGGCGCATGAGGGGGTGGTTTGCCATCACCACGCCCGGTCACCTTTGTCTCCCCAATGCTCATGCTTACACGCCGCACAGGGTACTCATTTAAGGTTGAGTCGACCTCGGGGAGGCCCTGGACTGGTTCAGATATATCGCCACTGTTATTAGTTGTGAACAGAAACCAAACTCGGTTTACGGGATTGATTGCGCAACGTGCTAACAACTGCGCCACCACTCCCCGCCCGCAAAGACAAAGATCCCAATGTAGCCTGTGCAGACTGTTGGGGCAGATGCTGTTAGCGAGCACCTTTGAAGGCTGGCATGACAAACGAGGGGGTGGGTGGGCAGCACCACGCCCGACCACCTTTGTCTCCCGAGTGGCGATATTTACACACCATTGCACCAGGTACTCATTTGAGGCCAAATCGGCCTAGGAGAGGCCCAGGACCGGTTCAGATATTTGTCACAGTGTTGGCTATGAGCGGGAATCAAACTCTGGCAGCTGGGTTCATAGTGCAGCGTGCTAACCGCTACACCACTGCTCCTCACAAAGACAAATATCCCCGTATAGCCTCAGCAGACTGTTGGGACAAGTGCTGTTAGCGAGCACCTACATACATACACGCATATATTCACAGAAACATGTGCATATATACGCACAAATATGGGCATCTGTACTGGGGAAAGGGAGGCCAGGTAAAGGGATTTACAGACTGTATGGATAACAGAGGAGGAGAATGAGCAATCTTCCACAACAAGCCAAATGCTGACTGGGGGGACTTCAACACAAAACGTTGTTTTGTCAAGCAGAGAGCGTGCATGCGGGGGGGGGGGGTAAAGTGGCTTGAGTGGGGGAGAGGTATGACCGTGTGGAGGAGAATAAAGTGAGATGAGGGGGGAGAGGTAGGCAGGAGCGAGTCCACAGATGATCGTGAAGATGATGTATATATGCATGTTGAACTTCTTTCGCACCATATGAGGTGCAGGGGAAGGACAACAAACTAAGCACAAATGTATCCAGGATTGGATTGAGATCAGTATATTCAGGTGATCTGGAGTTAAGGTATTGTGGGAGACCGTAGATGAGAGTTACATTTGTCGTGTCCGGATGTGGTAACAGGTGTCACGATGGGAATCTGAATATTAGAGGCATGTGCATGTTCATGGAATGGTAGCGACATTCCCATACAATCTAACTTTAATCACAGGTCAGCCACTACTCATTAATTTTCATACCAATGTCCCTGCGCAATAAGCATTGGCATATTGCTCATGGCTCAGGCACTTGTGCGAGTATTTCTAGACGAAGTCTGTGGGGGCCATGGTGTGGATACCGCGTGCGAGCATGTATTGGTACCAGTTGCAGGATGCTGGAGACACGGTCCCACGAAGCCTCCTGGATATGCTCCCCTCCATCCACCATACCCTGGTAGCCCTGCCGATCACAAATACACACACAGACAGACAAAGGTCCCCCATTAACTTTATAGACTTTTGGAGCAAGTGCTGCTAGGGAACAAGTAGTAAGGCTAGTACGACATTCAAGCGAGCCGTGTGGCTAAACCCACGTTCGGGACTTCTTCATGCCGACGTTCACACATTCAAGACCAAGTCAACTTAAAGGAGACCCATTACAGGTTTAGTTATCACCTGTCAACAAATATGTACTGCATGGCCGGTAATCAAATAACGATGATCAGGATCATAACGCGAACACAAATTACTATACCAACGTTCGTCCACATACAGCAGCAGCCGCCATTCATCACCAAGTGAGGGTGACGTCGCAACAGCGCTTGTGCCAGGCGAGGTGCACTTTTAAGGCCGTGTGAAGTGTTGAAGGCTCAGTGGCATGTCACAGGACAGACCCGGGTATCATGGGTTAATGACTGGCAAATGCAATGCCTATGCTCCCCAATATGCTAGCTTTAAGTAATTTAGTCAACCGGTACTCTGCTCATTTTTGTGAATGTTGCTCCTCTGCCCTCCATTGTTGTTGGAGGGCGACTGCCTCCAACTGTCCAATAGCATCGTTCTCAGGACCCCTCTACAGAAGCTGACATTGCTTCGTACCAGTCATTAGGAAGTTCAATCAGTTTCAAATCCTCCGATATACATCAGCCCATCTCCCTTCCAGCCTGTACCATGCCTGTTTAGCCCCCTCTATCAGAAACCGCTTGGCTCGGGACGCTGGCCAACACAACCTCGCCTGCCGGAGGAATTCACTGATATATCAAAGATGTGTGAACTCATAACACAATGTAGCCCGATGAATCCCAAGATTAAATTAATGTTTAAGTTGGCACAAGTATTATTTTAAAGGGGTCCATGTTTTTGAAGTATAAAAAAGAGAGGGCATAATTTTAGTAGAGACCCAAAAATGTATGCGGAGCATACATTACACAGACAATGAAAAGATAATGAAAAGATAATGCTGATCGACTGATTCAAAGCGATATCTCCGCTGTCCAACAGGAACTGGTCATGAGCACACTGCCAAGGTAAAGGCACTCCTCCGCTCTCTCCACAACTGCCCCAGTGTGCATGGAGAGTTCAGCGTGTGGAGTGTTTGATGACATTCCAAAAAGACCCAGACAGGTGCTTTGTGCTCCTGAACGTGAAAGGGCTCCACCTCTCCGCGGGAGACCTATCTTGGACGCAGTACTTCTCCTGACCGCCGTGCCCATAATTGTTCTCAATCAATGGCCATCATCACTTCTTGCAACGAGTCCTGTCAATGCCAGTACAATATGTGTCTTTAACATGTGCGCGTACTTTCATCCGTGTGCTCTTCTTTCTCTCGGTCAATGTAATTCCAAGCATGCATCTCTCCCTGCTTTTTTGCACATTTTTTAAAACACTGCTGTCTCTTCCAAATGTGTCACTCTGACATATCTCCGATTAATTAACGAATTTGTTTTAGGGACCTTTTGCTTTGTTCATAGTCATTCTGCACGTAGCTTTGCAACTTCATTAATTATTATACATTTATTTTTTATTTAAAGCTTTTGTGACTGCAGGAATTCATATTCTTGGTTCTTGATGACATTCCAAATATAAAACAATAATTTTATTGTTTTAACAATAATTTTATTGTTTTATATTTGTATAATTTTATTGTTTCCCTTCTACGTGACTTTACCGAAAGAACCAAGAATATTATACATTTCCATACGTGCAGCCAACATGATTGATTTGTATACGTTTTTTGGATGCAATTGTCAATAACATTAAAACAATCTAATGACATGAACAATCCGAATATAAATCTAAGCTATAAGGACTCGTGCTTATAGTAACCAATTTAGAGCCACTATACAAATCTCTAAAAATACAAGCTAATTGGGATCCTTGGCCGCATTATGAAGCTTGACCTATTCCTAGAAAGGTCACAAGCGACAGTACAAATTAAAAACCATATTGTACAAACCGCACATTCATGGTGAGATCCAAGCGTAGCACTACAATGTTACACAAAGAAACCAACAGTTCCCTAGGTTACATAAAAACATAGGTTTTTGTGTAACCTTTGGGAGGTGTCCATTTGCTAGTCACAAAACGCCCCCCCCCCCGGCCCCCCATATTCAAGGTCATTTCTGAATATAATAATATATCTGTCTATGACAAAAATACAACAGAGGTTAGGCCAGGACAGTGATCATCACAAAAATGGGATTGCATCATTCTGAGCAGGCACAGTGGTAAGGATGTGAGGTGCATACTAATAAATCCGTTTTGTTAAACCAACGTGCAGCGCCCAATTCGTCGGGAAGAATGCGGCATGACGTCAACCATGAATATTCTCACATAAATAAATTAGCATATCGACACAGAAGCTGTTATATTATAATTTGAATCCTGCTACTGTACTGCCAGGAAATGCCACTGCCAGGAACTATGCTCAACGAAACAGAGTGCAGAAATGCCTTTAATTACCTGACAATCCAGTTTCCATGACATTTTGCTCGCAAATGCCAAGTTACGGCTCAGAAAAAAAAACGAAGCCAAGTTTTCACAAAATCCCCTGCACTGTTCATGAAGGCGAACGCTCAGGCAAATTAAATACATTCCATTCACTCCACTTGGTCTTAACTGATTACGAAGTCAGAAAGCTTGAATGCAACCTGACCTTACTGGAGTCAACAAAGGAACGCATTCGAGCTCAGCTGCAAACAGAATATCCTCATCAAAAGGACAGAATTGGCTCAAGTGTAGACTTTTTCAAGTCAAAGTAGATTTTCACATGAAAGTAGGAAATATGTTCAAGCATCTGACCTCGAAAGCCCAATAGCATGTTATGAACTTCATGGCAGGATAGTGTAAGCAACTTGAAAATTTGGAACGCATTCTTTGGCTCTCTCGGTAAAAGCCATGTAGATATGTAGATATGTGGCTTTACCGAAAGACCCAAAGAATAGGAATTCCTGCAGTCACGAAAAGCTTTGAGTCAAGTTTGGAACACGATAAGAAAATAAAGTAAACACTACAACAAGTCGGGCACATTCATACAATGCAGAAGAGCAGCTTACAAGGAAAGGCAGAGACACAGCATACTTTTCACAAATGTTACACACAAAAACGTCAGCAACTCCAATACATATAACCCTGTGGCCATCACACATTATAATGAGCGAGTCGCATACTGTTACAACTTTTAGAGGTCCCATAATACATTTGCGACACTCTCGCTTACATAAAACGCCGCGTTCTCCTTGGTAGTCTGCAGCTCGGTACGACTCACCGATGAGCCTCTGTGAGGGTGAAACCTATTCCTATTTCCCACACTGTGAACAGCCAATTACATTTTTGCAGGGCTTATCATCTGAAAGATTGAACTGTGTTCGTCCGTAAGTGAAGGTCAGCTCTTTATTGAATCTATTTATTCTAGATTTGAAGTTTTCGTGACTGCAATGGTCCATACTCTTTGGTTCTTTCGGTAAAAGTCACGTAGGTAAAAATAAGTATAAATTTTATTTGTATTTTTACCTACGTGACTTTACCGAAAGAACCAATCTATTTATTGTTTATAAATCTCACTGAAGCAACATTCAAAGTGTTTCCCTTCAGAAACAAAAATGGGGTGAAATTGGTATATTTGAGTTGCAGTAGAACACCCATATTCCCATGGCAGGGGGCTCATTCCTTCATAATGCAACCGCTATCAACTTCGCATCACGTGGAACGTAATAAGTTAACTCTGGGGGAGGGGGGGGTACAGCTTTAGAAGACTCCTAACGAGAACTAGAATTATTATCACTCTGATTGTGAGTCAAACGCTCTTACCACGGCACCACGTGGTCGGATTCATGGGGGGGTTGTTCCACTGTAACAGGAAAGAGGATTTGTTTAGCAAGAAGTGTCTACAGTTCCTGAGCAGGCACATCCGCTTATATTGCTGTTCTTTTTGAGTCCCTGAATTTCCAATAATTGTAAATCAGCCATGCAATATCCAATGTTGGGTGCACCATCGATTTTGATGCAAAGTCGAAAGTGCAATGCAATGTAACTTTCAGTTGACATTGGTTGTGAGAGAATTTAATTAAAGACGTATTTCCAATCTAAATCTGGAATGGTTGTGCTGTGTTCAGAGCACATGATTCGCAATCATGACATAGCCAGTTCAAATCCAGGCCTTGCACTGACTCAGCCTATCATTAATTCCCTTCCAGATTGCTAAAATGAATACCACTTTGTAGGGAATGAACAACACCTCGTTTTGCACCTCTGGTTATCACGGTTGGCTACATACGGTGTGAACGAAGTTCAACATACATGCAACAGTTGTAATTTTGAATAGACTGATCCATTCCATGGGAATGTGAAATGTTTAACAAATCACCGCAGTGCTTATCTGAGCAGACTATTTGACTTCACTAATGCAGTAAAATTCCACTCCATAAAATAACAATTCTTGCTTCCTTTCAAACTCGATCATTATCTAACACGACCGTCGTTACAAGTCTACTTGCCTTCAACCACAAGAAAACCCACTTCCGCCATACCACAGCAAAATATAACTTGACCGATTCATTATGAGATCATGCCAACTGTTTGGCAGTGCACTACTAATGACTTTCAAAAGGTAAGACTAGAAGCAAACCCACCAGTGCTATTTATAATGCCACTCAAAGACAGTCCGTTTACACTTTTAAGCGCAGCTTGCTCTCCAAACCAATTCAATGGATAAGGATCATTGATTTGTATCACAAATGAAGGCGAAAGCAGCCAGTCTACGTGTAAATGTGCACATCTTCTTGGTAGAGCCAGAGCGTGCTCCAAGTTGAACAGCAACACTGTAGATGTTTTATGTCTATTGTGGTACTTTTAAGGCCCTGTGTCCAGTTGCATAACACTTCCTGAAGTGAAATTGCTCCATTAAAGGGCACACCAATTTACATTGCAAATTAGGGGAAAATATCACTTCAGATATAATTATGCAACCGACCACTGGTGTTTTGTCAATCCTCAGAGAGTTTCACACAGTTCTTGGGAGCTTAAAACTCCCGATAATAAATTCAAGGAAGCGGATCTCACAGATAAATCACCCAGAGGTGATTAAATGCTGGTTACCAAAGGGATTGGTCAAAACAATATTTATTTTTCAACACCTGGTCTATTGGGTGAATCACAGTACTCACAAGGACTGCGCAGGATAGACGGAGTAGGTATCAGAGACCACTGGCTCAAATCTGGGAGCCAGCTAAATTTAAATCAGATTCTCAAATGTGGAGTTAATTGTCTCAGCCCAATTACGAATTACTTCACTAAATATTTATTTTTTAGGATATTATAGACTGTGATGTTTTAGTTCATAACTGAACGCTCGATTACAATTTAAACTATTGAAGGACTAACGCGTGTGTAGCCATCGTTAAACAAGAGAACGAACGAGTGCCATCCAGTGATGAGCAATGGCAAACCACTCGTCACTCTAACACATGACTCTACATTTACGTAACCTTTCCACAAAATACCCCACATATTTAATTGACAATTAATAATACACAATATAATCACTGCCCATGTACCATATTTACGTTTTAATAATTATTTCAAAGTATTACCGCAAGGTTTAATCCGAGTCCATCATCACGGAGTAGAGGTGCAAGGCTCAGGCTTGTGGATGTGGAAGGCTGAAGAGATATTCTAATCGGCTTGAAGAGTTAAAACATTTTTCGCAAAATGTGAAAACAAGAGAGAGAGAGAGCGCAAGCCTTGGCAGAGCAATGTGCAACGACCAAGTCATCCACTCCTGTGGGTTCACCGAATTCCATACAGCAGATAAATATATACCATACAGCAAGTGTACAATTGCATGTCAATTGTATTTTTTACACTGGTTGCGAATAACTGATTACATTTCCCAGTGTTAATTAGCGCATCTAAAATGTCCTTACACATGGTTAACACAGTGCACTATGGTCGACTCGTGTAATCAGAATGAATGGGTACACGGTGGCTCTCCAGCACGCAGCTTTGTCTCTGAACTGCTCATGTTTCCATTTCGTGTTGCCTTTGTCTACACAATGCCTTTAACATTTACCATAGAGTATTGCACTTTTAAAACACGAGCATAACGCACCGCTTGCATCCTCTACAAGTTTATCAGCAGAAATACACAATAGCTGGAATTTCATATCAGTAGCATACATGTACGAATTCAGAATGACCTTCATTATAACGGTTGACAATTCATGTGTAGAAATGTACACAAATACCAAGTGACAAGTGAAAGAATCAAAGGTAAACTTCATAATAGAACAAGTAGAACTTTAATAAAGTCCAGGAAAGAACCAAAAAGAAAATACTACTTATCGCTGCCAGAGCGATAGCTTATCCAATCGGATGGAACAGTGGCCAGAACACACGACTCACGGACGTGCCAAGTTCAAAACCTGGTCAGGGTCCAAATAAATGTTTTACCGTCACGGAGTTAATAGAGTCAGTAGCATGTTGTAATAAGTTAATGGCACTCCATGGTATGACTGCATCACAGGAATATGGAATATCACGAGCAGGTCAGGTAACCAACATGGACGAGCAGTACTGATTTGCTCATTTGTACCGGGAGAAGCTTGACTTTCAGGGCTCTTTGCCAGTAGTGGGAATTTGATTTTATTATCATGTGGACAATAACCCTCAAATAATAACAATTGCTACTATGTGAGTATTGGATCCACATGCCTCGGTGGAAGGGTTCATTGTGCTCATTTGCACACACAACAAACACAACTGATAATGGAGACGTGGCCACCCGAGAACCCATACTTGTCAGAGGCCAAGATTTTCACAGTACCTCGTAGATGAAGTAGACCTTTGCTCCAACGTAGATGCCCATCCGCACCACCGCCCTCACTGCAGCATTCATCCCTGCACAGCGTTAAACACACACACAGATTCCTCAATTCACCGTTTGGACTGTAAAGCCAATACAGTTATAGAGGACCTGTTACGTCCAGTCGTCAAACACCCAAAAGCCTTTGAGCTCCCGATTGCCGACGCTTAAACACCGTACCAGGTATTCACTTTAGGCCGAGTCGACCTAAAGGAAAACCACTTTTTTCCACAGGCTTCGGATTCTCACAGCCAACATGTCTCAAGTCGAGAGCCACTGTATTCTGCCAAGGATATCTGAGAATGCAGATGCACTGGCCTTCTTGAAACAACCCCAAAGTGGCACTTTCCCAGTATGCCCATCTTGCTACTGGGTATCTTGCAAATCTTGCAACACCAGCTTCGTATGCTCCTTTTTGAGCATCTGTTTCCAGTTGCTGGAAAAGTCTTTTAGGCCCGAGAGATGTTCTTTCTCTCAGATATTATATTGAAAGGATTTCTGGATCTCAGATGCAATGGAAACTTAATATTGTAAATTAAAATTAACTGTTCATTACTCCATTTGTTTCAACAACACCATGTATGCAGTTATACCTGTTCTTATTGCTTGGTTATTTGGACTAAATGGGAGTAAATGTCAACGTGCATTTTTTTCTATTTTGTAAAAAATATAATTGCTGCAGCATTACTGTACCGTTATTGAACAACGCAGCACGAAAGCAATCCTACTTTCAGCGAACAATGCTGCTCTGACTGTGATTTTGGTCAAGTGCCCCATGTTAAAGAGTGCACCACCACACCCTGCACACACCCTTACACAGTGAGTACACGCGTGGTCACGTCTAAAACTCTAAGAACCACCAACTCGTAAGTCAAGTCGGCCGTCGGTTTCAATTTTCTAATCAAATAAATAATGAATGGTGCGCAAGCATGCGCGAATGCACATTCGCACACGATGTCAGCAGACAGCCGACTGGGTCGGGAGAGGCTGGGCTGGGACTGGGTGCAAGTGTAAACCCCAAGGGGTCCCAGAAAATTACTATAGGTCATTCAATGCGTGCGCATAATAAGTTACCGCTTTTCCGCACAAAACAAACATTTTACGTACTCAAAAAATTCACGACGTTTCGGCCACAACACAAGTGGCCTTCATCAGGTGAAGGGACGAGACTGTCTCGAGGACAGCGCTAGACAGTCTGGTCCCTTCACCTGATGAAGGCCACTTGTGTTGTGGCCGAAACGTCGTGAATTTTGTTTTATTTTTTACCTACGTGACTTTACCGAATAGAACCAAAGAGTATGGATCCATGTGCATTGGGACATTGGACCCACATGGATGTAGGGTGGTCATAAAAAGACAATACAGCAAGTAGGACACTGTGCTACCATCACGTACTTTTTAATCTAATTCCATGCGTGTGTGAGATTTCTCCAAACATGCCAAAAACAGTTAATAAACCAGCCATTGGCCAAATATCCAAATGCAGGACCCTTCTTCAGGAAATAAGTCTTAAAGGACAATGAGGTTTTCCTGGTATAATTGAATGAAGGATACTATTCGTAGGAAATGTTTCGTGCCACTGGTGCAGCCAAGAGGTTCAAAAACAGAATGATTCAGTCCATTCATTGTCCCTCTCCAGAGCTTGGCACCACTTTTGCTCGCACTCAACTGTTCTGCCTAAGGCTTTTGAAGCCAGTCTACGTAACAAATGTGTCCATGGAAAACCATGCCTTTTACAAAATGTTTCAAACACATTTCACTTCTACCCCAGGTCTATATAGACTGAAAAACTTTGGGAATCATAATAAGACATGATCCGTCCACTGCTGGATGAAATATATAAATGTGTCGTTAAAAACCGCCACTACCCGATATAGCCAACTAGTAAGGGTTGTCAGGTAAACAGAACGTGGCCAATTCGTCACTAGTACAGCACACCGGTGTGTTGGAGAGTCAAGCCACAACATTTAAAATCGGAGTACGACGTTTCGTCAGTAATCACAACTAGCTTCATCAGGCGAAAGCCAGATTTGTGGATAAGTCTTACTGTTTCGTTCCTTATATAGAGGTGTAGATGTGGTGACCACGCTTCTGCGCTCTTGCACAATGTGGGGGGGGGGGGGGGGTTACTGAGGCAACGTACATGATGCATTATGCGAGCCCTTTGAACTTGTACTTCCTGTATATTGTTTATTAAAATAGGCCTACCAACGGTAATCCCTAATGAAGTACGCTGCCCTTTGTAGGCATGCATTTAAATAATGTATTATTTGATTATTCGCTTCCATGCAGCACTAAGGCGGTAGCTATCCTAACGGTTAAAGTTATTTTGATTTATTTCGATTTCGATAGATTCTCTAATTAGTCTTGGCCAGTCGTAGCTAGTTTTGCACAAAACTTCAACATTATCAAAATCAATTGAGTGTCCTTGTTGGCATGCGTGTTCTGCTACTGATGACAGTTGTATTTGGAAGAATTTAATATTTCTCTGATGTTATTTTAGTCTCGTGCTGATCATTCGTCCCGTTTGCCCAACATAACATTGCCACACGTGCAGTACACACCTTCTGTTGATAGCTTCAGTAATACATATTTTGTACCAGATATTAATTTCTGTATTTTATGTACCATGCCAAATCTGACTCAGATGTTTTGTTTTTCCAAATATCTGGCTAGTTTATCAGTTACTCCCGCAATGTACGGTATTTTGATCGTTTTAATTACTTGGGCAGTTTCAATGCTGTTGATATTGGATTTGGTTTTGGTATTCAATGCCCTGTTGAATTGTGTATCATTGTAACCGTTCATTTGCAGCGCTTCTTTAACATGTTGAATTTCACTTCTCAGACTGTCACCATCTGACACTTTCTTAGCTCGATGAATGAGGGTCTTGATAAGAGCAGATTTCTATGCAGGGTGATGGTGTGACTGCATTCAGATAGGCGTCAGTATGCGTTTTCTTTCGGTAAACACTTTGTGTTATTTTACCATTTCGACTCCGTCCGAGCAGAATATCCAGAAATGGTAGAGTTCTGTCGGCTTCCACTTCCATGGTGAACTGGATGGATGGGTTTTGCGAGTTGAGATGATTTAGAAATGCGTTCAGTGTATCTTTGCCGTGTGGCCAGACCGCCAATGGGTCATCCACATATCTAAACCAAGCAGAAGGTTTTAGTGTGCTTGAAGCTATTGCTTTTCTTTCATAATCTTCCACGTACAAATTCGCTATCACAGGAGACAAAGGAGAGCCCATTGCTGCTCCTTTCTTTTGTTTATAGAAGTCACCTCGCCACAAGAAATGTAACACATTTTAGAAATATATTTTTAAGCACAATGTTTATTTCTTTTCGTTAAGTTCAGCAGTTCAGCAGTGTACATCTCCATGTCCATTTTTTTTATTTTACTGTAGATTTGATGAACCTCCATGGTGTGCTTAAAACAGCACACTAAAGAGGCTGTGTTAAGTTAGGCCCTTAAAATATCTTAAGCAAAAGCCTACATCAATTTTCTTCGGGTTCTCCGGGTTTTCCTTCCACATTTAGAATCAACATGCGTTTAGTATTTGGATTATATACATTTACACGTGATTGGCCATTTCGTTGAGCTGTCATTTGTGGCCAGGTCGCTTCTGAAAAAGAGTAGCTCAGTGGGCCTTACCTGGTAAGATAAAAAGTTTAGCACCAGTAGCACATTCTGTGAAAAGAAATCTAAATTCCATTTCCAATCATGGGCGTTTTTACTTTGAGCTGGGCCCAACTAAATAGGGCCATATGTGTACAATAAATATTTACTGATTGAAGGAAACAACACTGATCACTCTCCAAAGAGTGAAGAAGCATCGTAAGAGTAGAGATTATTGTTCTGACCATTGTTCTGTACCAGCATCCTCTAGGAGTTACAAAAACAGGTCCTGTGTTGCTTAATATAATTGTGAAATTGCAATCTCGCATTGGACAGCCCAGGATACACTGCCTTACTTCGTCTATATCTACAAACAATAGCTACTTGGGGGGGGTGGGCAGGGGGGTTGGCAGCATTGTCCTTGTTACCTCAGAAGAAAATGTACAAGTTCAATCAAGACCAGAAGGACAGCACCAGATAAATACAGTGGTCGAACAAGGGCATACAACGTCACCGAGCTCGCTCTCAACACAGCAACAATGCTGTACTGTATGCGTCGCCATTCCTCCAAACAGTGTGTGCACAGCAGGCAGGGTTGCCGTGGCACAGTGGGGGGGAAATTGCTGCAGACTTTGTGTATTGGTTCAAAAGGCTTAAAAGCAGGGGTCGGCAGCAGCCCGCGGCTCCTTAAGGACTGTTTCGTGACTCGTATTCGCATGCATTGCGGCTCTAGAAACATTCAGCTTTTCACCGAATCTGAAAAATGCCTCTTCCTGTCAATTTTTGGTTCCCGACCCCTGGCTTTTGAAAGAGGCAGGACAATGTTTCCATGCAATCTACAGAAGAAATGTTGTCCATGTTTGATCATGTTCACAACTTGGTAACGTTTAAAGTATGCACGTGAATGGTTGCAATGATTTCACAATGGTTTCCATTAGTTATGGACTCAATTTCAGGTTTAAAATGCATTTCCCACTTACGTGAAAGTCAACTGAATGTAAAATTAATTGCATTTGTAATATCAGTGCCCTTTATTTACGGCACAGCGTCTTTTATTTGAAGATCTCAAACCGTCTATATGAACATTTATTCATGCTATGATAGCTACAATTCCGACCAAGTTTCATTGACAAAGATTGACACTGATAACAATACAAATACAAATTATCCAAATAAAAGCATCCACATCAGTGGAAATACACTGCAATGTCTTATATTTCATGGAATAGCAAGTGTCTGCAGTTGCCTCTTATCTGGTTTGCAATACATAACCTAATTGAATTGCATTTTATTTAGATTACTGTGTATCCATTATGTGCAGATTTAATTTGCTTGTAAATTGATATGAACGCAGTTTTTCAAGTGTCAGTACCACATAGGTCAGGACAGTTCCTGCCAGCGCCAAGGGTGTACTTGGGTCATAGGTCACCTTACCATAATCCGATCAGGCACCAATGTCTTAAAGGTCTGACAGCAGCTCAACTCCCATCATGGGTTCAAGGCCTCTTAAAGTTAGTGACACTCTCACACTCATTGAACTGGGGCTTGGCAATGTATAAGCTGCCTAGGGGCCTGTTTTAGGCACCCAGGTACACACTTGTGTGATGTGTCGGCCTTTAATAGGTGCTTGCTAAAGCACTTGCCCCAACAGTATGTTAAAGGCTACACGGGATGTCTTTGGAACCATAAATAACAAATGTAAAAACTGAACCAAAGACTGAAAATGGGGCCGAGTTAAGTTTGAGAGGTGGCATTAGGGTCAAATTTATGGGCAGGGATAGGGCTATTAAGGATATGGGATAGGGCTATTGTTAAGGATATGGGATAGGGCTAAAGGCTAGGTTGTGCACTCTTCCACTTAACATTTGCCCAGACACATACCGCCCAGTATGGCCTCTTCACTTTTTTCCCCACTTTCTCTTCTGATGTATAAGCAGCTGGCAAGCTTTCGTGCAGCCCCAGAATGATGCAAATGGGCCTTTACACTGATGTACAGTGCAGCGCTGTGAGTGCACTCCAATAGGAGAAATGGAGCTAAGTGAATGTGCAGTGCAAAACATGTGAATTGTGCCTTGCACATGAAAGATGTTACCTCAGTTCTGTTTAATTTATGTTCGTGCACGTTTTAATCCAACAAGTGTCACATTATTTAAATCTCTCTCTTTCAACATTGCACAAATTCAGGGGTAACCTACATTGTAGCAATCCGGCTTTAGAAAATGGTTTCCAATCCAATAATTCTATTCACTAAGCTATATTATTAAATCTAGGAATAAAAATTTCAGGGTATTCTACGATTCTAAGGAGACACATTCATTTATTCAACTTCAAAATAAGTGATTCACTGTGTTAACCTTTACGGTCTGCAAACTAATAGACTACATTGGTCATGGCACGGACAGTAGTTTAATTATTTAAAATCATCCTTAAGCCCAGGGGGATGTACTCTATAAAGCCCTGTCTGGTGTACTGGCAGATGTCACCTCTGTGCATACCATGGAATATTGCGGACGGCAAATCTTTGCTGCACACAAAGGAATGTAATGTTTATTTAGTGCACGGTCAAAGAGGGAACATCTAAACCAATGCAAGCAACTGTTGCAAATGCTTTTGTGGTGGTTATGCACGCCTGTGATCCAGCACTGTGGAGGCGAGCTGAGGCCGATCACAATTGTTGTGAAAACTCCCTTCCCGTGGACAATCGAAGGTGCCATACCCTGACTTACCAAGAGAATGCAGTACAGAAAATGAAGACTTCACCTGTTCTAATCCGTATGAGTGTTGCCTCTTCATACACGTGGGTTTTCTCCGGGAGCTCTGCTTTCCTTCCGCATGTAAACACTCATTCATTGGCCGATAACATACACACGGAGGATCGCAGAGTTTGGGGTGGAATGTGAATACAGCTCACCGCGGCTGCCTTGCCCGCTCGTTTGTAGTTCCTCGCGCCTCGGACTCATTCTCTCTCATCGAGTGTGAGCAAATACCTCTACAGCGCGTCGCAAGTCGAAATTCCAAATAACCTAAGAACAGAATCCATAGCCGAACCACTTAATAAGACGTCACCAAAAGCATATTTTACGGCGACTATTCGACTGTGATAAGATTTTGATTACCTTCTTTACCGAAAGAACCAAAGAAGATGAATCATTGCAGTCACGAAAGCTTTAAATCGAAATTTTGATTACCGTGCACGTTCTGCTGATTCATGAATTCTGAGATTGTTTCCTCCATACCATGTCGCCACGCCACGTGTGTGTGCAGTTTCACAACTAAGCACAGTGGGGTGGGGATGCCAAGATTCTTTGAGATCGGTCTGGGCATACGAGGACAACGATAGGTGTTTATATATAGTTGTATATACAGCTGCTATTTCCGGTATGAAAAGCAGCTTGCAGGTGTAACAATCCTTGCTGGGGGTTTAGTGCAAAGTGCTGCATCTGCGAATCATGCACCCATGGCACGGGATCGTATATCCATTGGATAAAAGTGGTACTTATCTACTACCGGAGAACGATGGGCTCAGTCAACCATGGCCAAGATTTGAATTCCCAACCTTTCGATTGTGCTAAAGGCGATCGAGAAACAGTATCAGAGAGACTGATTCCCTTGCTGTGGCTGTTCCACCTGATGAAGATTGCTTGTGTTGCGATCGAAACGTCGTGACTCCTTTTATTTTATTTCTACCCACGTGACTTTACCTAAAGAACCAAAGAGTATGATTCCCTTGGGTTGAGACAATGTTAAAACGGAGTACAGTACCCGTAACGTGTGGTCTATCTCAAGTGTGGACACTCCACATGGTGGGATAGGGTGGTCAGAACCAAGCTAAATTGGTCCTCATTAACATGACTTGTCCAAACAGTCCTCGCAAGGCTGAAAATGTCTGCATGTGTTCCAGAGTTTGTGTGTTTGTCTTTGTTCAATAGTGTCTTGTGTGCTCCAGAGCCTGTGTGTTGGAGGTATGTGTGTGTGGGGCCGGAGCGGTAGTGTAGCGGTTAGCGCGCTGCACTGCGAACCCGAGTTCAACGAATTCAATTCCCACTCATGACCAATACCAGTGACGATTATCTGTACCGGTCCTGAGCCTCCCCTAAGTCGACTTAGCCTCATATGAGTTCCTGGTCCGTGCGTGGTGCTGGCCACCCACCCCGTCGTGTGTCGTGCCGGCCTTCATAGACGCTCGATAACAGAACTTGCCACAACACTCTGTTAAGGCTATACAGGACCTCTTTGTCTTTGGTATACATGTGGCTGGAAAACGTGCCCATTCACAACCACGAAACCGCCACCACACCCTTGTTAAATACAGCTGCACTGCTAAGCCAAAACGTTTCACTGCTGCTGCTGCATAAGATTTCCAGAAGGATTAACCAGCTGAGCAAACGCAACGGCTGCAATCGCAGCCACTGTAATAACAATAGAGGCAGCCACTGTAATAACAATAGTGGCAGGCGTAGAAGAGGGCACACGTTATGCTGCGGCATGAAGCCGGCACCATTGCGCACCAGACGCATCGTCACGTGCCGCTGGACTTTTATTCGGGAAGCATGCAGAGGGGATGCATTGTGGACATCGTTTAATAAGGCAAACTCATATGGGAAGATGTATGCACACAAGCCTGCGCGTTGCATTAAGCATGCAACATTTTTGTTGGTCTTAATAGTTGCGTTATGCATATACCTTAACATTCGGTAATATAAGGTGATGTGTTAAATTACTGAATTATCACGGTGCTACTGCACTTCACCACATTGTGCCATACATTAACGATGCATTCTCGAGAAACCGTGATATTTTGCCACGTGAATCATGCCCACTCACGTAGGAACAGGTTTGACCTGTAAACATTCAAACAACTGCAAACATGAAAATCCAGATGACTAATCGATTCGCATTTTCGTGCTCCAGTGGACTTACAGATTATTTCACTCGTACTGTACCACTCGCATAAAGAACTTCCTGCTGCTCCACCCATAAACCACGCCAGGGATATGACACAAAACACAATTCTCGACACGCTTCAGGAACTCTTGTTGCGAATTTTGATCTCTCTGCTCTCATAATGGTAGACCTGCAACTTTTACAATGTGGCCCTCTGGATATGCAACAGAGGGTTTCTCTGCGACATCCGTTGACCTCCACTCTGTGTTCGGCAGACCTCAATTCTCAGACGACTGATACTCCTGTTTAAAAATACTAACCTCTTCGCCCCAACCACGAACTTCTGTTGCGACCGAGGGCCTGTGCGTTTCAACTACAGAAAAACCTCCCAGCGTGGGAAATCTCAACTTCAACCACGGAACTTATTTCAAACACGGATCGTTATTCTATATGGGCCCCTGGTGTACGTGTGTATACTACCTGTCGACCCATACGGGTTTACCCCGTATTCTTGTACAAGGGAATTGAGTTTTCAGGTCCATACGGCGTACATCTGTTTCGATACGGGCAAATCATATTTTTTACATCATGAGACTTTGTAGGATGTACGATGGGATTTATGCGTGCACGGGATGACCAAAAAGGTCTGAATTGGTCACAAAAATAAGGTAGGCACTGATAAAGGGATTGACGGGTATGCATGTGTACGTGTCTTTTCCACCGTGCAAATCGCACCACATGCGTCATTAAAAACCACATTTCTCATTCACCCAAGCACGGACATCACATTTACAACTCTGAACATCTCTCTCTCTCTCTGCACCGCAGATCTCCCTCGTTCAGCCATTTGACCGCTCCGCTCAAAGCACAGAACCTCCCGGGGGGCTCCAATCCGCCCTCTTTTTTACAAAACGCATGCTTCGGTTAAGTCTAACGGCACACCCTCCAGGAAGAGACAACAACAAAAACACCCGCGCTTCTTCAACCATGGACCTCTGTGCGAGTCGCGCCGCACCCAACCAAGAAGACCATCGCTGCTGGGTCCCGAAAACATCGTAAACCGCGTGGGTCAAAAGTGAGAGCGTCCACCGATCAACAGCAACACGCATCGCCACAGATCTCACCTTGGGCATCTCCTCCGCTTGTCAGCACCCCGATCGCCCGTCCAGCCCCAGAGAGGCTCTCAAGGAACTTCTTATCGCTGGGAGCCATCTCCTCGAAATGTCCTTCCTACGAACGCGGCGACGGCGGCGGCGACTGCAACGCTCTGAATGAACGCCCGTGAGAGGTGTGCACTTGGGATCCTCGACCGAACCTAATGCCTACATGAAACCCACCCACCACCACCCCCCCCAAAGAAAACACAATACTGTGTGATAGCGCACCAGACGGCTCTCTCTCTGGCTCTCTCTCTCTCTCTGTCTCTCTTGCTGGCCTAATGAGAAGATGGGAGAGACGAACGGCGAAGAAGGTCGCGGCCGCCAAACAGAGGAGGTTTGCGGTACGACGCCGATCCGCAGTGGTGGACGCACCGAGACCCGCCACATCAGCTGTCTGCGGCGGTGACGTCACACTCGGCGTGCTGCCCCCTGCTGGCTGACGTCACGGGATGCGCACGCAAGCCTGGGACCACCAGGTGTCTCGTGACCCACGATTAATTGACCCCCCGCCCCCCACAACGTGTTATTTTTTTTCCTCCAGAATGCATGTTAATTTCTGTTTTAAATCCACGTTACTGAAGAAGAAGGAGAAGAAGAAGATGAAGAAGAAGATAATAGTTTCATAGTTTCATTTATTTTGGTATAGCCCTGTGAGCCATTCGGCTCTTGAATCGGGTGCAACCGCAACAAACAAAAACATGAACAAGAAAAACATCTTAAAGTGACTATGTGACTGTGCAAACAGAAAATCCAGGAAAAAAACATCAAATAATTCCTGAAATAGCACTGTACACCAACGCTGTGTGCAAAAATCCCAATGGGATGCAAGTCAAACAACAACAACAACCACAAGACAACTAAGATTAAGGCCATCAGTCTAACTCCGTACTACAATAAACAAAAACATAGCCAAACCAAAAAACTTTTAGAAATCACCAAAATAAAGCCATAAATGCAATTTAACAGTTATCATAGGAACTGTGACCGAATTTTTTTTACAATAAACTACATAAAGAAGAAGAAGACGCAATACGTTTTAGATCATTAAAATCGGGGGTCACTTCGACATCGGGAACCAATCTGTAGTTTAAGGAGAGCCGGGTTGTGGTGGTGATTGTGGTTGATGGTGGTGTTGGTGGGGAGTGGTGGTGTAGCGGTGAGGGCGCTGCGATACGAACCCCTTCACGGCCAACACCAGTGACGAATTATCTGAACCGGTCATGGTCCTTCCCTAGGTCGACTCAGCCTCAAATGAATACCTGGTGGGGTGCGTAAACATCGCCATTAGGGAGACAAAGGCGGTCGGGCGTGGTGCTGGCCACTCACCCCCTCGTGTACCGTTTCGACCTTCATAGATGCTCACTAACGGCACTTGCTCCTACAGTCTGTTAAATACTATATGGGGGGGGGGGGGTATTTGTCTTTATTACATAATAGTATTTGGAGAGATGACAATTTGAGGGAAGCCTTCATCCAGTAGTAGATTGATCATGGCTGATGATGGTGGTGAATTTGGCATGCAGAAAATATGAATACTGTACAGTATAAAGTCGGGTGAAAGTGTCTCCTTGTTCATGATGAATGACCATTGCGTGCATCATAATCAGTGCTTGTTGCAAGCCCATCTGGGAACAATATGGGAAAACGTGTTCTACGGCCCTCGAAATGATCCATTCCTGGTAATGTGACATACGAGATCTAGTCAAGAGACAACGATTTAGTGAGACGACATGGAAAAAGAGATTTAGTGATATGAAAGGTGAGATATGTAGTGAAATTATAAGATACAGAGATGGCATCAGATGAGAGTAGGTACATGTCGTGAAGATAGAGATGTAGAAATTATCGATACAAGTTTTAGTGGTTTAGAGACAGTAAGGCAACATGGATATAGATATATTCAGACAAGAATTGAGAAGTATGGTAGGATATTTCCAAGATGAGTTAAGGGAAATGAAAAATATATTCTTCAGCCACAGGAGACTGAGGAATAATTCAGATGAGATGGGAGAGATTACATGAGCTAGATGTATTGAGATGAGAGAAATATGTATACATACGGTAAGAGAAAGGTATCATAGGAGATGCAACAAGATGATAAATGTATTTTGTAGTAAAACAGGAGAGATACGTTTTCAAAAGAGATATGACAGACAGCAAAGATATATTTGGAGAATGGCAGGAGGATACTCTACTCACAATGCCATCGGATATCGTTAGTTACAAGGATTCAGTCTCCACCCTCAGCGATGACCACCTCCAGTAGATCACATGACTACTAGACAAGCTACATAACGTATTTATATCAGAGTTATATCAAATACATAACGTTTAATACTTAACGGAATAAAATAATATCCATTGTGTTATTATAATCATTTGATGTTTATATCGATTAGGCTGTGAATTTGAACACATTTTTGGTGCATCGCTACATTTTCCCTAATCTGTGGCTCCTGATCTACTTGGGGCCCTACAATGTTACTTTGTTAATGCCTAGTATCGCCACTGACCATAACTACCACCGTCATCAACACCATGGACTGTGAGATGGTGGCTTCAATGGTGGAAGATTTACATACCCATTCCCACATAGGCAAACTACTTTTGACTTCCCACGAAAATGTGCTCGTTATATAAACTTTTTGAGGAATTATGGGCTACTTGCTGCTGACCTGGAGGTGAAAACTTTATAAAATACCAAATAGCATTCATGTATTACAGTGAGGGAAAAAAAGTATTTGATCCCCTGCTGATTTTATACGTTTGCCCACTGACAAAGAAATGATCAGTCTATAATTTTAATGGTAGGTTTATTTGAACAGTGAGAGACACAATAACAACAACAAAATTCAGAAAAACGCATGTCAAAAATGTTTCAAATTGATTTGCATTTTAATGAGGGAAATAAGTATTTGACCCCTCTGCAAAACATGACTTAGTACTTGGTGGCAAACTCCTTGTTGGCAATCACAGAGGTCAGACGTTTCTTGTAGTTGGCCACCAGGTTTGCACACATCTCAGGAGGGATTTTGTCCCACTCCTCTTTGCAGATCTTCTCCAAGTCATTAAGGTTTCGAGGCTGACTTTTGGCAACTCGAACCTTCAGCTCCCTCCACAGATTTTCTATGGGATTAAGGTCTGGAGACTGGCTAGGCTACTCCAGGACCTTAATGTGCTTCTTCTAGAGCCACTCCTTTGTTGCCTTGGCCATGTGGTTTGGGTCATTGTCATGCTGGAATACCCATCCACGACCCATTTTCAATTCCCTGGCTGAGGGAAGGAGGTTCTCACCCAAGATTTGACGGTACATGGCCCCGTCCATCGTCCCTTTGATGTGGTGAAGTTGTCATATCCCCTTAGCAGAAAAACACCCCCAAAGCATGTTTCCACCTCCATGTTTGACGGTGGGGATGGTGTTCTTGGGGTCATAGGCAGCATTCTTCCTCCTCCAAACACGGCGAGTTGAGTTGATGCCAAAGAGCTCCATTTTAGTCTCATCTGACCACAACACTTTCACCAAGTTGTCTTCTGAATCATTCAGATGTTCATTGGCAAACTTCAGACGGGCATGTATATATGCTTTCTTGAGCAGGGGGACCTTGCGGGCGCTGCAGGATTTCAGTCCTTCATGGCGTAGTGTGTTACCAATTGTTTTCTTGGTGACTATGGTCCCAGCTGCCTTGAGATCATTGACAAGATCCTCCCGTGTAGTTCTGGGCTGATTCCTCACCGTTCTCATGATCATTGCAACTCCACGAGGTGAGATCTTGCATGGAGCCCCAGGCCGAGGGAGATTGACAGTTCTTTTGTGTTTCTTCCATTTGCGAATAATCGCAGCAACTGTTGTCACCTTCTCACCATGCTGCTTGGCAATGGTCTTGTAGCCCATTCCAGCCTTGTGTAGGTCTACAATCTTGTCCCTGACATCCTTGGAGAGCTCTTTGGTCTTGGCCATGGTGGTGGAATCTGATTGATTGATTGCTTCTGTGGACAGGTGTCTTTTATACAGGTAACAAGCTGAGATTTGGAGCACTCCCTTTAAGAGTGTCCTCCTAATCTCAGCTCGTTACCTGTATAAAAGGCACCTGGGAGCCAGAAATCTTTCTGATTGAGAGGAGGTCAAATACTTATTTCCCTCATTAAAATGCAAATCAATTTATAACATTTTTGACATGCGTTTTTCTGGATTTTTGTTGTTGTTATTCTGTCTCTCACTGTTCAAACAAACCTACAATTAAAATTACAGACTGATCATTTATTTGTCAGTGGGTAAACGTACAAAATCAGCAGGGGATAAAATACTTTTTTCCCTCACTGTATGTTGAACTTCTTTTTGCACCATACATTGCCAACCGTGCTAATGGGAGATGTAATTCATCAGCATTCCAGAGGCATAAGGGACAAGACGGTAAACACAGCAGATTATTTCCCTTCACACCAACATTTATAAACTCCCCCCCCCGTGCCGGTCCTCTACAGCATTTTATGCTAATTCCTTTGTCAAGGCGTTTTTTTTTGTTTCCTCTCACACAGCTTAAATGACGCGACCTGGGCTTGGCTGTCTTCACTCCAACGCTGTCCTCTGGACAGTACGGTCCCTTCACCTGATGAAGGCCAATTGTGTTGTGGCCGAAACGTCGTGATTTTTGTTGTTTTATTTTTTACCTACGTGACTTTACCGAATTGAACCAAAGAGTAAAGACGGTAAACCTCATATTAACAATGGGTAAAAACACAGCAGAAATAAAACATTATTGGCAAGTGGTATACTCCATGCATGAAAATTGTATTTGGGAGCACGTGGAGGAGTGGTTATCTATTACAACATAAAGAGTGGTTTAACATAACATGGTGTGATATGGAAGGCAACGACATACTTTTCCTCCAAATTATATGATATTCTATTATCGGCTTCAGGTAATGATGTGAAAACATTCCCTTTTGGAACTCTCCCAGCTAGCATTGCAACCACCCCCTTTCAGACAGAGGCCCCAGGTGTACGGTTTTTTTTCACATCACATCACATCATTTTATGAGCAAAACTGGATTGTTGATACCCTGCAAGGTGGTATTTGGCTGAGCTGACATGCCAAGTGGGATTGCAACTCACGACATTCTGATTTCGAGCTGCCCACTAATCACAGCCCCATCCAGCCAATTTATGAGAACGAATGGATTGTTGTTACAAATACGCATATAATTTTCACATACTGTAATTGTGTACATTGCATTAACAAACACGGTTTATTCAACAGCATGTAATGTTTCATGCTAAAACAATGCATTTTTTATTCGTGTGATTTTCGCAGGTTCACAATACTGTACTGCAGTGCCATATAATAATCTCAATGCATTCAAATGATCTCAGAAAGGATTATACGCGACATGTCTTTCATTTTGCTCAGTAATACATGAAGTGCAGTATTCATGTAAGTGATCAGAAACTACAGCAGAATACCAATTCTCGTTTCGGTCAGTCACGCTGACAACAATTTCCTCTGCCCAGCCCATTTAAAGCGTCAGACATTAATCGGACATGAGCATATTTAAATCATGCAATCATTTGACTTGCACTTACAAGCTAAAGTGCACACAGTACATTTTGTACAGTACATTTTGGCAGAACAGTGTCAGTTTGTATACAGTATAGCAAACACAGAAACGTTCTGTGCTGGTCCTTTACATTTTCAAAGCAGTGTGGGCAACGGAGTCACGTCAAATATAAGACTAGGTAGTCTCCCTACGTAAGCAAACAAGGAATGGTGCTCATAACCATCAGCGGCCCTGAGTCAGTAATGGGCAGTCCACATTCCCAAATTAGACTTGTGTCTCCATGTACACGATACCCAAATGGTGTCCCCTAAAGAACAAGATAGAACCACAATATATTATTCAGACAGAATGTGACTTTGTTTACAGTTTCATACAAATCTCTCAACAAAAATCACATATCCCAGTATTCCCACCGTTCCTCAGATGACGAGGAAGTTCCAGATGTCACACTTCCCTCATAGTATATGCGACTAGGTTGAAACATAATTAGCAAACCTATTTAGTAAATTTCGATTTAAAGCTTTCGTGACTGCAAGGATTCATCTTCTTTGGTTCTTTCGGTAAAGTCACGTAGAATGAGAATAAAATAATAAATTGATAAAATAAAATATCACAATAAAATTCTCACGACGTTTCGGCCACAACACAAGCGGCCTTCGTCAGGTGAAGCGCTGTCCTCCAGACAGTCTCGTCCCTTCACCTGACGAAGGCCGCTTGTGTTGTGGCCGAAACGTCGTGAGAATTTTATTGTGTTATTTTATTTTATCAATTTATTGTTTTATTCTCATTCTACGTGACTCTATTTAGTAAATGTTTATATGGATATGAAATACCGCAATCATATAATGATGCCTCAATTATTCTATGAAAAAAGTAATACAATTGACTTGAAGTATGTGCGAATGTCATGGTCCAAATGTACTCAATTGGAATATACTGTACATAACAATCACTGCCCCCTCCTGCAAAGATTTGGCAGGGCTTTAAAAAGAGTCGTGATACAGAGTGAGGCTTTCATGGGTAAAATAAGCGTTATACTGTAATAATTAAAGGTGGCAGAATTTAAATGAAGTGCTTACGTATATGTATGTAGATTGAACTTCTTTCGCAGCGTACATAGCCAACCGTGCTAATCGAAGGTGCGGGGCAAGGACAATAGACTACACACACACAACGTACCCACTCCAATGCTGCAACCCTCTGGAAATTCCAGAGAATCGTGGAAATTATACGTCTCCACATCCACCAGGATCTCAGTAACGTCGCTTGCCACTGCTTGAATTCGCAAAGCCCTTTCGGCCCACGAGGTTAACCATGAACAATACAACTTCAACCCTGATCATGATGCATGGAAAGCCAAATGGAGTTCAAAAGGAGTCACAAACACCCCTGTGAAAGACCCGACGCAGAAGTTCCCTGGCTTCGATCTTTGCGAATCTTATAAGCTACAACCATTAAACCGCATCCACACGAACCCTGGCAGATACGGATACTTAATGCACAAAATGGAACATTAACAAATCTCTGGTGTGCGACTGCGATCACCCAGAACCGACCATAGAACATATAACGACTCAATGGCCGATTCATCATCACAGCGATGCACTATACTTCTCCAGCATGATGCAATAATTATCTGGCTCAAACACCTCATGGAAAATTAGAGTTGTTGCTCTACTTTAAGATCAGCCTTACGAGAAACACAGAGTTAGGCCACAAGGTGGCGGCTCATGTCGATAATTCTCAAATATGCGAATGAATGCTGAATGTAGGCTAGCTTCGATCTTCTACGGGCACCAACAAGCACAATCCCCACCACAGCCACCGTCAATCATCATCACTACTATGCTCACCATCATCACTTATATTCTCACCAAAGACTAAGATTCCCGATATAGCCTTTTAACAGACTGTCAGGGCAAGTGCTGTTGTGAAGGTCGGAACGGCACACGAGGAGGTCAATGGCCAACACCACTCCCTCCCCCAGTGGCAATGCAGGGTGCTTCAAAAAAATGTTAACACTCATTATGGGACTACCGTTTTTAATGGAAACCTGAACGGATAAGACACTGTAACGTGACAACAAATGTATGTTAATAGCTTCACAGATGCGTTTTTTCTTATGTGGGCCGAGTGAGGCGTGGGGTGCATAGGACTGAGTTATGACTATGCTTTTTACGTTGCAGGCCACTTGAGTACATGAATACATATTCTTGGTTCTTTCGGTAAAGTCACGTAGAAGGGAAACAATAAAATAATAAAACATTTCACACCTGATGTTAATTGCTTGTGTTGCATTCGAAACGTCGTGAGAATTTTAATGTTTAATATCTTTATTATTTTATTGTTTCCCTTCTACGTGACTTTACCGAAAGAACCAAGAATATGAATCACTGCAGTCACGAAAGCTTTAAATAAAAATGTTACATGAATACATTTCGATTTAAATCTGTCGTGACTGCAGGGATTCATATTCTTCGTTCTTTCGGTAGAGTGATGAAGGAAGCTTGTGTTGCCTCCGAAACGTCGTGATTTAATTTAGTTGCTTTTATATATTTATTTACCTACATGACTTTACCGAAAGAACCAAAAAGTATGGATCCTTGCAGTCACGAAAACTTAAAATCTAGAATAAAAATAAAACACATGTTTTTTTTCCCTTCTACGTGACTTTACCGAAAGAACCAAGTACATGAATACATTTCGATTTAAAGCTTTCGTGACTGCAAGGATTCATCTTCTTTAGTTCTTTCGGTAAAGTCACGTACAATGATAATTTTATTGTGTTCTTTTATTTTATTATTTTATTATTTTATTCTCATTCTACGTGACTTTACCGAAAGAACCAAAGAAGATACATGATTACAGCTTTCCACTGATGCTCGCCCGGGTTTATCGGTAGAAAGTGAAATCTGAAACGGAACTAGGCCACCTTCAACAGAATGTCAAGAGGTCGTGAGATTTGATTCACCACACTGGTCAGTTGCAGGTTGACGGAATGAGGCATTCTTGCATGAGTGGATTGAAAAAGAGCTGTACAGGTGCACTCTTTGTGATTGTTAGGGATGAGATGTCATTAAAAAAATGATACAGTTTCTCGAACCATCTTTGTTCTTTTTTAATATAAACGTCAAAATACACTAAAATATCGGGGGCCTGGGGGAGGACTTTAGTGATTTTTCGATGTGTTTTATTTATTAACGATTTACAGGATATAGATATTCAAAAGCCTATGCTTATTATCGAAGAAAATAATTTATCATAAAATACCAAAAACTGAAAATCGAAAGGCACAAACACAGCAGCAAACGTGCAATTTTGGGCCAACATTGGCGTGTGTTTGGAACTATTGGACAAACGTTGGCCCAATGTTCCATGTTTACCGGGCAGTTGCAGAGTCAACTCTCAACGTCTACTTTCCAATATTAACTTCATGTGCCTGTCAACGACGTCTGCTGGCTCCTTTTAAGCAGCCGCGTGTGAGCATTTTACGCGAGTCTTTATAACGCCGCATATCTCACGTACGTCGTATGGGGGACTCATATCATGCCTCCGCGTGAGTTGTTACTCTGGAGACAAGGGGATCCGTTGATCGATGTTCGCTCCCTGCGTTAACGACATTGGTTGTGATTTTTCACGAAAGGGTGTGTGAATGAACGCTTGCCATTTTCCACTGCAGCTCGGCCTCGGCAGACGAGCGCGGAAACGAGAACGCAGCAAGTGGACAGCTGTGAGAAACGGAAGCGTGGGGCCGACAAGAATTGCGAAGGTTGAGATATTTTGTATATTTAGGACTTTTATTTCGTGTGAGAAAAATACAGCATCGTTAAAGCAAAACACGCACGTGCCGATGTCAAAACACCAACTTGCAACCAAGACGACATCGAAGTTACCGATCATTCATTGTATTCCCCTCCCCACCACCCCCATTCCAATTGTCAATGGCATTCCTCGTGTTTGAAGAGGTGAGCGTTCACTGGTTGTTTGCCTGGCTTCGCACGTACGATGCCGCAGCCTTAAAAGCGAAGGGCGGAACTCAGCGTGCTCACTCCGTTCCCACCCGAGGGCAAAATCCCTCGCCACAATTCACACAACCCTTACGTTGTGCAGACTGATAGGCAGGTGAATAGCTGAACGTACATATAGGCGCATCGACAGACACACACACACAGGCGGACAGACGGACACACAGTCGGATTGATTAATATAGAGGTGGACAGATAGATGGACGCGCAGTGAATATTCACGCAGGCAGATTATTTGAAGATCTGACTAGTGGACACACACGTGTGGACAGGAGTATTTATAGACATACCGGAGGGTGGATATACACAGCAAAATTACACGCGTGGTGAGAAGTGGAGACTTACACAGACCGGCACTCAACATATTCAGACAGCTGGCCAGAGAGACAAATACAGCCGGACTCAGACAGGTGGACAGGGAGAAAAGTTGCGAGTTAGTAAGTGTGGCATATTGCCAGACACAGACAATGATAAGAATAACCTTTTATTTATAGTTAACCAGCTAACTATAAACAAAACCCACATAAACAGTCTACCTAGCAGAAATACAGTCCACAAGGGCAGACAGTAAGAAGAGTCTGTCTAACCAAGACTCATATAGACCTTAGTCATCCTACACGACCTTCATATATACATACATTCATAAAGACAGCCTCAACAGCATCTAGACAATTTACAAATACTGCAGTAGACAGTATACCGAAGTCATATAGACAGCCGACATAACAGCCACATCGACAGCTCGACTACGTGACAATCATATCATACAGACAGGCAAACAAACCACGCAGTCATATAGGACATTCGAACAAGGCAGTAAAGACATAGCAATCATATAGACAGCCGGCATGCCCAACATCAGCCTCGGCAGCATAGCGTGGCCCTCACCCTCCTGCTGTGACAATAAATCCGACAACGCATCCATCCCCACGGCGGATCCTTACCAGGGTTCAGGGTACCTAATCTACCAGGTAAGAACCACTGTGATATCGCCATTAATGTATCCATGAGACCTTCATTCATTTTAAAGAGGGTCCTGAATTGAAATGGTTGTAAAACGCGTGAGTGTTTCGTAATTGATTTGTTATTTCTTTGCCAAGAGGTTGTGGCAGGGAAACCGTAATCTTGTACCAGCGGCGTGCCATGAACTTGAAGTTACCAGCCAACCTTGCAATCTACGAAAGTTTCACAGGATGAAAGGAATCGGACGGCCGTTATCCTCTCAAAATTCGAAACACGCTGGTGGCAGATTGGACCACAAACCGCGATCCCTAGAAGTGGACAGGGCTAATGGAGAGCTGCAGTAAAACAAAAGAGGCTGCAGAGAGAGAAAAGTTGAGCTGCAGATCGACAGGGGGAGATGGAATGGGAAAAGCAGAGCTCTGGAGGGGAAACGGAGATGCCGAGTAAAAACTGTATGCACGGAGGGAAAACGTAGCGGCAGAGCTGCAGGGAAAATCGGAAGTAAAAATCCTTTTATTTTACAATATATTTATGTTATACAAACTAGTTGTGTATACTCTTTGGTTCTATTCGGTAAAGTCACGTAGGTAAAAAAAGAAAACAAAAATCACGACGTTTCGGCCACAACACAAGTAGCCTTCTTCAGGTGAAGGAACAGAACTGTCGGGACGACTGTGGCTGTTATGTCGGCTGTCTATATGACTTCGGTATACTGTCTACTGCAGTATTTGTAAATTGTCTAGATGCTGTTGAGTAGTAGGCTGTCTTTATGAATGTATGTATATATGAAGGTCGTGTAAGATGACTAAGGTTTATGAGTCTTGGTTAGACAGAACAGAACTGTCGGAACGACTGTTCCTTCACCTGAAGAAGGCTACTTGTGTTGTGGCCGAAACGTCGTGATTTTTGTTGTTTTATTTTTTTACCTACGTGACTTTACCGAATAGAACCAAAGAGTATGGATCCTTGCAGTCACGAAAGCTTCAAATCTAGAATAAACTAGTTGTGGTTACTTGGTTTGTTGAGCAGAAAAGTAAATTAGTTTTTTTGTTACTTGAATAACATAGACCCATTTGGCAAATGTGCCGTTTGGGTTTTTAGAAAACATCGTCTCGTATAAACCATATATCTTTTTGCAGGTTAATCAAGTAACGAGTCAATTGCCTTGCTTCCCGTGCATTAGAGCCGTGGGGCTTATTACTCCAAAAAATCCGCAGCGCACTGCGTTGGTGCCAATTTTCTTTTTGCGCATCATATCAGAATCAAAATCTTCGTTTTGACTGGAGGAATCCGATGAGATTCGAAGACCGTTTTCACAGATGTCCAGGATGGGCGGGTCAGCGAGTTACAGGAGCAGGACTAACCTCAGGTGCACTGTGGATCACATGATCCACGATGTGGTCCGCCTATACAGTATCAACTCGGATTTTTGGATTCCTACTGCACAGTTGATCAGTTCAACTCGTACAACAATTTTACAGCAGAGCTTGTGGGAAAGTGCACACCTTACCGTGTAAAGAATAGAAAGGCCGCTTTAAAATGTAAAAAGTCCCGTGAACAATGTCTTCTGTGGGCTGTTCTCTGACATACGAGGCTCGCTTATGTATGTTGAACTTCTTTCGCACTGCACGTAGCCAATCGTGCTAATTATAGATGCGGGCATTATATTTTAAAATTGAGTCTTCATTTCAACATGCAGACAGCACCGATGGAATACATTGGAGGGAGGGAGGGGGGAACTATGATTGATTACATTATAAGGCGTAATTTTATTGCATATGTGCCTATAATCAAGGTCAAGTAATGTACTATTATCCACTTGTGAACAGATTGTGCTAATTTCATCAACCATCTTCAGTCCTTCCCAAGTCATTATCTCTCAGTAATCCAGGGTAAAATACCACTGAGCACTTGCAAATGACCCGATTTCATCGCTGTACTTCGCCGTTGTTTACAAACCACGTGTCATAACAGATAGTACTTGTTTACGTAACATAACAACTATGAAGTATAACAGGAGAATTGAAAGTAGTAATTATTTCTAATTACTATATATGAAAACGCCCTTCCAATATGTATGTTGAACTTCTTTTTCATCATACGCAGCCAACCGTACTAATCGGTGGTGCAAAATTCTGTGTTGTAACATCTTAAATGTCTAAAATGTATAACATTACTTGTTGTGGAACTGGCTCCCACCACAGATATTAAAAATACGAATAACCATGGAATGAAGGCTGCTAGTGGAGATAGCCATGGCCCGTTGCCCACTAGAACAGAATTGTTCTGACATCTGACGTGCACGTTCCTTGCAGACAGAGCAGCTTATCACGCTGTGGGTCCTCTTTGTGCTCGTGATGTGCGGGAATGTTGTGGTGCTCCTTCTCGCCATACCTGCTCGTCAAGCAAAGCCACGGATGACCTTCTTTGCCATAAACCTGGCAATCACTGGTAGGACTTTCCCGCAACAGCACAGTTACTGATACAGCCCGAGGGGCGTTGGGGTGGGTGGAGGTTGTTTCATAAGAAAAAGGGGACCAGATCCTCCTGTTCACCATCAGTGATCCCTGCGACAGAGACCCTAGGCATTTGGTGTTGGATATCTCTTGCATAAAGGTTGTTTTTAATAATAACTCAAGGCATGCGTTACCATAAATAGTTCATCTTACGATCTCTCCAATATCAGCCAAGTCAGCACAGGAGTGGTTCACTCTAGGCTCTACTGTGTATGACAAATATGAATGTGGGAATCTAAAATCTGAGTTTCGTGCACTAACTAAAATATATCACATACTAGCGAGAAGTACACGGCGTTGTCCGTGGGAAAAATATATTTCAAAACTTATCTTAAAAACATAACATATACATTCACAAATACGAAGCTATTGTGAAAGCCCAGCGTGCTGTTTGTCTGTCCATTTGTCCGTCAACAAAATTATAAGAGGTTTGCAGAAGTCCAAAAAGTTATAGAAAGTGGGGGGTAAATAGTTGATCTAAAAGGTTTCCGAAAATTGTCGACCCACCCCCCCTCAAAAATATTTTTTACCCCCGCGTAGGCATATATACCTATACACCCAACATAAAATAGTGTGAGTAGTATGTAGTGACTATAGTAGTATCTGACTCTGCAGTAGTATCTGGCTCTACAGTAGTATCTACTGACTCTATAGTAGTGTTGTGCAGTAGAACCACGCGGAGACGAGGAATACTATAAGGGCTGTTGCCATTTATTAAATCACTGTCACACTCGACATCTTACGCTCACACCAGTGTAGGTGTACTCTATCTCGGTCCTTTAGCCCGGACACTGAATACTATTTGGGTCCTACCCTCGGCTAACCCTTGGCTCTCCCACTCGTCTGCCCGGAGCGGGGATTCAGCCAACACCGCTCCGCGATGGGGAGGGAGAGAACCCCTGCAGCCGATCCTTACCCTGGCTCCCCATGATGACCAAGCCTTCGTCACAGGGTCCCCCTTAAGAACTCCTTGGGCGGCTCCTCCCCCCAGCTTGGACCCGCCCCTGTTTCCGAAAGTGCTCTCCGAAGCCCCCTACGCAACCCGAAACGTTACGTCATCCTTGACTGTCAACCGGCTCGCACCTTCTTCTGTTCGCCCCCTCATTGGTTACTCACAATACTTCTCTACAGTAGTATCTACTGACTCTATAGTAGTATCTACTGACTGTACAGTATTATCTATTGAGCCCAGTGGTAGCTACTGACTGTATAGTAGTATCTACTGACTGTAGCAGTAACTAATGACCGTAGTAGTATCTACTGACCCTAAAGTAGTATCTACCAACTCTATAGTAGTAACTACTAAATGTATAGTAGTACCTGCTGACTCTATAGTAGTATCTACTGACTATAGTAGTAACTACTGACTCCATAGTAGTATCTGCTGACTCTATAGTAGCATCTGCAGACTCTAGAGCAGTATCTACTGACTCTATAGTCATATCTACCGACTCTGCAGCAATATATTCTGACTATAGTGGTATCTACTGACTGTAGTATTATCTACTGACTATAGTAGTATCTACCGACCCCTACGGTAGTATCTACTGACTCTATAGAAGCATCTACTGACTCAATAGCATCTACCGACTCAATAGTAGTAACTACTGATGGTAGTAGTATCCACTGACTATTGTAGTAACTACTAACTATACAGTAGTATCTACTGACTCTATAGTAGTATCTACTGACTGTAGTAGTATCTACTAACTGGATAGTAGTGTAGTGGTTCACATCAGTTTTTGTGACTGCAGGAATCCATACTCTTTGGTTCTTTCGGTAAAGTCACTTAGGTAGAAAATAATGGATCACGACGTTTCGATCGCAACACAAGCGATCATCATCAGGTGAGACAATTACAGCAGGAAAACTGCTGAAGCAGGCAAGAGAGCTACTGTGACAAGAGGTTATATAGGTCTGAGCTGGGAGCAACCCAAGGGTACGTGGGCAGGGCTAGAGATGGAAGAGAGAGGGGGGCGAGGCAGCAAGATCGGTGGCAGCCAGAGAGCTCGCCAAGGGAAGAGAGATGGGGGGGTTGGGGGTGGGGCAGAGCAAGATCGGTGGGGGCCGGAGAGCTCGCCAGGGGGAGAGAGAGGGGGGAGTTGCGGGTGGGGCAGAGCAAGATCGGTGGGGGCCGGAGAGCTCACCAGGGGAGAGAGAGGGGGGAGTTGCGGGTGGGGCAGAGCAAGATTGGTGGGGGCCGGAGAGCTCGCCAGGGGGAGAGAGAGGGGGGTTGGGGGTGGGGCAGAGCAAGATCGGTGGTGGCCGGAGAGTTCACCAGGGGGAGAGAGAGGGAGGGGGTTGGAGGTGGGGCAGATCAAGATCGGCGGCAGGGGGGAGAGAGAGGGGGGATGGGGTTTGGGCAGAATTAAGAGAGGGGAAGCAAGGGGGGAGAGAGAGGGGTCGGGCATAGATAATTGGTGGTAGGAGGAAGTTGTGTCTGCGGCAGCAGTTACATTGGGGAAACAAAACGACATGTCTCAGACCGTGTTCGCAAACACAAAGCAGATTTGAAACACAGCAGAACCAATACCTCTGCCGTGGCTGATCACTGTTTTAACGCGGTGGGCTCACACGACATTGTTTTTTTCCGAGACCAAGGTACTCTGCAAACCTTCGGGCTATCTTCAAAGATTTGTCCATGAAGCCATCCAGATGTATAAACACAGACACAATTTCAACCGAGAAGATGGATACAAGCTGAGCAATCATTGGAAGGACGTTATTAACCTCTTGTCACGGCAGCTCTCTCGCCTGCTTCAGCAGTTTTCCTGCTGTAATTGTCTCTCCTGATGACAATCGCTTGTGTTGTGATCGAAACGTCGTGATCTATTATTTTCTACCTACGTGACTTTACCAAAAGAACCAAAGAGTATAGGCAGAGACTTCTTAGAAGAAACAAGTTTATTTAACAATAAAGCCCTAACCACGAAGGGATATATCTGCCCCTTCACCAGCTACCCTAGGGAGGTATCTCCTCCGGGCTAGCTAACCCTAACTCACACGGGGTAGCTATCTCGGACCGGACCCCGGCTCGGGTCCGGGTCTTGTAGTCGGGCAGGTCTTCTCCAGGTGATGGCTTTGGTCTTGATTCTTGCAACAGCCAGCTGGACCCGTCCAGGGCTCCGGCTTATATTGCCCGTGGCGGGGCTTACTCTGCCCCTGGCCACGCCCCCCTTCTCGAGCCTTCGAGAGGGACCTGGTCCTGGTCCCGAGGTGCCCCAGCCCCTTCTTTGGGGCCCCTGGACCGGTACCTCCGGTCACCAGGCCTCCGCGTTCACATGGAGTGCCATGACCCCTGTGTACCCCTGCACCATCCCTAGTGCAGGGGTACACAGGGGGCAGGGGTGCTGGACCTTCCCGCTGACTTCCAAGGTTGAAGATGCTTCCAAGTTCCGACGGCTGCTACCGGTGCATCAGTTCACTGCTGCAGGAGAAGATTGGACGGATTTTCATCGTCGATTCGAGGCCGCCTACATCTCAGTGGGATGGACATCCCGGGAGGCGCTTCAAGCTCTTCCCATGCCCCTCGAGCTCACCTACACCGAGATGGCCACTATTTTTGATCCCCCATCTAATGTTCGAAGAAGATTCAGGCTGCGGCGACAGGGTGAGAGCAAGATGCCGCTGGCCTATCGCAGTGCCCTCCTCGCCTTGGGGCACACGACTTTCCCTCGCATGGACAGAGTCGCCTTGGATTCCCTCGCCTTGGAATGGCTTCTCTCCTTGGCTCAGGAGTTGGGGTTCACCCTCGCGGTAGCAGAGGGAGATGACCTGACTCCTCTGCAGGTGGCCCGTGGCATCCAAGCACACCTCAACCTTAAAGACTGGCCGGCGGTGGTGGCCAGGGCAACGGAGTCAGCCGTGGACGAGCAGGCATGTGCCTCCTTTGCCCGGGGAACGGAGGAAAGAAGCGCTGGCCTGTGCCCATCAGCACGGGATTGGCGCCTCAGGCTGAGCCAGCTCTATAGTCGTATCCACCGACTCTACAATAGTATATATCAACTATATAATAGTATCTAGTAAGTAAACAAAGTGCCATGGTGAGGCCTAGTCCCCTAGATTGCCCAGCCGGCTGAGGTGGCACCTTGGCAGGCTGGGGCTGGGCTGCTATACCCCCCACCCCAACGCCCGCTCTACAGTAGCAGTAACTACAAACTATACAGTAGTATCCACCTACTCTACAGTTGTATAAACAGACACTATAAAAGTATATATCGACTCTATAATACTAATTTCACAGAGTATAGTGGTGAGGCCTAGTCCCGTGCAAAGCCCCCGGCCTCATCTAGATTGCCCAGCCGGCCGAGGTGGCACCTTGGCAGGCTGGGGCTGGGCTACTGCCCCCCCCCCGCCCTCGCCATCCCCCCGCCCACTCTACAATATTATCTAAGGACTATAATAGTAGTATCTACCGATCCTATAGTAGTAAATGCACACATTGGGGAGAAGAGGACATCACACTGTGAAGAATTTACCTTAGCGTTGTGTATTTTGTGTTGTTGCATTTTTTTTACGCGAATGAGAATTCCCCCCCACCGATCGTGTGTGTGCGTTGCTAGGGCAACCACCACAATGGAGCCGGCTTGCTCGCGCACGTGTGCTCTGGCGCCACGATGTGCTTATTAAAGGGAATAAATTGGTAATTTAACTATTTTAAAGTTGACAGATGTGAAATACGAATAGCGCTTTTTCGTCCCAGGGCATACGGCGTGGTATCCGTGTACTCTTTTGATATGGAAACCCCACAGTTTGTCAGTTAAAAACGTCTCAAGGTGCCCGCGCAGACAGACATGCAGACGCACACGCACAAACACAGACAGACAAAAATGTACTTATATAGGTAAGATTGATCTTAGGCCAGCTTCCTATGGTAGGGGTCAGTCTCGTAATAGTGTAGTGTCAACGCTGGAGAGTTGACCCATTAACTTCCGGGATGTCCCGGAACGCCACCAACCTAAAAAAACAAAGAATAATTCCTGCAGTCACGAAAGCTCCAAATTCAAGTTTCAACCACCTCTTCGGGGAGGTATGAGGTATGTGTCTTTGTGTTCTCTAACTGGTGTGTTTACCTTCGTGTTCTTGACATAGGTTTATGTCTCTGTGTGTTGTCTCTGCCTGTGTTTGTGCCTTGGGTTTCCGAGTGTGTGCCGTTTGCTCTGCTGCCTCCGCGCCGCCCCTTGCTGCATGCTTCGTGCTAATTTGTGTCCCATTGTCTCGCCGATCATGTTTGGTTTCTTCCTTGGCCCTCGTGCCGCGTTCGAATTTGTTGCCCCGTTACAGAGATGATGCTTCACTGTGTGCCTGTCTCTCTCCATGTGTCTCTGTGCTAACTCGTTCTGCTTGGATGCCTATATATGTGTATGCGGTCTGTATATTTTTTAGATTTTAAATTTCACACTTAACTTACAATTTAGCAATCTTTGAAATAACGTAATCAACCTGACCTTGCGTTAACTGTGTTTTGACCGACCGTCTGTGTTGCGTTATATGGTTTCCAAATCTTGCTAAAACCTGTTTGATTTAGTGTGCTCCCACGTTTCTCTCTCTCTCTCTGTATCCCCTGTTGTATCTGTGTCTGTATATATATCTACAGTTATGTGTCTCCTCTCTCTCGTAAATTTAGCTCTTCTGTACCTGATGATGATTGCTTGTGTTGCAATCGAAACGTCGTACACTATTATGTTATTTTATTATTTCTACGTGTCTTATTTTATTTTATTATTATTTTATTCTCATTCTACGTGACTTTACCGAAAGAACCAAAGAAGATGAATCCTTGCGGTCACAAAAGCTTTAAATCGAAATCATTCTCATAATGTTTAGTGTTTCATAATTTGCTGTTCATTGCTTGGTTTTTCAACGTTAAAATATTGCTGTATTTGAATTGAATGTGTGTCCACTTTCTGAGTATTTTACAGATCTCCTAACAGGATTAGTGACCATCCTTACAGATATCATCTGGAGATATACTGGAGAGTTTCTTGCCAATGAGGCCATGTGTCGGATTGTGCGATATCTGCAGGTAAGCCTCATTCCCTTGGTAATTAAATATCACCACGATGTACCCAGGAAAGTACTGTATGTCTTAAAGCGGTGTGCCCACTGAAGATGAAACAAGACACAGTTGCAGTGCTGCTTGAGTAGTCAATCTTCAGCTGTGACATGTTCTTTCAGAGTGTTCCCATGTACAGGTTTTAAGGTGCTGCTCTCCTAGAAAAAATAAATCTGGGCAAGTAGCCTTTTAGAATATGCAATGATGTTCTGTCAACAACTCGTCAGTTCTGCAACATTTTTATTAACTTGTCAACCTGTCCAAACATGTTCAATGAGGTTGATTGGCTAAGATAATTCAACTACATTGGAATCCATAGTGGTCGTTTCATAGCTAAACACCTTTTATTTACTTATACAGTAAAGTGGCACTGAACCTTAAGACTCTTTTTTTCAGGAGGGTCCTGCATTCGGTTGTCTGACAAATTCCATTATTGATTGTTTGGCATGTGGCAGGAAACCTTCGTACCCAAAAAACAACACCACAATGTATGCTATACCATTGTGTTAATATCTTGAGGACATTGATCACATTAGTTTACATGAAGAGCAAAGGAGATGAAGGAAGAGGAACAGGGAGGGGAGAGGAGATATTCACCTGCAATTATAAACTAAACGACAAACTATTTTTATTTCACCAGGTAACGCCCACTGAGCTATATAGCTCTTTTTCAGAGCGAACTGGTCACAAATGAAAGCTCAACGAAGTGGCTTATCACGTGACATTTCATAGCAACAAAATACTCTAAATGCATGTTTATGAATGTGAAGGGGGAAACCGGAGGACCCGGAGAAAAATCCACGTAACCACGGGGAGAACGTACAAGCTCCAAATATACAGGCTTCAGGGTCAGGATCGAATCCAAGACCTTGTGCATACCAATTGAGGGAATTAATATCTATGCTACCGTGGCACCTAGAAAAGTCAGAGGAGACCAGCCACTTGTCTCGTCAATCTCAACATCAGCTGGTCAAACTGCCATGCCCATCCCATCCTGTCAGCAAAGTGAGATAACTTTGAATATTAATTTAATGAGAACTTCTGCTTACATCTTGCAGCTGTTGCCCCTCCATGTGGCCTATCGATCACTTTGTGGGAATTCAGCCAGGTTACTCATTCTCTCCTATTAAATTTAGTCCAATTAATGTAATCTAGAATGACGCATTGCCTATAAAAAATGATCACAGAAGCTTAAAAATACGGCAATAACCACGGTTATATAATAGAGCAAGCTATTGAGAAATAGGACGAAAAAAAACCTGCACCATAATTGGTGAACAGCATGTAATCTTAGATTTTGAAAGGAAGTTGAACTCTTAGTTAATTTTTTTTATGATTGCTTTATGTTGTCTCATATTCACATGAAAAAAAAGCCTTTCCAGTAAATATTACAGTATAAATTATTCATGGGAAGATAATTCTCATTAAAAGCCTTTTCAATTCATGAGAAGATAATTATCATTAAAAGCCTTTTCAATTACCAATCTGAGTATTCATAATTTGTCAAAGATGTGATTACGCTAAATGAGTAATACGTTGATGCACTTATCCGTTTGGTTTTTCATGGTACGTGGAAACACATTAATTCTCTCTATTATTTGAGCAGCTCACTTAATTGTTCAGAATGTAAAACCAAGTTTAATATTTTTGTCTACATCCTGCTCCCTCCAACTTACTGAGCAGTAGACATTGCAGTAACAATGATTTGTTCAACCAGAGAAACGTCAATTCAGTCTCAATATTCTTGTTCGATGCAAATGGAAACCAGAGTATCTAGAAAGCTGCATTTTTACAAGGTAAAAATAAATTATGTGCGGATAGGTGAGCAACCTTCTTGCTGTACTGCCTATTGCAGGCATCTCAATGCTTCTGTGGATGGCTCCTGATTCAAATGGCGCCGTCCCGGCTGTCCCATACATTGAGCATGTGCCACCACACTCACAATTGACAAAACACTGTTTTGAAGGCCACAGCACTATTCCGCGCTAAGGAGCAATGGGGACATTGATTTCTGCACACAAGCAGTGTACCACTGAGGCTGCACCGACTGCACGCAGCTTCTGATCTGGCTCGAACCAGTACCAGTTGGGAGCCATTGAGGACAGACGCGTGCATCTGCACCATGTGTGTTGATGGACCTAGTCAGACGCTTCTTGTGTAAGGGTTTCGAGTTGAAGTTTGAGGAAAAATGGAACCTATTTAGATGCCGACACCCAGGTCCAATGGCAAACTATATTTAAAGCAATTAACGTGCAGCCACAAAACTGGACATAAGCTCTAGATTTGAAGCTTTCGTGACTGCAAGGATCCATACTCTTTGGTTCTATTCGGTAAAGTCACGTAGGTAAAAAATAAAACGACAAAAATCACGACGTTTCGGCCACAACACAAGCGGCCTTCATCAGGTGAAGGGACCAGACTGTCTCGAGGACAGCGCTGGAGTGAAACACAGCCAAGCTCAGACCGCGACCTTTAAGCTGTGTGAGAGTAATTAAGGTGCCTTGACAAAGGAATTAGCATAAAAAATTGCATTTTAATAGGCGGCCTTAGCATGATGAAAAGTAGGGAGGGGGTCGACCTGTACAGGCTGGCAAGGGGGCACGGCAGCGTCCACATGCTGGTGGTGTGAAAAGGGGATTTTAAGCTGCGAAAGTTTGGGGTACCACTACTTGAAAAATATACTGTACCATTGAAAAATTAGTTTAATGTTTGGTTCGATTTAGAACATCTTTCCAATGGTTGCTTAATTTGAAACCATCTTTTCGGTTGAAATTGTGTCTGTGTTTGTAGATCTGAATTGCCTCGTGAACAAATGTCTGATAAAAAAAACTCGTGGGTTTGCAAAGAACCTTGGTATCGGAGAAAATTATATCGTGATCACCCACAGCGTTGTAACAGTGATCAGCTACGGCAGAAGAATTCGTTCTGCCGTATTTCAAATCTAATTTGTGCTCGCGAATTCGGTCAGAGACATGTCGCTTCGTCTCCCCGATATAGCAATCACCGCAGGTACAACTCAATTTGTAAACCCCGGGGTACTGTAAGTCAGGAATGACATCCTTCACGGATGGGATCAGATCACGAATTTTGTGTACTGTATTGAACCGGGCCTGGATCGTGTGTTTGTTTAGAATTTTGGAAATCTTTTTAGTAACGCCTGCTATATATGGTAGTGTGATGGTTTTGACCGGAGTATCAAGTGGTTGTTTCTGTATAGAGGGAGAAACAGCTTGGCGGATGGTACGGTCAGAGTATCCATTCCTTTTGAGGGCCAGGTGTACATGTTTTAATTCACTGGTCAGGTGGTGTTGGTCCGAAATGCAATGAGCCCTATGGTATAAAGTTTTGATGAGATAATTCTTCTGAGCTGGGTGGTGGTGGGAATCAGGCTTTAAGTAGGAATCCGTGTGGGTGGGTTTCCTGTAGACAGAATGCCCCAACGAGCCATCAGGTCTCCTCTCAAACAGAACATCCAAGAATGGTAGCCTGCCATCCTTCTCCACTTCCATGGTGAATTTGATGGCGGGATGTCTGGAATTGATGTGGTGTAGGAAAAGGTTCAGAGCTGGGAGGCCATGTGGCCAAATGACGAAAGTGTCATCCACATATCTCTTCCACAGGGAAGGTCTGAGGGTGGAAGTCTGGATGGCGTCCGATTCAAATTTCTCCATGAAAACATTGGCTATCACTGGTGACAAGGGGGAACCCATGGGAGTACCCTCATTTTGCTTGTAGAAGGAACCATTCCAAGTAAAGTAAGTGTTGGTGAGGCAGTGCCTGACCAGAGTAGGTACCTCGGGTTTAGTCCATGTACCAAATTTTCAATTATATCAATGGTATCAGGTACCGTGACCTTGGTGAACAAGGAGACCACATCGAAGCTGACAAGGATATCCTCAGGGGACAGTACAACGTCCTTGACCATAGAAACCAATTGGGCCGAGTTAAGTACTGCTGAGGAGGTCTTGCCAGTGAAAGGTAGCAAGGTATCCGACAGAAAACGTGCCAGCTTATAGGTAGGGGAGTTGATCGTGGATACGATGGGTCGTAGTGGAGTGCCTTCCTTATGAATATTTGGAAGACCATAGAATCTAGGTGGTCTTGCAGCAGAAGGTTTTAGGGAGGGATGTTTAGTTGGTTCGATTAGGGAGGTCGAACTTGTGATGATCTTGTTGGTTTTCATAGTTATATACCGATAGATGATATCATTTCTCAGGTCGATGTAGCTCTCAAAGGTATAGGACACATCCAAGCAGACGTCGCGAGAGCTGAAATAGCTACTATTCTTAAGAATGCTAAAAAAACCCGTTAGCAACATCAGCAAGGATGAACGCTCTGAACTCGCGAAATTAAAAGAGAGACATGATATAGTCATCCTCTCAGCCGACAAGGGCAATGCCACTGTAATTATGGATAAAAACTCATACAACAATAAAATTCAGGACTTACTCAATCATGGTAGTTACTCAAAAATAAAAAAATGACCCTACTAATAGCCTAACTATTAAAACCAACAAGATCATCCCTCGCTAAAACCTTCTGCTGCAAGACCACCTAGATTCTATGGTCTTCCAAAGATGCATAAGGAAGGCACTCCACTACGACCCATCGTATCCACGATCAACTCCCCTACCTATAAGCTGGCACGTTTTCTGTCGGATACCTTGCTACCTTTCACTGACAAGACCTCCTCAGCAGTACTTAACTCGGCCCAATTGGTTTCTATGGTCAAGGATGTTGTACTGTCCCCTGAGGATATCCTTGTCAGCTTCGATGTGGTCTCCTTGTTCACCAAGGTCCCGGTACCTGATACCATTGATATAATTGAAAATTTGGTACAACATGGACTAAACCCCGAGGTACCTACTCTGGTCAGGCACTGCCTCACCAACACCTACTTTACTTGGAATGGTTCCTTCTACAAGAAAAATGAGGGTACTCCCATGGGTTCCCCCTTGTCACCAGTGATAGCCAATGTTTTCATGGAAAATTTTGAATCGGACGCCATCCAGACTTCCACCCTCAGACCTTCCCTGTGGAAGAGATATGTGGATGACACTTTCGTCATTTGGCCACATGGCCTCCCAGCTCTGAACCTTTTCCTACACCACATCAATTCCAGACATCCCGCCATCAAATTCACCATGGAAGTGGAGAAGGATGGCAGGCTACCATTCTTGGATGTTCTGTTTGAGAGGAGATCTGATGGCTCGTTGGGGCATTCTGTCTACAGGAAACCCACCCACACGGATTCCTACTTGAAGCCTGATTCCCACCACCACCCAGCTCAGAAGAATTCTCTCATCAAAACTTTATACCATAGGGCTCATTGCATTTCGGACCAACACCACCTGACCAGTGAATTAAAACATGTACACCTGGCCCTCAAAAGGAATGGATACTCTGACCGTACCATCCGCCAAGCTGTTTCTCCCTCCATACAGAAACAACCACTTGATACTCCGGTCAAAACCATCACACTATCATATATAGCAGGCGTTACTAAAAAGATTTCCAAAATTCTAAACAAACACAAGATCCAGGTCCGGTTCAATACAGTACACAAAATTCGTGATCTGATCCCATCCGTGAAGGATGTCATTCCTGACTTACAGTACCCCGGGGTTTACAAATTGAGTTGTACCTGCGGTGATTGCTATATCGGGGAGACGAAGCGACCTGTCTCTGACCGAATTCGCGAGCACAAATCAGATTTGAAACACGGCAGAACGAATTCTTCTGCCGTAGCTGATCACTGTTACAACGCTGTGGGTGATCACGATATAATTTTCTCCGATACCAAGGTTCTTTGCAAACCCACGGGTTTTTTTATCAGAGATTTGTTCACGAGGCAATTCAGATCTACAAACACAGACACAATTTCAACCGAGAAGATGGTTTCAAATTAAGCAACCATTGGAAAGATGTTCTAAATCGAACCAAACATTAAACTAATTTTTCAATGGTACAGTATATTTTTCAAGTAGTGGTACCCCAAACTTTCGCAGCTTAAAATCCCCTTTTCTCACCACCAGCATGTGGACGCTGCCGTGCAACCTCACCAGCCTGCACAGGTCGACCCCCTCCCTACCTTTCATCATGCTAAGTCCGCCTATTAAAATGCAATTTTTTATGCTAATCCCTTTGTCAAGGCACCTTAATTACTCTCACACAGCTTAAAGGTCGCGGTCTGAGCTTGGCTGTGTTTCACTCCAGCGCTGTCCTCGAGACAGTCTGGTCCCTTCACCTGATGAAGGCCGCTTGTGTTGTGGCTGAAACGTCGTGATTTTTGTTGTTTTATTTTTTACCTACGTGACTTTACCGAATAGAACCAAAGAGTATGGACATAAGCTCTACAGTTCTGGAGCGCAACATTTCCATATATGGACTGGTTTCTTTTTCCACCTTAACCGAAGCTACCGACTCATTAATTTCTCCAAGATTATAAGAATTCATTACATGTATGGTTTTCCAAAACTGCAAAGGATTGTTATGATGGGTTTATCTCATCATTATTCATGTAATTACTGGGAAGGACCCACTCAGCAGATGATTGACCTGATTTAACACGTGGTATATATTATTTTTTTCACGCTAAATTACAGTCATTTATTCAAGTAGACTTGCAAATACTGGGATTGACTCATCCTTTGGCTGAATGGCTTTGCTTAACACATTCCCCACATTTTCCCACAGTGACGGTTTTTCTTCTTTCCCAGGTGGTACTTTTGTACGCTTCCACGTATGTGTTGGTATCTTTGAGCATAGACCGTTACCTGGCCATCGTGCATCCCATGAAATTTTCAAGAACAGGTAACATTTCCACCACTGAAATACATTCATGTCGTGAGGGTGAAGTGGCGATTTAGCTCACTGTGCTATGAAGTTGGTAACCTCAGTTTAATTCTAGGTCATGGCTAAAATAATTGGATAGTGATATCTGAAGTGATATTGGGCCCTGCTTCACCAACATGCACTGACCAACTAAGATTTGAACTAACAACCTTCTGATTGCAGATCTAGCGAGATTATGTTTATACATTTTTCACAATTTTTAAGTTGTCTTTTAGGTTTCATATCTGAAGATTTTTATATAAGAGTTGAATATATAATTAACGAGTCTTTTGCCCGTCCAAGGACGGGTGTATTGCAGTAAATCTGAAACTTGCAAGCGAAAAGCAGACTGCGATGTGATATTCATTGAATCAATTCGTGTGCAATTTGTAAGGCCACGGTGACACAGACTTATTTCATGTAAAGGTTATTAACCCTTGTTCATCATGACGTCCTTTTTACTTCTATGTCTCAATAGCGTTACGGAGATCGCGTGACTTGAGGGTTCTGCCTTTGTAGTGAGGGTTGAGTTGATGTTGAGGAGGGGGGAGGAGGCGCCTCGCCCCCCCATGTGGAGTGACGTCACCCGCTAATTATTATTAATGGCGGGGGGATGTCCATTTGGAGGACGTCACAAAATGTCGTGGTTTTTGTTTTTATTTTATTTGTATTACTGAAAGAACCAGAATAAGTCTACATTATAGACTGCCAGTACGCTCACTCAGGTTAAGAACAAGGCTACAGTCTACATTATAGACTGCCAGTGTGCTCACTCAGTTTAATAACCATTGCTACAGTCTACATCATAGACTGCCAATACCCTCACCAGCTTAAAAACCAGGCTAAAGTCTACATTATAGACTGCCAGTACACTCACCGAGATTAAGAACCAGGCTACAGTCTACATTATAGACTGCCAGTACACTCACTCCGATTAAGAACCAGGCTACAGTCTGCATCAGTGGTTTTTAGTTTTTTAAATTATATTTATTATTTATATTGTATTTGTATTGTTTTATTCACTTCATATTATTGTTTTCTATCTACATGACTTTACCGAAAGAACCCAAGAATAGGACGTCACCTGTTCATGATTATTAATTAGGGGGGCTGTTCGATATGGAGTGATGTCACCTTATGATTATTAATTAGGGGGGGGTCCATGTGGAGGACGTAACCTGTTCATGATTAAATTTTGATTTAAAGCTTTCGTGACTGCAGTAATTCATATTCTTAGCTCTTTCGGTAAAGTCACGTTGAAGGGAAACAATAAAATAATAAAATATATATTAATGAGTGGGGCTGGTCGACGTGGAGTGACGTCACGCATGGAACACAGACATTCTTGGCTCATTATAGTAATATCTATTTGGTAATTTTTTACATACTAAGGGAACATGAATGATTCTTTCCACTGGGCCGTGACATTCAGTGATTTTTTTTTATACAGTTACACGGAGACTGCATATGCACCCATACAAGTCAAATGTTAACTGTCATACACACTCATTTGGAATGGAATATTCGTAGAAAAAAGGTAAATTATCTGCAATCCTTAAACGATGCTTCTTCTCCCAGACTTCATATTTATAATCTTTAAACTGTTCCCAATAATGCACGGGTATATTTCAGATAATAGATTAGCATTGCTAGTACATCATAAAATATACATTTGTATCGACATTTTAACATTCAAAGGTAATGGATGTTTATTTGGGCAACTGAGATAGTAAGCGAGGCAATATTGTACGTGAAATATAGACTACTAGTAGGAAGTATCCGGCGTTGCCTGGGCGAAAAAGACACGCACACACACATCGACTTACAGTAGACACACACACAGACATCGACCCACACACAAACACATCAACTTACACACAAACATATGGACTCACACAGAGACATCCGCTTTAGATACACACACATGGAGTTACACACAAATATGGACTAACACGCACACATATGGACTCACACACACATACACATCGACGTACACACACATTGACTGACACACATAGACACACACACAGTGACTTACACACTCACATGGAACCATGCACACACATCGAATAACACACATCGACTCACACACGCACACATAGACTCACACACACATTGCCCTACACATACATACACATATGGACTCACACACACACAGACATAGATTTTAGATACACACACATGGACTTACAACAACAACCACCATTCGCCATTAAGTGGCGGTGACGTCACCACGACGCTTGTGCCAGGCCATGTGCACCTTGAGGCCACGTGAAGTGTCGAACGCCCGCTGGCAGGAGGTCACGGGGCAGACCCAGGTGCCACGGGTTGACTGACTGAGATGACTGAGACAACTAGATGATGTACCACCTGTGCCCCCTACTGTGCCAAAATAACACAACAACAACCGCCATTCGCCACTAAGTGGCGGTGACGTCACCACGACGCTTGTGCCAGGCCATGTGCACATTGAGGCCACGTGGAGTGTCGAACGCCCGCTGGCAGGAGGTCATAGGGCAGACCCAGGTGCCACGGGTCGACTGACTGAGATGACTGGCTGATGCACCACCTGTGCCCCCTACTGTGACAACCTAACACACCCACATATGGACACACACATACACATCGACGTACACACACACATCGACTGACACACATAGACACACACACAGTGACTTACACACTCACATGGAACCATGCACACATATCGACTAACACACACACATCGACTAACACACACAAGGCGACTGACACACACACATAGACTGACACGCACAGTTGGACTGACACGCACACATCGACGTACACACAGACATCTGGCGTTGCGCAGGTAAAAAAGACAAACATATCGACTTACACACACATGGACCTAAACGCACACACATTTGGACTCAATCACACACATTGACTCACTCAGCAATCCCCGATAATGCCACAGCTAGAGCAATTTTCTGTCTCTGGCGAGCCTTAGCGGGGAGCAGTTTGAAAACAAAGGTCTTCCCAGATTTGTAGTCTCAATGTCTTCTAAGATTTTCGTGTGGGCTTATATTTGTGCATTCATCAGCTTTGGTTAATTTTCCTCAATAAATTTAAGAAGCTGTAAAGCATAATAGCATATTTAACGTAGGATCTCTTGAGCAAGGGCATGGAGGTTGTCCCCGTGGGGCGTTGGTAGTCCCATAGACGCGAGGTCTTTTCCACCAATGGAGTGCAGTTTGTCCTGAAGGAGGATGAGAGCCTGTTTGAAGATGACATCAGAAAAGTTGACGTCGAGGTTTGGATTTTGTCATTGAGCTCCGTGAAGGATGTCCTCACTCATGCCCTCTTTATATTTTTGCCAGAGTCCCATGGGGTTAGATGGGCTGCAAACTTGAAGATTTATGCAGAAGAGCATTGTCAGTTAGAAAGGGGACTGACCAACAGAAGCTTCTGTCATAGCTTTATGAAGATGATGATCATGTGCAAGAATTGCACGAAGATTGCAAGCTTCCCTCTATGTTTGACAGACAACTCCTTCCACTGTATAGAGGTCTTTGAAAGATTTGTGCCCTTTGGCAACATGGAGAAACATTGAGAGAAAGTAGCACTGCTGATTGTTGGGATGAATTGTGTAGACTCGTCCTAAGGCATCCGATTCACCATCAGCAGCACGACGCTTCACATTTTTTAGCAGTCCATGTATAGTAGGAGGGAACTTAATGGTAGAGCAGGTTGGCAGCAAATGGGTCACTTGGGCACAAAACAAAGAACGCCATCAGGGTGGCATCTTGTGGAGCCAGGGCTTGTTGTTGGAAATTTCCTTTGGTGACGTAGATGCGTTGACCATTTTGGAGGTGAAGTGCCAAATGGACGACTGTGGGCGAACGGAAATGGATGGGGAAGCCAAGAATTCAGCAAATGGGCTCATTGTTGCTGATGTATGTTGCTTGGAAAAAAAAGTTTGAGCTCATGCACACTTTGCGCCTCTATTTTGTGAGGCAAAGACAGCGATGTAAGAGCCTTTGTTGATGTATTGGCAAACAAATTTGATGGCTTTTTTTAGAATAGCAGAATTTAACGCATTAAAGTGCTCCTGGAAGATATTGCACAGAAGAGGGCAGTAGTGAATGATCCAGCGGTTGTGGACCTTAATTAGCGAGTTAGTAGCAGGTCTGAGCGTTGTTTGAATTCCACCATGCTCAGTATTTCTGTGATGACATTGAGGATAGCCATCATGGGCCGACTGAGTGTCTTTCAAGTAGTTCTGTGGATACCTCTTGGTACAGCTGTGATCTTGCATACATGGCGCATTTGCATAGAACTGGCCACATGGACCATGGACCATTTGGTTGCAGACCACATAGAAAAAGGGCAGGGTCTTGATGGGGGTGAGGTAGCACAGCACTGATAAATGTGTCAATGTGACTTGCATGAATTGTTTCCCTCATCCATAACGAAATGTGAGCATGAGGAAGACAACGTTTTTGCCACCCAATAGTGTGCAAGTTACTGCTTGTCTATCCAAAGACGCCACCTTCATTGGTCGTAATAGGCAAGATGAGGTCATAAACTTTGAGTTTTAAGACCCTCGCTAAGATGTCATGTCTGTCTGGTGGCTTTTGGTTTGGATAAAGGTAAACCTGGATCTCCTTTCATTTGGGATTGAAAGTGAAGGTGATGAGATGGGGAATGGCATATTGGCTGATGTACGTCATGGCATCCTGAGTCTTCTCATGCATATATCTTGGTGGAGCTGTGAAGAATGAAGGCAAAACAAGTAATCTGCCCACATTGTGAGCGTTTGCATCTCCTTCGGCATTGATGGCATTCCAGAGATGAGCATACTGTTCACACGCAGGCGGTTTTGATTCAGTTGAATGTAAAGAATGCGCTCACTCTCAATGTTGGCATACTCATCGACAACATACTGGTGAAAGAGGTTGGCGCACCATAATATGCGGTTTCCTCCTCTGTCTATGATCACGAAGGAATATAAGTTTTTTTAGAGGAGACAGTTTTGTGAGGATGTCTTTGTCCTGCAGATTTGTAATTGGAGGAATCTTGACGTGGTACCCATCTTGGCCTTGCGACAGGAAAATGTGTTAATGTAGGGCATCGTATGCTTTGTTAGTGTCAGGAAATCGATCGATGATGTTTTCTTGGTATGGAAGAACAATGTCTCTCTCTCAATGTCCCTCACCCACCGTAAGAAAGCAAGGTCAACAATATTTGAACCTCCCTGCGTGCTCCCTGCTTTGGTGGAAAGTAAAGGTGCGATAAGGCAAAATTTAAACGAGTGATGTTCCCACAAATGTAACATATTAGTCAGCATCGCAATACTACGTATCAGTAAAACGTGTGACGTGAGCAATCGAAACAATAGAAATGCATTGAAGAAATTAGCTGAAATAAGTGCACATCAAAGAGCAGCAGTACGCACAGGTAAGTTGAGAAGCAGACTACAGTCTAAATTATAGACTGCCAGTACGCTGACTCAATGACATAAGCATTGCTACAGTCAAAATAAAAAGCTGGCAATACGGTCAGCAGCTGAAAAAGCAGGATACAGTCGACATGAAAGGCTGGCAGTAGACTGAATGTGGCAAAGAAGCAGGCAACAGATTATAGACTGGCATACACTCCTAATTGGCAAAAGCTAAATTAGCAGTGTAGATAATAGTGGCAGTGCACTGACGTTAAGTAATGAGCAGGCAGCAGGTCACAGCACAGACTGGCAGTACACCGTCTCAGCGTCATAAAAACACAGCTAAAAAAGGAAAAATTTAGCAACCTAATAATGAAAATGTAGTTTTGTGCACACAAACATTATTGTAATATCTGCCAACTTATTTGTTTCATAATAGTAAAAAATGAACCTGAGTTCTTATCTGCACACAAACATTATTATTGTAATATTTGCCAACTTATTTGTTTCATAATAGTAAAAAATGAACCTGAGTTCTTATCTGCACACAAACATTATTATTGTAATATTTGCCAACTTATTTGTTTAATAATAGTAAACAATGAACCTGAGTTATTAGTGAAAGATTAAATAAAATGTTACTTTACATTGCCGTGGTGAGGCCTAGTCCCATGCAGAGCCCGCGGCCTCATCTAGATTTTGCCAGGCTGGGCCACTACCCCCCCCCCCCCCCCCCGCGCTACAAATTTACTATTTAATCACTATAATTTTAGTATCTACCGACCCTATAATAGTAAGTACACATATTGAGGTGGAGGGGGAGAGAAGAGGACGTGACACTTTGATGAATTTACCTCAGCGTTGCGTGTAATTTTTTTGCATTTTGAACGCGAATGAGAAATTTCCCCCACCCTCTGGCGTCTGTGCGTTTCCAGGGGCAACTCGTGTCAGCGTTTCGCGCATGCGCAGCAGAGAGCCGGGCGGCAAAGTAAATAAATAAATATAGATAAATCGCACCAAAACGCTATTTTAACCACTTTCAAGTTTAGGGATGGAAAAATGGAATAGCCTATTCCTACCGTGGGGCCCAGCAATTTTTTTTCGACGCGAACCCCACGGTCGGAGAGCCAAATCCCCCGCAAGCGAGCATACGCAGACAGACAGACAGACAAAAATGCCTTTTATAGGTTAGATAATACTTCGTCAGGAAGAGGGAGTGCAAATAAAATTTTAATGCAGTCGTTATATTCAAAACGCTTGAGAATTTCGAATAAGAATTTTAAAAAGGTAAGTACTATTATTCCTATTCTTAGTTCTTTCGGTAAAGTCACGTTGAAGGGAAACAACAAAATAATAAAATATATATAAATATATATAAAAATGTATAAATATATATTCTTATTTGTAATAAAATAATAAAATATCTAAATATATAGATATATTTTATTATTTTGTTGTTTCCCTTCAACGTGACTTTACCGAAAGAACTAAGAATATGAATTACTGCAGTCACGAAAGCTTTCAATCAAAATTTACTATTATTCCTGTCATATCAATCGACAGAATTTTAAATCACACATTTGTTTATGAAATATAATTTTTTAGTATCAGTATTTTTATGTTACGATAACATTTATGATAATATAGATGGAAAAGTTTTTGGGTACAAAGATATTAAACAGCCATTTTTGAGCATGGAGGGATAATGAATCACGGAGTACCTACTAGATAGACCTCATTCAGCAAGCGTACAATAGCCAACGCGGCCTCCACGATTCATTATTCCTCTATGAAATTTTAGTTCTTTGTACCCAGAAAATGGCGTCATGCTTCCTTTCGCCATTGTCCTACTATGAACCATGAGTGACTGAATTTAACCATTTAGCATCTTTCATTTAACTACGGAGTTCCCTTATGGAAATGATTTTTTTTTAAACAGCTCACGATTCAGTATATCGTGTGCACGATTTAGTATTTGATGCGAAAAAAATTAATAGTTTTTTTATTCCATGAAAGAGCATTTTGCTTCTCCATGGGAGAATGGAGAAGTATACACTTTGTAAATTTTTTGAATGATTGTTATTAAACATTTTGATTCTAATGATTCTACTAGGGCTTTTCATTCTGTGGAATGAATATGTGATTATTGTAATTGTACTCTCCATTTTGCTTCATTCCACTACAAAGTTTCAAGTCTTTTTTATAGTTATAATTACTTTTAATATTTGATCATTTTAAGATAATTTCAATATAATATTCTGAACATCTGCAGTTTTAGTTAGACGATGAATATTTCAAGTGAATTTTATGCAACATTTCAGCTTTCCAACGCCTCCTTTTTAATACATGTTTTCTCCTACAACATCAGAGTGCAGCGCCACATTAAACACGCACTACAATGACAATAGTTTAAAGTGATTTGAAGCATGTTTTATTTTCAAAATGGAAATATGGTTTTAGGGGGGGGGGGCAGAGCTTTGTGACGTCATATTTGAGGGGGGTCTGACTTTTGTGACGCCGTGTGACGAGGGGGGGAGGGGGGTTAAAAAAACGGCCAAAGTCGCGTGACGTCATTTATGGACGGCCCCTTAGCGATTTGTCGTATTATCTGGCTGTATAGTAAATGAAAATTTACAATTATTTTACAATGCAAATTAAACATTTGTGTTTTTATATTTATGTTTTTTTATTTAGGGCCCCTTTATAATATATGCTACAGGCACTAGCTTAATCCGCCACTGCTGCTTTTGATTTCATTAAATCACAAAACAGGTGAGCAAGAGGGTGATCTTTTTTTTACTTATTTACTGTGATTTCACAATATAGTTACGCGTTTCCTTACTTTCTCATCAACCCAGCATATAAAAGTATTTTAAAATGAAAGCTTATTTATCATATGATAGAGTAAAACATTTCAGTCATTAATAAAACATATATACAATTCGGAGGCTATTTGTACTTATTTTTACACACCAAAAAAATCATGAAAATACATTTGTGGGGAAAGTACATCATCATAGTTACTTAAACAGTTTTTTTAAGTGATGCTGTATTTAGGATTCAAGTTTTAAAATATCAGTGGCGATATATGTTATATCAATCTTGATTTGAAGCTTTATATGTTATAATCCATTTTTGTGTGAACGCATTACACCCTCTCACCAGATTCAGGGGCGGAGCCAGGATTTTGACTTTGGGGGGGGGGGGGGGTGCTGACTTCAATATTCTGAGAGATCTCAGTGTGTTTATGTTTTCCAATGGGCGCCACAAATGTACAAAACAAATTTTATTGGATTTGAACGCGGAGTTTATTAATAGGCCGGAGCCGCTGATGTGGCTAATAAGTTCGATAAGTTCGAAGGGCTGCCGCTCAAGCAGCCTGCAGGGCAGCACAAGGTGGCAGCATAAGGTGGCAGCCTGCAGGGCAGCACAAGGTGGCAGCCTGCAGGGCAGCACAAGGTGACAGCCTGCAGGGCAGCACAAGGTGGCAGCCTGCAGGGCAGCACGAGGTGGCAGCCTGCAGGGCAGCACAAGGTGGCAGCCTGCAGGGCAGCATAAGGTGGCAGCCAGCAGGGCAGCAGCACAAGGTGGCAGCCTGCAGGGCAGCACAAGGTGGCAGCCTGCAGGGCAGCATAAGGTGGCAGCCTGCAGGGCAGCAGCACAAGGTGGCAGCACAAGGTGGCAGCCTGCAGGGCAGCACAAGGTGGCAGCCTGCAGCATTTTGCAGCAGCCGGATATCCGGTTATCCCGATTACCGATTTTCCCAAAATTTCAGGGGGGGCTAAGCCCCCCCCCCAGCCCCCCCTGTGGCTCCGCCCCTGACCAGATTTGTACATATCAAAGTCGCAGTAATTTCATGCTTGAGCATTGGACTTTGGTTACTCCATTAGTGTTACTTTGTCATTCGTGAAAAAGCTACATTCCGGTAGGGCTAGGAACAGTCTGTCTATAGGAAAACGACTGACGATTTCCAACAATAAAGAACTTAGTTTACCTATTAGGAAATTATGAGCTAATTTAACTGAGATTTCAACCCCGAGGCGTCTGATGCTGAGCAAGATTTACCAGAAGAGATAATGGCGGATCGGCGAGATTGGTGATGGAGAAAACCTGCCCAAAAGGAAAACTGCTGCAGGGAGCGGTTTAAGAGATCAGCTCACGTGCATAAATGCATCCCAATGCTGTATCGGTCATGGAGATATCAATCGCTTGGTTCACACACAGTTGTAGCACACCCATTGCCATCCCCATGATTCCCCAAACAAATTGTGATTGGCAGCACAAGTATGTTACGAAGAGCAGTAATTTGCATGATGGTACTCCACGAAAAAATCACTATGCGACGTGACTGAATTCGAATTTTAAGTGCCGTCTCACGTTTACTTTTGCGGCGTGCAGACATGCGCTCTCGTCAGCTGGTAGCGGCTGCCTGGTGCCTCTCTTTGCTGTTTGCGTCGCCAACGATCGCCCTGTACACACTGAAGCTGCTGCCTAACGGGGAGCAGCAATGCTGGGTCGTGTGGGCAGACAAGGAGATCTTCTGGACGAGCTACATGACCACAGTGGCCTGCTTGGTGTTCTTCATTCCGCTCACTGTCATCTGGTCAGCCACACCGCATTCACATTGTACAAACGATATTTGCCAGAAAAAAAAGGGGGAAAACCCCTATTATTATATTTTGTTGTACCGGCAAAAGAGGTCTAATGATGTAGATGCTCACCCCGAGCCCTCGTTACTTTGATAGTGCATTGTCTTTGAGCTGTGTGACGCCTTTTGGCGTCATCTGGTCGAGCACGAATTGGGTCGAGGCTCAAAAGAAAGCCGTCCCTTGGTGTGGACCAATCAGTTTCAAGGACAATGCATCATATATTATCATAGTATGTTTTTTGTTTGCATTTGACTTGCATGTTTTGTGGTTAATGCAGACATGAATCCTCGTAAAAAGGTTTCAGTTTTGTTGCCAGAAAAAAGGGGAAAAACCCTATTATGATATTTATATTTTCCACAAATGAACAACACATAATCCTTCGACCAGAACACTCTCCATGCTCTAATTAAGCTGAGCAACGTAGGATACTGCTTAAAGCTATGCTAATGTTGTGTAGTAATTCCATATGCATTTATTAAGATTGGACACTATCCAGTCATGATAATACAGTAACTACATCTATGTACCTGTTGTACGGAATTGGGTAAACCCTTTCTCTCCTTCAATTTTGTATTTATTTTCCAAAAACAAATTATTCAAGCCCATGATAATCAGTCTGTTTTTGGGGTTTAAGAATCAGACTTCCATCCTCTGCTTCACGGTGATGGTGACTCAGATTACATTTCAGTACCTGTAGTAGTAGAGTATATTTTAAGTGTTGTTTCAGGAGAAATCTGATAATCTGCGGTGACATGGGGGATGACCTACTCACGGATCCGGTAATTCACGGCAGACCGCAAAAAGACCCAATGGCAGTGCACCGCGGATTTAAGGACGAATTAGCCACAGAATTCTGTTACTCTCCGCGGGGAAAAAATGCGAATTACAGGAAAAGCATGACACCTGACTATCAACTCCTGTAATCCTGAAGCCCAAATGAAGCAAATCCGGCCTATGGATCCATGTTAAATGGTTTTTGCATTCTTGAGACTTAAAATCCAAGTGGAAAAAAAGAAAAAAATCTTGATTACTGAACAAGTCACGTCACCGCAGTTAGTCTGTGTATCGTAAACAAAAAGTATATATGTCAGTGTTCTTTTCATTTACCGTGCTCTGTGTGTTTGTGAAGTGTGGTGTATTTTTTCATAGTACGTACCATCTGGAGAAAAAGCAGCAATGCAGAAAATGTCTTGAAATGCAGACCAGTTGCAACCACTGGCAACAATGATGGTACGTACCTCAATTGCTGGCCACACAAGCTCTAGCGAAGGGATGTACAGTACTTTAGGCAGGGCTATAGTAATTGCCATCGATTACATTAAATTGCATTTGTTGTGCACATTCCAATTGGTCTTAATTTTTTTAATCATCATAAGCCATGATCAATGTTCCCTGGATGAAGGCTTCCCCCAATCCAATTATGTAATAAAGACAAAGATCCCCCGTATAGCTTTCAACATACTGTTGGGGCAAGTGCTGTTAGCGAGCACCTATGAAGGCCGGAAAGGTACACGAGGGGATGGGTGGCCAGCACCATGCCTGACTGCCTTTGTCTCCCCAGTAGCGATTTTTATACACCACACCAGGTAGTCATTTGAGGCCGAATCGACCTAGGGGAAGCACAAGACCGGTTCAGATAATTGTCACTAGTGTTGGCCGTGAGTGGGAATCAAATTGGTGTGTGTCACCGGGTTCGTAGTGCAGCGCGCTAACCGCCACACCACCGCTCCCAAGCACCTACACACAACCTGAATTAATCGCTCCATCTCCCTGTTAGACGTCCTCTTGGATGCATTCCATTCCTTCGCTGCCACTATTCTTGACCATCGGCCATCATACGCTTGGAAGCATTTTCTAATGTGCCCGCTATATTAGATCCTGATTGTATTGTTTAATGAAGTTGAGCACTGCCCCATACTTGAATAATCATTAGATATGTTTTTTTTTATTAACCCTTTCGTAATTTTCTCACAGGTTACGATGGTGTTCAGGTTGACATTTTGCCTCTAGAAACATACAGGAAGGCAAAAATGAAGACCATTAAATACAGCCTAGCTGTCATATTTGGTAAGCATGTTCATAGCATATTAAACATGCTCTTTTGTTCGTGGGACTGAGATTTCACTTAATTTGTGCACCACACAATATATAGGCAATGTTACCAAGAACAAGAATACCAGCTTAGCAACCGCAAAACGGTGAAGTGGAATAAAGCATGGCATATTATGCTTTTGGCTATTGGTTAAGTGGTTAAAAAATAGCAGATACTGGTAATGCTGTATTATTACTCCCCTCCAGAATGTGATCAGATCATCTGTGTTGTTATGTATCATGCAGTGGTGAATTATCAGCACTAATTCTTTGTTTTAATTGTTTTTAACAAAAGTATTAAAATAATTAAAAAATGAGATGTAATATGGTCATGTCTGCATGCAGACAATTTACATAGGGCAGCCCTCGGGTCACGAACATAATTCCTTCCTGAGACCCGTTCGAAAATAGGAACACAATATTGCACTTTATTTAATTACCCATATGGTCAGTTATAAAATGTGTTACGGTTCAAGAAAAAGGGAATCATTTTTAAAATTCATAATTAAGATTAAAAAGATATTGTACATTTGCATGTAACACTGTAAAAAAATAGTGTAGAGTAAATAAAACATAAAATGAAGTAACATACATTGAAAAAAACGTTTTATTTTCACTTACCTTGAGTGCTGATGCTAGCTTGTAGTTAGAAGGGGGGGCAAATGAGTGACCACAATTGCACACACACAGACACACAAAGACACGCATACACCCCAACGATCCCCCGTGTAGCCTTAACAGACTGCTGGGGCAAGTGCTGTTAGCGAGCACCTATGAAGGCCCTTACGCCACACGAAGGGTGAGTGGCCAGCGCCATGCCCGGCCGCCTTTGCCTCCCCAGTGGCGATGTTTACTACACACCGCAGCACGTACTCATTTGAAGCTGAGTCGACCTAGGGGAGGCCCAGGCCCCATTTGGATAATCCTCACTGGTGTTGGCCGTGATCGGGAATTAAACTTTGGTCGCCAGGTTGGTAGCGGAGCGCGTTAATCATTGCACCACTGCTCCCCACACACAGACACACACGCGCGCGTACACAAAGACAAAGACCCTGTATATCCTTAACAGACTAGCAGCAAGTGCTGTTAGTGAGTAGCACTTATGAAGGCCACACGAGGGGTGGGTGGCTAACGCCACGCCTGGCCACCTTTGTCTCCCCAGTGGTGATGTTTACACACCAGGTACTTCTGTTGGCCGTAAGCAAGAATTTAACTTGGGTCGCTGCTTTGTGACATCACCACGGCGCATGTGCCAGGCCAGGTGCACTTTGAGGCCACGTGAAGTGTCGAAGGCTCGCTGCTGACAGGTGGTCTTGGGACAGACCCAGCAGGTGCCATGGGTTGGCTGACTGAGATGACCTGTAGATGCAACACTAGCTGTACCCCCTACCTGTGCCAACTTGCTGCATTTTAGCCACCCGGCACGCAACTCGTTGTTGTGAGCGTCATTCCTCCGCCCTCGGTTGTTGCTGGAGGGCGACTGCCTCCAACTGGCCAGCAGCAGCAGTAGCGTCCTTCACAAGCCTCCTCCACAGAGGCCGATCTTGACACCGCTGGTACCAGTCATGGGCAAGTCCACTCAGCTCCAGATCCTCCGGTGCCGCATCAGCACCGTCTCTTCTCCAGCCCGTGTTGTGCCTATTTAGCCCCCTCGGTCCGGCCAAACAGAAGCTGTTTGGGTATGTGGTGACTGGGTATGCGGGTGACATGACCCAGCCAACGCAGCCCTTGCCTGTCAGAGGAGCTCACAGATGGGAATGTGTTCAGATCTTTCAAGGATATGTGAGCTCACACAAGCCAGCCTGGTTAAACCCGGGATGGATCGTAGGCAGGACAGCCTGAATGTTTCTAACCGGCGCAGATGTACCATTAGAGGGGTGTTGTATATGTGGGTGTTATGAAAATTGATGAAAAATAATGAAAATGAAATGAAATTAGAAATGTGCATAAGGTATCTGAATTTATGTTAATGTATGTAATTATGCGTCTAAATTATGCTAATTCGAGAGATAATCATATTAATTTATGCGAGTGGGTGTGGTTATGTTAATGACAGCCTTTCTGATAATCAGGCCCCGCCTCGTTGACAAGGGTCTGTTATCAATCGGGACAATGCAATTAATCGTATGCAGTTATGCTAGTGTCAAGAGTCAACTCGGCTTCGTGCTTTAACTTCGTATTATCGATCAGGATAATACAATGATTCTCGCTTTAGCATTTACCGAGTATGGATTAGAGTTTATGTTAGGTCCTCAAGTTCATATCTCAATTAGAGTGTTTGTGTAAGGTCACCAAGTTCATATCTCATCGCAGAACCAGATCTTATGCATAGATTTCAGGAAAGAATCACACGACCACTTCTGCATTAATCAATTTATTTATCATTAAACCTTAACTCTAAAAGATACAACTCTCGGCTTGGGATTACAACACAGTATCAACACAGTCTCATCAATGACTGGGTTGTTTCACTTTGACACCAGCACCTGTGGTTAATTCCGTCGCGTAACGCGAGCTGTTGGTGAGAGAGAGAGAGAGTCGTTAAAACATGCATATGCTAATATAAATAAAACCTTAACTTTATAATAAATGATTATACTTGAATTGTTCACGCAGTACCACACTTATTCATAGATCCATAAGCAACCCTTATCACGTTGTTAGCACATTAGGTCACGGAACAGTTGAGTATTCTGTAGAGTACGCGAGTACGTGCGCGATCAGTAACGAAAAGTACTTAAAGATTATATGACGATATTAATACGAAAAAGGCGATCAAAAACAGTTATTATTCCCAAAGGCACAAATATCTCAACAGATCCATCGGGTAGATTATATGATTACCGCAATGGCTTAGGGTGAGGGGGTGCGGTGGGGTGTGCTCTCTCCCCTGATATCCTTATCTTGGACTAACGTTTAATTAATTGTGGACCAGATCGCCTGATAAGGAAGCCGGTTGGATACTCTATTCCCCCCCTGCCCCACGTGAGCATAGCTCCGTGGTGAAGGTGTCAAGGATTCATTCGTATTGATGGATCGGTTGGTGCTTATGCGATTATAAGTACAGCCCAAAACAAAATATTAAGGATGAAATATTACGAATATACTTATAAACGACGGAGTGTTCACTCGATATGCCACGATGCCTTCACAGCCACTTATGGATTATGGACTTGAGTATTGGCTTCTGGTTAAGGACCCGTGTATGTTTGAGTGATATGAATTGTTTTGAATAGTCAGAGTTTGGAGTTGAGTCTTAGGTCAAGTGAACGCCTGATTTGACGTGTAGTGGAGCAGTGTGCGTCATACGGATCAGTTGATTAGGCTCGGGCCACACTGGTTGACGTAGGCTGACCAGCTGACACGTTGTTGTAGTTGTGAGGGCGTACACAGCATGCTCGTAGCGTGTGCGCGGGAGGTGACGTCGGCTTGTCAGCTGGCCCACGTTGTTGTAGTTGATGGTGTACACAGCACGCTCGTAGCATGCGCGGGAGGGGAGTTGGCTTGGCAGCTGGCCCGGTTGTTGTAGTCGCGATTGCGTACACAGCACGCTCGTAGCGTGCGCGGGAGGGGAGTCGGCTCGGCACCGTTGCGCAATCGGCGCTGGCGATGCACGTTTGTAGTCTTGTCGCTAAACAGCGACCCTCGCCACCCCGGCGGGCGGCAGGGACTTCTTCTGCGTCTGTAGGAATGAGTTGGGCTGGCAAGCTGGTCTTGTCAGCTTGCTGATGAGTTAGGTTGATAAGCTGGCGAGCGGGACTTGCTCGCTTGCAGACAAGATGGGGAGCCGCTCCGATGAGTTGAGCCCCGATGATGATGAGTCGAGCCGACCAGTGGTCGCAGCTCGCTCTTGAGCCGACCCGCAGGTCGAACTCTTGCTGATGAGATGGCGAGCTCAGCTGATGGGCTCAGCTGAGCTGAGCTCAGCCGAGCCGAACCGGACTCCGATGAGCCAGCCGAACTCTCTGGTGAGCCGACCCACCGGTCGAACTGAACTTTCAATGCGGCAGCGTCCTCTTTTATGCCAAAATCCTTCCTCTTGACTCCTCCCCACAAGGTGGGGCTTCTTTTGAATTTATCGGTGTCTCGTGGCCTGGAGCGTGTGTCCGTCTGTGTGTCCTTGTGTATGTGTATCCCTGTGTGCGTCATTTACGGCCTTGTTCTATTGATTCCTCTTTCCATAGACCATCAAAAACAGCAGGTGTTACAAATCGTATCAAGGCGTCTTTGTCTGTGTGGCACAACCTTGAGGGAGGCGGGATTTTCCCCTGTGTGACCGACTCTCAACGCTTCCCAGACCCAGGCCCCCTCTTTTCATACCATCAAAACAACAGGCGTTTCAAATAATCTCACAGGCGTCTTTGTCTGTGTTGCACAACCTGGAGGGAGGGGCGACGTTTCCCACATATGACCTTTACCGACGCACGGAGAAATGGTTAAGTTTTCCTTAAGTTAACATTTCCATCACAGACTTACAGTTATGATTCTACACGTGACTCGAGGTCTGCTGTGTTTGCTGTGTCAGTCTTCCTTCGTGGCTCTTGACTTTAGCTCCAGGGAAAGTGCTCTCATAAGCGTATGTATACTCTCATCATGTACGGCAGGGAGACAAAGGCGACCGGGAGACCCTCTTATTCATTTGCCCTCGGTTTAACATCGCTCAAGTCTCTGCAAGGCCATGCCAGCGGGACATAGCTCATGGCCTTTAGATGAAACTCCCTGTCCCACTCTCTCGCTGTCTGTCTCAGTTTCTGCCCCATTTTCGTGCAACTGCTAGCTTTAGCACAAACACCCGATGGGGTCTCTCCCGCCCTTGCTTCAGGGCTGCGCCTTTATCCGGACTACACCGCCATGCGTCTCAAGGCTCCTCATTAATTTCGTCATTCCGTCTGGCTGTGGTGAAGTGTTATCTATCGGTTCTCAGCCTTGTGAGTACAGGTGGCAGCAATAATGAGTCGGCTCTGATTCTTTCCACTCTTATCTCTAGCGTGCCGAGCTCAGTTTCATACGCTGCATTCAGTGTTGCCTCTCTCTCACGCTACGATTTAGACAAAGGCGCCTCTGCTCCTCTGCCATTGCCCTTGATTCAACACTGCCCTATTATTTGCCTATGTGCTAAGGTTAGGGAATTCGTCTTGACTCTAGTAAAATTCTGTGTTTGTCATACGCTTCGGTCAGGTTGTACAGAAACTTATTAAAGACGAATTAACATTCAGTATTGGATTAGTAAATGGGCAATAATTCATTGCTGTAGCTCGTAGCCTTGTCTCCAATTGCAGCGAGCACGAGGATCGATAGTTTAGCCTACTCCTGTTGTCGAATTCCGAACTTTAACCTTACTTTAAAGCAATGCAGTGTAACTGGATGACCTTTTTGACTTACCTATGTCTGTGGCTACTGTGAACTCTCCGTGACCCTAGGCACCGCTTGCTCTCAGCTGTGTGTTTTTTTTTTTAAAACGGCCCGTGCTGGTTGGAAGGTTGTCCTTGGGGCCTATTATTTATTCAATTTATTTAATTAATTATAAGGTGGAGTGTTAGTGTCAATGTTCTGTCTGCCTCATTATTTAATTTCAAAACAATGGTCCTCTAATGGCCTCCACGTGCGGTTTGTTTAGGTTAGCCCTACCTTGCACACAGATAGCCTGTGATAATTGCCTTGCAATTTCCCCAACCCAATTATTGCCAAGGTCTGCTGCTGAGTTCGTTAGCACGCTCTTATCTCCGCTTTCACCCACTAGGGGAGGACAAGGCATCTTTTTGGCTTACGTGTTGTTTTTCAGTTACTATGCTCTTATGTTTTATTCATTAATTATTTTAAAAAAGAGTATAAATGTATAAGCGAATTTCTTGTTAGTATTAATTTTGGAAAAAGGCGCATATCCAACAGGGGTCCATGTTTCACAAGCATAGAGAAGTGAGGGCGTGACTGTGACCGAGAAGACCCGAAGCTTCGTGCGGAGCGACAGACCACGTAGCTTCACAACAGTGTTGTGCAGCCGCTCCCCACACACACACATGCGTGTGCAACAACAACAACCACCATTCGCCACTAAGTGGTGGTGACGTCACCACGGCACTTGTGCCAGGCTATGTTCACATTAAGACCATGTGAAGTGTCAAATGCCCACAGTCAGGAGGTCACGGGGCAGACCCAGGTGCCATGGGTTGACTGACTGAGATGACTGGCCGATGCACCACCTGTGCCTCCTACTGTACCAACTTGCTGTGTTTTATCCACCCGGCGCTCCGCTCGTTGTTGTGAGTGTCGCTCCTCTGCCCTCCGTTATTGCTGGAGGGCGACTGCCTCCAACTGCCCAGCAGCAGCGTCCTTCACGAGCCTCCTCCACAGAGGCCAATCTTGATACCGCTGGTACCAGTGGTCGGGAAGTCCACTCAGCTCCACATTCTCTTGTGCCACATCACTCCATCTCTTCCCTAGCCCTTGCCACGCCCATTTAGCCCCCTCTATCTGGCCAAACAAAAGCTGCTCAGGCATGCGGTGGCTGGGCATGCAGGCTACATGACCCACGTCCACCCCGCCGCCCTCGCTGGGCAGGTAGGGCGCTACGTTCGCCCCCTCCACTCCCTCCTTTATCGCATCGCTCAGCTCCCACCGGGCCCTTGCCGTTCGGGTGGTCGGTCCTCCCGCGCTAGTGCCCTCTTGGAGAGACATGGCTAAAGCGCTGGCTCACCGCCGCACGGGGTTTCTCCCCACACGTCCACATACACCACCACTAATGCGAAGGCGGCTGCACGAAAGCGCGTGCCCTTGCTGGCGCTTGTATTCTAATATGCGCCCGTACCACGACTAGCACTATAGCGGCAGCGCGAACGCGCACGCTTCTGAAGGCGGTTTATACCCTAACCCGCGCACGCACTATGACCAACACTATAGCGGCAGCGCGAACACGCGCGCCCCTGCTGAGGTTTGTATTCTAACATGCGCACGCCCCACGGTTAACACTACAGCAGCGGCGCAAACATGCGCGCACCTGCAGGCGATTATTTAAATGAGCTCTAGTGCTGCGGCCCTGCCCTCGCCGCTCGTCTGCCCACGCAGCTGCTCCACACAAAGGCGCAAATATGCACGCCAGCGGGTGGTTATCCGCTACCCCGCACCCGCACTAAGACACGCTCTAAAGCGGCTGCACGAGCATGTGCACGTCGGTGGGTGGTTGTATCCCAAACCACATCCACACAAAGGCTAGCGCTAAACGGCTGCGCGAATATGCGTGCCGGCGGGTGGTTATCCGCTCCCCCGCGCTAAGACGTGCTCTAAAGCGGCTGCACGAACACACACACTCAAGTCACAAACACCGCGCCGAAGCTCTGTGCTGATGTCTTTATTCGCGGCGCAAAACTCTGCACTGCCCGGAGGAAATATTCTACGAGTAGATCTAACCCAAAATCTCTATTTTGGAGAGCCTATCCTATCACAATCCAATTCCCCAAGTACCTACGCGCCCTGTTACGTACCTCGCAGCCGTTCTCACGGCGTCACATGGACGCGGACAGAGGCGGAGGGACGGAGATGGGAGAGAACCTTGCCTATCACTGTCTCGTGGCGGCACACGCTGACGTCTCACGTACACTGCGAGCGGCTTGAAGAGGCGGGCTGTCAGGGAGTTGGTCTGGGTCACCAAGCGGCTGGAGATTAGAAGACCCTGAACTGTTTCGGGTTCCCCTTTTTATGCCCTGTGAGTTCGAAAATCCAGGGTTACATTATGTCATCCTGCACAGAAAACTTTTCGCTCCCGTTACCTAGAGCAGTTTGTTACGCTGTTTCCTGGCCCATTGTCTCTGCACCCACATTCCTTACCCCTGACTCAGCCGGTTTATTCTGGGAGGCCGCCCAGCTGGCGAATACACACCCGCAAGTGTGCACTAGGATTTTCCCCCTGACCTCATCGTCTGCGCTGCTCGGCTAATATTTCACCCTGGCCCCTCCCCAGTGCTGTGAGTGGGAAACTGCGGGACTTCCCACCTAGGGGCCCTTCGGATGAAAACCCGTGGTGCCAGACAATCCCCCGCCACAACACTACGTGTGTGTGTGCGGCGTGTGTGCGTTCAGGGCAGGAGTAGGGGGGGAGTCGCGGTGCTTGCGGAGTGGCTCCGCGGCCGTGGCACCACAAGTGACATACTCATGCTGCTGGCCTCGGAGCCACACGGGGTTGAGCCACACGCCCGTGCACACCGCAGCTGTTGCGAATAAAGGGGACGCGAATCGTGCTATCACCTGCGAGCAATTTACTATCAGCTGCACTGCGGTGACCGCACGCTTCCATCTGCACGCAATTAACTCTTAACGCACACGCCTGTGCACACCATGGCCCCGCTAACAAAAGGAGGCTGTGAGCACGCTCACATCTGCACGATTACCTCACTCGCGCAAACATGGTAGCAATCTCGCGATCACGATCCCGCATTCACTTTCGCCGCGCGTTCCCCCACTGCTATCCAGGACTCAGCTTGCACACGCAGTCGCCACATACAGAAATCGCAGACACCACACCACATATGCTTTGTGCTCACTTTTATTCTCGGCGCACACCACAATCCTTTTAAGTAAGCTACCCATTCAGCACTACCCAGAGGGAGTATCTTGCGAGAAGAGCCTAGCCTACTACTGCCTACACACCCAGTCACTCAAGCATCCTGCCACGTACCTCGTAACTGTACGCACGGCGTCACATGGACGCTGTCAGTGGCTAAAGAAGGCAGGATGGCAGGGGGGTCTTGACGGCCAAGATGTTGAAGATGAATTCCTTGAACAGCCCCCGGGCTCCCCTTTTAATCCCCCTGACTTCAAAAGCCTGATGTCGCATCGTACCATGCGGCCAATTGTGCGCCTACCTGTGGTTTCTGCTCGGGTTTTTGCCCTTAAATGGATCGTCGCACCCAGGGCTCCCGCGATCCATTGTCGGCCCTTCCGCACTCAAGAATCCAGTACTCACCCTCGTTAATCCGGATTAACACCCGACTAGCGAATACACACCCTACGGGTGTATATTTCGTGTGGGGGTCAGGGGGGGCGGGAATCGTGGCGCTGCGCTCCCCTGACCTCATCGTCTGCTTTTCTAGCTTTTTCCGCCCCGGCATGAATGACTCATTGTGGCTAGACCGGTAACCTTTTTGCGCCCATACACTCTTAAGCCAATTCAGGGGCACCGCGATGTAAATTGTCCTGCGAGGGTCGGCCAATCCCCTGGCACCGGGAAGCCGTGGGACTCTCCTCATAGGGACCCTTTGGATTAAAACCTGTTGTGCCAAGCAATCCCATGCCAGGAGACTACGTGTGTGCACTGCGTGTGTGTACTCAGTGTGAGGGACAGGGTGGGTCGCAGCGCTTGCAGTGTGGCTTCGAAGCCTTGGTACCCCATATACACAGACGCACAAGCTCCTGGCTCAAGGCTGACTCGTTACATCTCGCAGAGGATCGCTCCACCAAACAAAATAGTTACGTGGTTCAGTTTGCAAGTGCGAGTTTGCATTTTAAGTCAGTGTTTAAAAAAATATGTAGTTGTCTTGGAAACTGTTTTGTGAGTGCGGGTGTTTATCAGACAGGTGCGCATAAGTCGAGGACTGCCTGTACATCGTAATCAGGTTGAATTATTTTGATTGTGCTTAATACAATAGTGTTCCAATTCTTATATAACTTCAACGACCATAATGTGTCACTTGACATTTGATTTTGTTTTAAAATATATTATTTATACGAGCCGATAGCCTGTAGAAAGATGTATCTGTTAACAAATGTGCTCGGTTCTCATTCCCAGCGTTTGTGCTGTGCTGGAGCCCGTACTTCATGTTTGACATTCTGGACAACTTCTACCTCCTGGCCGAGACAGAGGAACGTAATTTTGCACTGCTCATCATTCAGAACCTGCCTGCGCTCAACAGCGCCATCAACCCATTGGTGTACTGTGCATTCAGTGACAATGCCTGCCACTGCATCCGGTGAGAAATTGCTGTACGCCGCCTTTTTAGTCTAGTTCTCGATGTATTTGCTAACGAGTTCCTCGCAGGAATTATTGTTCAGGTGTGTCAAGTGGTGTAGTAACTACTCAAAAGTGTGGGCAGGATTTGGAGCAGGCTGACTGTAAAACAGAAAACCTTTGCCCATCGCTACGTTCTCGAAATGGCTGCGATCGGCAAATCCGCGATCCCCAAACTCAAAGTCAAATGTAAAAACTAGGGATTGGTTCATGGTTCGAAATGCAACACACCCTCCTTTTGTTTTATGTTACCCTACAGCAACCCAAACATTAAACAGGAATTATTTACAACTAGCAGGAACCCGCGGAACTTCCGCGAGGATTTGGGCAATCCCTGATTTACGAAGGGGGTCTGTTCCAAAAACATACATACATACACTAACTTTCACACGCGCACACAAAGATCCCCTGTATAGCCTTAACAGACTGTTGGGGCAAGTGCTGTTAGCGAGCAGCACATCTCAAGGCCGGAACGGCACACAAGAGGGTGGGTGGCCAGCTCTACGCCGGACCGCCTTTGTCTCCCGAGTGGCAATGTTTATACACCGCACCCGGTACGCATTTGAGGCTGAGTGGACATAGGTTATAGGGGATAATCGTCAGAGCTGTTAATGCACACACAAATATTCAAAGAATAAAAAGGATATGTAGTATGGTCATGCCTGCGGCAGTCAATTTACATAGGGCAGTCCTCAGGTCACAAATCTAATTAGTTCCTAAGGCCCGTTCATAAGTCGAATGGTTCCTAAGTGGGAACACAATAATGAATTGTATTTAAATGCCCATACGGTCAGTATTGTAAAATGTGTTACGGTTCAACAAAAAATGTAACCATTGTTAAACTCATAATTAAGAAATATTGCACATTTGCATGTAACACTAAACAAATACTACTGTATATAGTAAATAAAACATAAAGTAACATAAATAAAAAACTGTTTTTATTTTAACTTACCTTGAGTCCTGATGCTAGCTTGTCGTGGGAAGAGGGGCAATGAGTCACCATAATTGCACACACACGGGGCACCCTATATCAACCCAACATTAAACAGGAATTATTCAGAACTAGCAAGAACCTGCGGAACTTCCGCGAGGATTTGGGCAGTCCCCGATTTACGAAGGGGGTCTGTTCCAAAGCCAAAAAAAGAAAAAAATCTCCCATATAGCCTTAGACTGTTGGGGCAAGTGCTGTTAGCGAGCACCTATGAAGGCCGGCACGGCTCATGAGGGGGCAGGTGGCCAGCACCACGTCCGGCCACCTTGTCTCTCCCCTGTGGCGATATTTTACCGCACCTCACCAGGCACTCATTTGAGGCTGGGTCGACCTAGAGGAGGCCCATGACCGGTTCAGGTAATTGTAACTGGTGTTGACCGTGAGCTGGAATCGAACACACATCGCCGGTTTCGTAGCGCAGCACGCTAACTGCTCCACTACGGCTCCCCAGGCACACAAAGACACACACGCCAAGCGACACCACTTCCCCCAACAGGCTGTTGGTGTGGTAGTGTAGCGGTTTGCGCGCTGCGCTACGAAAGCGGCGACCTGAGTTCGATTCTTGCCAAAGGTCAACACCAGCACCTGGTGTTTAAACATCGCCACTGGGGAGACAAATGTGGCCGGGCGTGGTGTTCGCCACCTGCCCCCTCGTGAGCCGCGCCGGCCTTCATACAATGTTAAATGCAAATGTGGAATATTTATAATTAATGAGTGTAACAATGCTTCCCTTTTTGTTGAACCGTAGCACATTTCATAACACTGACCCTACGGGCATTTAAATACAGTGCATTCGGCGTTCCGACTTACGAACGTGTCTCAGGAACGAATTAGATTCGTAACCCTAGGGCTGCCCATACTCAGTTAATGTCATGTAAAATTTGGAAATATGAAGATAACATTTAAATATCAAATGTAACCAGTGTTGTGCATCGCAGTTAGGAATCAAATTCCATTTTCGGGTTTTGTACTAAATGCATGAATCACTACATTTAAATTTTGACTTAAAACGTTCGTGACTGTAGGAATTAACATTATTTGGTTCGTTCAGCAAAGTCACGTATATAGAAAATAATAATAATAACAATTATAATTTTAAAAAAACCTCACGACGTTTCGATCGCAACACAAGCGGTCGTCATCAGGCGGAGAGAAAAGGGGGGCAAGCCTCCAACTGCAACTGTTTATAAAGCCTTGAAATGGGCGCAGACGAGCCAAAGCTGTGAGTGGGCAGGGCACAAGAGCCGTGGAGCCAGCGGTGAGCGGCGCAGTCCAAGTGTGTCAGCAGCATGGGCGGGGCAGCCAATGCTAATGCAGGAGAAGACGAATGGGGAAAGAGAGGGGGCGGAGATAGGAGAAGAGAGAGGGGGGCAGAAACAGGGAGGGAGAAGGGGCAGGATAGGAGGAGAGAAGGGGGGCAGAGATAAGGGGAGAGAGAGGGGGGCAGAGACAGGGGGCAGAGATAGGGGAGAGAGATAGGGGGAGAGAGGGGGTAGTGATAGGGGGGAGAGAGAGGGGGTAGAGATAAGGGGAGAGAGAAGGGGGGTAGAGGTAGGGGGAGAGAGAGGAGGGTAGAGATGGGGGGATAGAGGGGGTAGAGAGAGAGAGAGATGGGGGCATTGCACCTCGCTCCACACATTCACACTGCTGACGGTGGAGGTTGACAAGAAATTACAAATCAAGTCATGACCCAAAGTGGTTGATGAAGCTTTCCAATGATTGCTGAGTTTATAACCGTCTCCCCACAACTGCACCGTTTTACTTACACGGTTAAACATCTGCCATATTTTTGTAATTCTGTTTATGGATTTCATGAAACAATGAGTTAATTTTGACTTAAAACTTTTGTGACTGCAGAAATGCATATTCTATGGTTCTTTCGGTAAAGCCACATAGATTAAAAAAATATATAATCACAATAAAGTAATATTAATAAAGTGAATAAAAATATCACGACATTTCGATCGCAACACAAGCGGTCGTCATCAAGAACAGGGAGGCTAGCCTCTGAGGGAAAGCTGTTTACAAAGGTGGTTTAGAGATTGGCGGGGCAGCTAATGTTAATGTAGGAGAGGGCTCCGACACCAGCAGTAGGTCTACACCAATCAAAGCATTGCACCTCGCTCCACACACCCACACTGCTGACGGTGTAGGTTGTCAACCTCGACAACCTCCCCCGTCAGCAGTGTGGGTGTGTGGAGCGAGATGCAATGCTTTGATTGGTGTAGACCTACTGCCGGTGTCGGAGCTTTCTCCTACATTACCATTAGTTGTCCCACCCATCTATAAACCTTTGTAAACAGTCTGCCTCAGCAGCTTTCCCTCTTTTTTTCTCCTGATGACGATTGCTTGTGCTGCGATCGAAACGTCGTGATATTTTTATTATTTTTTATTCACTTCATTTTCATTGTTATTATTTTTTCTATCTACGTGACTTCACCATAGAAAATGGGTTCATTGTGTACCCTATATCCATAACTATTAATGGATGAATTTCGATTTAAAGCTTTCGTGACTGCAGGGATTCATCTTCTTGGTTCTTTCGGTAAAGTCACGTAGAATGGGGATAAAATAATAAAAATAAAACATTAAAATAAAATTATCACGACGTTTCGGCCACAACACAAGTAGCCTTCCTCAGGTGAAGAAACAGAACTGTCGGGAAGACAGCGCTTTAGTGAACACTGCCAAGCTTGGCAGCGTCTTTTAAGCTGGGTGGGAGGAGCAGAGCGCCTTGACGAAGGAGTTTACATATCAACAGAAGGATTTAGCATTGAAATAGCTGTGTTAATGTGTTGGATTAGCAGGATGTTAAAGTCAGAAATTAGCATGTAACTGGGAGATTAGCACCACGGAAAGCGACGAGCTTTGTTCAGACGGACGAGTCCATCTATGTTCGGAACGGAGGAGGGGGGAGAGAATTTAGCATTGAAATAGCTGTGTTAATGTGTTGGATTAGCAGGATGTTAAAGTCAGAATGTTAGTGTGAGGGATTAGCATGTCGGTTTCTTTTTTTCTTTTCAATGTTGGCACCACATAAAGTGACGAGCTTTGTTCAGATGGACGAGTCCATCTATGTTCGGAACGGAGGAGGGTGGGGGGGGGGGAAGAGGGAGAAACAACCACGATGCGCTGCTCTGTCCTGTGTTGCGTTACAACTATGCTATAAACTAGACTACTATACATTACAATATTATACCTTCCAATCTAAACTACATTGTATAATATCGTATACACAGCCCAATGTAAGCTCTAACATTAGGCATTATATTGATATGCCTTCAACTAAACTTTTTTCTAAATTACACGACTATACACCGTAATATACACTGCCATAGACAAACCCCACCCTTGAATTATACAATGCGTCACTATACACTGCCCTATACTTTAGACTATAAAATATTAGACTTGTAATATTACACTATGTATTATTCTACCAACCCTACTGTATACCACACTGCTGTATATTCACTATACAATTCCGATACTATATATTGCCTTGTGAATTATGTTAAACATTACATTGTTATACTATTTATTATTATACAACATGTTATAAACCATACCATTGACTGTGGTGTGAAAGGTACTAAGAGGCCGTGCCAGCGAATGGACTGCGGTCTGAAAGTGACCGTAAAATACAATCAATCAAGAACCGAAATGGTTTATAACGTCTTTCCAATGGTTACTAAGCTAGAATCTATCTTCTCGGTTGAAATTGTCTCTGTGTTTGTATATGTGGATGGCCTCATGAACGAATCTCTCATGGTAGCCGGATCGCTTGCAGAGAACCTTCGTCTTGGAGAAGTCAATGTCATGTGAGCCCACTGAATTATAACAGTGATCTGCCACGGCTGAGGTGTTATCCTACCTTGTTTAAAGTCTGCTTTATGTTCACGGATGCGGTCCGAGAGATGTCGTTTTGTTTCTCCAATGTAGCTGCTACCACAGAGGCAACTTAGTTTGTAGACGCCCGGGTACTGTATATCTGGAACCACATCTTTTACCGACGGAACCAGATCATGGATTTTATGTACTGTGTGGAGATGCATTGGGCTCTATGGTATAGAGTCTTGATGAGGGAATTCTTCTGGGATGGATGGTGGTGGGAATCCGGTTTTAAGTAAGCATCCGTATGGGTAGCTTTCCTGTAGACAGAGTGGCTCATTGAACCATCAGGTATCCTTTTAATTAGGACATCCAAAAAGGGTAGCTTGCCATCTTTTTCGACTTTCATGGTAAATCTGATGGCTGGGTGTATGGAATTGATGTGGTCGAGGAATTGGTCTAGAGCAGGCCAGCCATGTGGCCAGATGACAAAAGTGTCATCCACGTACCTCTTCCATAAGGTCGGGCGTAGAGTGGCAGTCTGGATGGCGTCAGTCTCAAATTTTTCCATGAAAACGTTGGTTACAACCGGAGATAGGGGGGAGCCCATTGGGGTGCCCTCAGTTTGTTTGTAGAAAGTTCCATTCCAGGTGAAGTATGTGTTGGCTAAGCAGTGTCTCACCAGGGGGGGGGGGGGGTACATCAGTATGCAGTCCTTGATGAACCAAGTCTTCAATGATTGCGATGGTGTCAGGTACAGGAACTTTGGTGAATAAGGAAACCACATCAAAACGGACAAGCAGGTCGTCTGGGGACAGGGAAATTCCCTTGATTGTCAATGGATGCGCACCATTTTCTCTACCACCATTTGAGTAACGATTGTTGAAATCAATAGATTCAAACCCACGCGTGAAAAATACTTGTAGTGGTAATGTGATCGATGTAAGGCAAGAGTAACTGGCATTTAGAAGGGAATCATTAAAGTAATTATTTAAAACATGAAAAGGAAAACAATTTATTTTTAAAAACCTACATAATGAGACCTCCTTTGCCAGTACCAAAAAGTAAGAATAGGTTTTCCCCCTTTTTTCTGGCAACCAAACTGAAACCTTTTTTTTACAAGGAATCATGTCTGCATTAACCACAATACTTGTGGTCAGAATGCAAAAAAAACACTCTGATAATATATGCATTGTCCTTGAAACTGATTGGTCCACGCCAGAGACAGCTTTTTTTTAGCCTCGTCTCACACGGTGCTAGACCAGAGGACGCCAAAATGTGTACAGCTCAAAGACAATGCCACTATCAACGTAATGAGAGCTCAGGGTAAGAGCATCTACATCATGAGACCTCCTTTGCCAATACCGAAATATCAGAATAGGTTTTTTCCCCTTCTTTCTGAAAACAAAACTGAAACCTTTTGCGAGGAATCATGTCTGCATTAACCACAATACTTGTGGTCAGAATGCAAACAAAAAATACACTCTGATGTGGACCAATCAGACAGTGCATATATTATCAGAGTATATTTTTTGTTTTCATTCTCACCACAAGTATTGTGGCTAATGCAGACATGATTCATTGTAAAAATGTTTCAGTTTGGTGTTTTATCAACTTAACAACTGTTTTGTTGCCAGAAAAAAGGGGAAAACCCTATTCTCATATTTTGGTACTGGCAAAGCAGGTCCCATGATGAAGAGGAAGTGTTTGTTTAATGAATTTATCCAAAAAGTATTTTTTTAAATGTATGAAGTAACAAAATGGTATTTCATTCTAAGCTTGTTTACAAACACACATTTGAATAATTTTCTGTTAAGTCACTCTCACACCTGCAATATACATAAAATCATTCATACACAACTGACTGCTGGCATATGGTCAAATAACATGGTGCATACAGTATTTACGTGTATTTACACTCATGTAATGACACGTGCCAACATAAACATTTAATTGGTGCCTTGAGCCAAAATTTCCCAGTATTTGAGTCATATTTCTTATTAGCAACAAGTACAGCCCATTCAGGACCAAATCGTTTGAAAATATGAAATGCGATATCAAGCTGAAGGGAAGGTCATACATAGTATCGGCTGATGAATGTCACTGTACTCTTTGTATCCCCTGGTGTATCTGTGTTAATTCCCTCTACTTAAGGTGTCTGTATATACATCTGCGGTTATGTGTTTCCTCTCTCTCTTAAATTTAGCTCTTCCTGTACCTGATGATGACTGCTTGTGTTGCAAGCGAAACGTCGTACGCTATTATGTAATTTTATTATTTCTTATTTCTACATGACTTTACCGAAAAAACCAAAGAGTAATTCCTGCAGTCACGAAAGCGCCAAATCAAATGTCACTGTAGTCTGGTATTGCAAAATTCCCATCTAATAGCATATTTACAATTAACGTGAAATTGCTTTTTTTTAATGTTATTGAAATATGGCAATATTCCATCATTAACCTGCCAAGGTTGAGTAGTCGTACAGACCCAGCAATCTGTATTTGATTTCCGACCACAGTGGTGCTTTCTGTTTTATATACCTGCATCCTCTGTTCCCCTCACGTCTACCAACCCTTCCAGAACGTGTTTCAGCAGGCCCAATGTGCCCACTTAAGAATAATTCAGTTTTTTTCTTCATAACGTGGAAACAAATTATGCAGGCATATGCCATCTATTTTACAGTTTACGTGTGGAATTCCCAGCATGTAATTCATCTAAAACGCTGCATGCACATACATACGCAGTACGTACATTTAATGGTTTCAGATCTGGTCACAGCATCATCTCTTCACAGCTCTTACAGGAGAGAATGACATTGGGTCAAGAGTGTCTTCAATGGATTCACAAATAATTTAATGGAACAACAACGTGGCTTATATCCAGACCCAGTTGATGCCCATCATTTCTGGAATCACTTGGCTTCCCATTCGGGTCTAAATTAAATATGGACTGTAGCTGAATGAGGAAAATGTATGAATAAGCCCAATAACAAATCCCTCTTATTTTTCACACTGACTGTTGGGAGTGGAAATGCATGTATGTGATTCTGTAACTGCCATTTTCCATCACCCTTGTCTTGTACACACAGGTTGGGGCTAAAGACATCATGGGTGTCCCCCGTGCGTCTGCGGAAGCGCCAGCATGACCCGCGCTGTCTGGACCGTCGTAATTGCTCCACACACATTCCAAGGGTGTCTACAAGCCCAGGCAAGCAAGATGCTTTGAGGCACAACGATGCCACCGAAATCTCCTCATCGGACATCATCCTTACATTCCTATCTGAGACGTCATCTATCAAACAGCAGTCAGCACATGCTGTACTGCCCAGGGAAAACGTTTGTGTGCAATAGGAGGTTCTTTTGTGGCCTTTTTAGCTGTTGTGATAACACGTGCCTGTGCATTTCTGGTTCAAACCTTTCACACGCTGTACTCGACATGGCATTAGTAGCTTTGGCCAGAGCATCTTGACCTTCATGGACTTAAACATCGATATAAACTTTGCATTTTGATCCACGTTATCTATTTCTGACAACTTGACGTAAACTTAAGAGGGAAAAATACTCTCATAATTATTCTCATCGTAATATTTACGAGGCATATTTCACTATATTATGTCAGTTAGTGCTGTTTTCAGTGTTTAACAATTGGAGAGACGGGTTTATGAAGTCCTAGCTGGTGGACCATTCAGCCCATCGTCGCTTAAGGGCCAATGGCTGTCCTATAACTGGACTGGTCTTTGCCCACACGAAATAATGACAATTCCATGAACGCACGACATCATATTGAGATTAATTCCACCCAATGTCAGAATATTTTGTTTTCACATCCTAAAAGTATTACAGTCAAATTATAATAATACGGTTAAACACTTTTCTATCCACGATTTCTGGATTCGCGAGTTTCGCATATCCACGAGTTGCGAAATGTATATTAATTCCCTATTTGCGACACGTCGGACTCCAGCTTTCGCGAGTGTACCGTGCGAGACCACCTCCACCGGGGAGGTGTGGGCAGAATTTGACATTGGGAACTGTGAAGTCCTCAGTCTCGCAGTAATCCCGCTCTGAACTCGCTACTGAACTGGTTTTTTTTTATGACTTTATACGTACTTGCAGTCAACTCGTTTATACATTTTGGTGTAAACGAGTCGATTGTGAGCACTCCCTAGAGTGCTAAAATTATAACACCTGTGCGTTGTTATCAAACACCTGCGTCTCCCGAGGAGTCATCCTCTTGAATTCACAACCACCTCCATCGTCGTCAAATCATCATCACAAAAAGTAATAAATAAATAAACACGTTTTTTTTTATTTATGGTAGTCATTGTTATTAAAAAATTACCATCCCCCCCCCATGTTCACTCGTATCAGCAATATAACCCCATTTCTCCCCATTGAAACATAGTTTCTGCATTTGCGAATTCTGTATTCACGAGTGTTTTCAACAACGTAACCCTCGCGGATAGAGAGGATTTATTTTACGCGTGTTCGTGTATCTATAACGAACCAGAACAGACGTATGTATGTAGGTATGTTCAACTTCTTTTGAGCCATACATAGACAGCCGCGCTTATCGGAGGTGTGGGGGAAGGACAACAAACTAAACACAAAAAATCAGTACTAAAGAAAAGAGTTCTCAATTTAGATTTAGAAGTGCATAGCCCCAGTGGCTTCCTAATATCGGAAGGAAGAGCGTTCCAGACGGCCGCAGAAAACTGAAAAGAAACAAGTTAACACGTTTAGTCAAGTTCCTTCCGACAAACAGAAAGGTCGTGCATCCATTCAGCTTAATCGTACTGTACTTGCAGTGGGTAGAGCGTTACAACCTCGCTGTGTTTGATGAAGTTTTGCTCCATTCGTCTGTACAAGCCTTGATCGTGTGTCTGTCTCTCGAATGCTCTTTCCCAGTGTTTCCTGAAAACAATTGAGTAGATAGTTTTGCTTTGTTCTTGTCGATATTTTTATCGATAAAATGTATTGTAATTGAGATATAATCGTGAATAATTGTAATGTATTTTCAGCATATATGCATATAGATATGAAAAATCGATCTTTCCGTATGAAACCATCAGTTTCTCTACATATTCGCCATCCTTTTACTACGGAAGTTCCGTGGGTTCCTGCTCGTGAAGTATATATTACAGTACCATCAATTTACCACACCTGAAAAATAGTACATGTCATAACTTTGTAAGAATAAATTTGCCTTCGGACCATTGCACAAAACAGATGACTGCCTGCATGTGTCATTCATGTCATGTGGCCTTCCAATATGCAATTTGTAGCAGAAATCAACACGCTTTGGTCATTTCCATAGCACAGCTGGATATATTCAGTGATAATTTTAGTTTTTTTTATATATATTGATGGAGTAGCGGGGTGGCTCAGACGTCAGAGCTCTCAGCAGGCACTGCGGAGATCAATCATTTGGGTCTGAATATTGACAGCCACCTGTGATTAAACAGAGTTCCCATGCATAACGCGTTTATGAACTGCATACAAAAAAAACATGTTGAATTTGCTTCTGCACTTGACTTTGCTAAATTACAGCTCTTTATTGAGAATTAAAATAACAAGTTGTTTTGGGACATGACTTTCATGTGCAGATCAGGTGTGGTTAGTGGTCCACACTACTGTGTGGACGAGCGATAACATGAAGGGATCTCAAAAGGTATGGCTCTGTGATATCCACTTCCACGTGCCGAACTATAATATGAAGGCTTTACTGCACTTCGAGATATCTGAATGGATACTCTGTCTCACGATATGAAGCCATAAATGTGGGAGAAGATTAAAACGACATTGTCGGTCATGATTTATCCACTTCTGGACGAAGGCCTCCAAGTTGTCACCTCTCATGGTCTCATAATGTCACAATCCATCGAGTGCCTGAATACAGAGTGCTCTCAATACTTCATCTCTGCAGTAGTCATCCTTTCTGGCTACGACTCCACAGTTTAAACCAACAGCCATCACCCCTGTGGCGCTTAGCCTCTTGCCTGCTTTCACAGGCTCACCTTTATCGGCGTCACTTATATTTTTGGTCAGCCAGATGACTGCTGTGTATATTGTGGGTCAAGTCTTGCGACAACATTCGAGACCATTCACCTGAGGGTTGGTCGGCCTTATTTTTAGGCAAGCCACCCCGCCAGTTATCAGGCAGTAGCGTATCTCTAGAACACCACGGTGCACTCACAATATCTTACAGGATGACCCCTTTATCCCGACACACCTAAGCCTATGCGTTCCTGAACACACACACACACACCCTTAAATAAGGCACGTTTAGCCTTAGATGGGGTTGACCACCCGCGTTGGGCTACATTCGCAACACCCTGACTCCAGGTGAAGCTCGATCCCGTGCGTCGTGGACCACCACCGGCCTGACACCATCGCCAGAGCAAGTGGCGTCAGAGGCAGCCTCCTTGCTCCTCTCCGCTCCCCTTCTGCTTAAGTTCCTTTGCCCGTCCCTGCTCCCCACCGGGTGTCCACTGAAATTCACACAGGCACTGTTAATTACAGACCCCAGCGTCTTACAAAAAATATATTTCTTTTAATAACCACGCTCTAACCACACAGTCTTGCCGAGCTGCTACTTACAGCCTGAAGCTTAGCCGTTTCCTTGGACCGCTCCTGTTCACTGCTGGCTGGAGCTCGAGAGCAGAGATGCTTGGAGCTGGGGTCTTCCTCCATTCACCCTCTATTGTATGGTGGGTGGAGGTCCCTATTCATAGGAAGCTGGGCTTTTTTCACACTCAATTACAATTGACACCTTGTTTTCTATATTCTTGGGTCTTTTGGTAAAGTCACATAGATAGGTTCAAAGAAAAGAACAAAAAACTACGACGTTTCGATCGCAACGCAAGCGGTGGTCTTCAGGAAAAGGGGGGTTTAGCTTCCAAGGCAAACTGTTTATAAGGGTTTGAAATGGGCGTAGCCTAAATGTCAGCAGCCAATGATAATGTGAGTGGTGGGCAGCCAACCCGACGGTGGTTTGTTTTCCACCAATCAAAGGGCTGCCAGGTGAAAATTAGCATGTTAAAGAGAGATTAGCATGTTAATGGCAGATCGAAGAGCCGCAACCAAAGGGTCGGCGTGTGAAGTGACTGTGAAAGCGCAAGTTTGAAATGGGCGTAAAGCACAACTAACATCGGAAGGTGGTAGGATGGGAACATCATAGCCAATTATGACTTAAACTGGTTGATAACGTCCTTCCAATGATTGCTCAGTTTGTACCCATCTTCTCGGATGAAATTGTGTCTGTGTCTATATATATGGATGGCTTCATGAACGAATCTTTGTTGATAGCCAGTGGGCTTGCAAAGTACCTTCATCTTAGAGAAATCAATTTTGTGTGAGCCCAACGCATTAAAACAATGATCAGCCACGGCTGAGGTATTGGTCCTACCATGTTTCAGATCTGCCTTATGTTCACGAACACGGTCCGAGACATGTCGCTTAGTTTCCCCAATGTAACTACTGCCGCAGACACAGCTTAGTTTGTAGACGCCGGGGTATTGCATGTCAGGGATCACAGCCTTCACAGATGGGATCAGAACACGAATTTTATGTACTGTGTTAAATCGAACCTGGATCTTGCGTTTGCTCATGATTTTGGAAATCTTTTGGTGACTCCTGCTATGTATGGCAAGGCGATGATTTTGATTGGGTCCTCAGATGGTTCTTTGCCAACGGCTGGGGTGATAGCTTTACAGATTGTGTAGTCTGAATATCCATTCATCTTGAGAGCTTGGTGTGCATGTTCCAGTTCACTGGCTAGGTGATGACGGTCAGAAATACATCGAGCTCTATGGTGTAGAGCAGGGGTGTCCAAAGTTTTTTTAGTGAGTGAGGGCCAAATACAGAAAAATAAACAAAAGGCCGGGCCACACACTAGAGGTGACATATTGACGCGTGGATACTGCGTGTATTTCTAACTCACCTATAATGTGAAGAGCATTGCACTCGGTGGGAGCAGTGATGCTGTCCTTTGGATTGAAGGATGGCTGACATGTCAGGAGAAAGTTTGGTGGTTGAGACACGAAGGACTTCACAGAGATGGCTATCAGTCATTCTGGTTCTCAGTCTGCTTTTGTTCTGATTTAACAGAGAAAGTGTTTGTTCACATATGTATGTTGAGCCGAACAGGCCCATCATTCTTTTTGCGTGGCGTCTCATCAGAGGAAACTTGGCATTATCCAAACTCTGATAGAAGTCAGGGAGGGAGAGAAGCTGATGTTGACTCTTCAGAGAATCATCACATTGCATTTCAATCAGTTCTAACTGCAGATTATCTTCCACTTCTTCTGCATCCACCAGGAAGGGGGTCGAGAAGAGCTTGATTTGTTTTTCAATGACAGAAAAATCTTGGAAACGCTGGTTGAATTCTGTCACGAGAGATACAATCACAGACACATATTTCTCCTTTTTAGCAGAAAGGTCGGCCTTTGGAAAAGCAGACTTGATTTCAGACAGCGCAGGGAAGTGTGCAGCATTAAAGCTTCGTAGTTGTGTCTCAAACAGGCGGAGCTTTACACAGAAGGCTTTCATGTGCGCATACTGGTGTGGCACCAGCTGTTCTTTGCCTTGTAGGTTCTTGTTCAGTGTATTCAGATGATGTGTAAGATCAACTAAAAATGCCAGGTCTGCCAGCCACAGAGGGTCACTCAGTTCATGAAGAGGTCGGCCCTTCTCTTTCAAAAACTGGTCGATTTCTGATCTCAGCTAATAAAACCGCTGCAGCACAGAGCCGCGGCTGAGCCAGCGCACATCAGAGTGGTAGAGTACATCTCCGTATTCAGCATCCACATCAGATAGGAAAGCTTGAAATTCTCTGTGGTACAGTCCTCTAGCTCGAATTATGTTGACAGTTTTTACAACAGTGTTCATCACATCGCCCAGCTGGACAGACTTGGCACACAGTGCTTCTTGGTGGATTATACAGTGCATCCTAACAGCCTCACCTCCGCTCTCATTTACCTTGGCACACACCATCGATGCCATTCCTTTGCGCTCGCCCGTCATGGCCGGAGCTCCATCCGTTGTTACTCCACAGAGCTTGTCCCATTTAAGCCCCACCATTTCAACTGCCTCTGACACAGCTTCAAAAATATCTCTACCCGTCGTTGTGCCTTTTAGGCTCATCATATCAAGCAGTTCCTCCGTACAGCAAAAATTATCATCTACTCCCCGCAAAAAAATTAACAGCTGCGCGGTGTCTGTGGCATCTGTGCTCTCGTCGCATGCTATCGAGTAAAAATCAAAAGCACAAGCTTTGTCTCTCAGCTAAAGTTTCAAGTTAGCTGACAAGTCCTCGATTCTCCGCACCACTGTATTTCTGGATAAGCTCACGCTGTTGAAATCCTGCACTTTTTGCGGGCACATTATTTCTGTGACTTTGATGAGGCACTGCTTTATGAAATCACCGTCTGAGAACGGTTTGCCGTGTTGGGCAATAAGTTTAGTGACTTCATAGCTTGCTGTTGTGGCGTTTTCCTGTATTTGGTTAGCACGAAAAAAAAATTGTTATTGAGCTTGCAGGCTAGCCGCCATTTGCTTGACTTTCTGTGTTCGTTCAGCACCGGTGTACGATGTTTAGCTCTGATGTTTGGTCTCATCGTGCCGACGGACATTATACTCTTTCATCACAGCAACATCTTCATTGCAAATCAAACAGACACACTTTCCGTTGATTTCTTTGAAAAAATATTCATTTTCCCACCGTGTTTGAAATCTTCTACACTCACTTGCTATTTTGCGTTTCTTCGGTGCTGCCATTTCTGGTGACTCGCGGTAAAAGTTTTTCTTTGCTTAATTTTGTTTAGTGGAGAAACACGGTTTTCCGTGGCTGGCTCCATCTAGTGTTGAAACTGAGAAGTGCAACAGAGTTGAGCTCAAGCTTCTTGTGCGGGCCATATTCAATTATATTTTCAGAATTTGCTGCGGGTCAATAAAAACTGGACCGCAGGCCGCAGTTGGCCCGCGGGCCATAGTTTGGACACCCCTGGTGTAGAGTTTTGATGAGGGAATTCTTCTGGGATGGATGGTGGTGGGAGTCAGGTTTTAGGTAGGCATCAGTGACGTGCGGTGAGGTCAATGGCTGGAGAGGCACTGGCTAGTAGTGTCAGAGCCAGATTCACACACTAGGGGGTGTGGGGTCACGGAGGGGGCGTGGCCTCACTGAGGGGGGCGTGTCATCACTGAGGCGGACATGTTAGACACGTCCCCCTCAGTGAGGCAGATGTGATAGCTGCCTCCCCTGGTGCTTTTTCATTGCAAATTTCATGACGAGACCAGCGAGCCTAAATATCTTAATACACATATGTGAAATAAGTTACCTGGAGTATGGAAGGCGAGGACATGAAATGAAGGGGTCTACAAATATTACATTGGTGACACACACTGAGATAGTAACAGGCACGCGCTTATTGCCCGCGCTCCATCCAGTTACTGAGGGGTTGCGCAATCAGAGGGGAGGCTGAGCTCGTCGCTGCCTCACCTCTCGTCTCTTCCTGTATTTGCAGCGGAGCTCCACA